GAACCTTTTGAAAAATTCTCATCGCATGAATAATCGTCATCGCGACAAAAGCGACGCACGGAGGTTACAAGCACGGTTTAGATCGATTTTTTCATCTTCGACCCGTTGACGCGCCGCGCACAGGGCGAGTCGGGAATTTCGTTTCAGCTTGTACAAGCTCGGATTCTCGGATGCAACCAACTGTGGCTTCATATCGAGATCGCGTTGAAATTCACGCCGAATTGGCATCCATCGAAAGATCCGTATTTCTCGCGATTCCGTTTCCACCCTATCCTCTTTTTAAGGCTCCCCACCCCCTCGCGCCGAGTATCCGCGTGACGTCACCGCGGCTTTCGTGACGTCACGCCGCCCACCGCCGGGGTCGATACTCGCCGATGACGTCACTGGGAAACCAATGTCGAATTTCCTGCCGGATCAAACGGCTCGCCGTGAACGCTCCGGTGGGCCGGAAACCCTCGCGGATGCCGTTTTATGGTGGATTTCTAGGTTAGGGGATACTGGTTGCGAGCGGCTCGATTAGACACGGTATAACTCGACACGTGTCGTCGAGTGGTCGATCAAAGCTCCGGACGATCGAGTCTGGAATATTCCTGGAAAAGTCGTTCGGATCGGGCGACGGCGAGTCGCGATTACGGTATCTGCAAGGTCGCCGCCTACTTCCGCGTTTTTAAGACCGGACACAAGGGGGATATGGACCCGGGGGTCCACGCGACGCGTCCTCACCTGACGCCGCCAAGCGCGCCTCCACGTGGAATACGCAATGAGCGAGAGAGGGCGCCGCACGCGACTGGTGCAACCGGATGACGGGCACCAAAGAATTCCGAAGTCTCCATAGAAACCCAGAAGGATATGTATATTCGATGCTCGATAAATAGTACGTTAACCAACGGATGGCGGCGCTGTAATCATCTCTCCATCTCTCTTAATCTTACGGCGGTATATAGCGAATTGCATTCTTTCTTTAACTTACACATAGTCGCCTTTCTGTTTTCGTCATTTTTAGGTGGCATTTATCGATACCAGTTTTCAATGGCATTTTTTTACGCCAGTTTTCGACGCCACTTCTCGATGCCGTTTGTCGGTCATTTTCAGTTTTCAAGTCTAGATGTTTAGGGTCTAAGGAGGGGTCGCGCCGCCATATTGGACCGCCATATTGGCGCTGTAATCGTCTCTCCATCTCTCTTAATCTTACGGCGGTATATAGCGAATTGCATTCTTTCTTTAACTTACACATAATACTCGCCTTTCTGTTATCGTCATTTTTAGGTGTCATTTATCAATATCAGTTTTCAATGGCATTTTTCGACGCCAGTTTTCGACGCCGTTTGTCAGTCATTTTCAGTTTTCAAGTCTAGATGTTTAGGGTCTAAGAAGGGGTCGCGCCGCCATGTTGAACCTTATTTTAATGGAACGCCATTTCCTCGAGGAAACGTCTCGCTTCTCGAAACCGATCGAGCGTGAATATCTAACCTTGACCCGCAACGCGGATTGGTATCACGCGACGGGGTGAGGGTCAGATAGGATTTAAAGAAGCGAGAGGGACCCCTCGGTTCCCGATCGCGCGACTTTGCTTATCGGGGACCCGGAGACGCGTGGCGGCACCTCCGAGGGTCGACCTCGTCGCCGTCGGGCTGAAACGATCCGACCATGAGCGGCCCCTTTCTTCCTCCATTTTGGTATTTATTTTTATACCCTCTGGGGAAATAATCGGCCTTGACCCTCGGGCTACCGATTCGAGCGATCCCCCGAAATCCGCACCGCCAAGCCGACGGATTTACGAGGGTTTAATTCCGTCCCTGGGCCCAAAGTCAAGGATTACCGTCTCGAGAATGCCGCTTCCGTGGACCGACCTGGGATGCCCAACGGTGAATTAGGGTCCCGGCCCTAAACTCGTTGTCGAGATTCCCTGAAAGGACTATGCCAACACCTGAGGCTTGCCCTCTTCGGCCGTTTTCCAGCTCTCCTTACCTGGCCGACGGGTTCGGGCAGGTCGGGGAACGCGTAAAAATTCATTATTCCCCGGAAGTACTCGTGGGTGACGCTAAGTGCTTTAGGGAAAAACGATTTTCATCCTACGCGAACGAGGCGTGCGGAAAATAACTTCCCTCTTGGCGCTCTGGCCAGTCCGGCTCGAGGATAGGAATTGACTTTTGACACAACATGTTTACCGACATTGAGAATCTCCCGAATTTTGACGTCCGCGCTAAAATAAACTGCTGTTAAATAAAATACTAAACCGAGGTAATTCAACGTCAGAATTGGGCATACCCGATAACCACGTATGTTTCGCACGTTTCGAAATTGACTTTTGACCCAATATGTTCATCGACGTTGAGAATCCCTCGATTTTCGACGTCCGCGCTATAATACATTGCTAGAAAAAAAAAACTGTGGTAATTAAATGTCAAAATTGGGCATATCCGATAACCACGTATGCTTCGCACGTTTCGAAATTGACTTTTGAACCTACATGTTTATCGACGTTGAGAAGCCCTCGATTTTCGACGTCCGCGTTAAAATACACTGCTCGGTATAAAAAACAAGCTGTGATAATTTAACGTCAATTCGATATTCAGGTATCGTGCATTATAGTTATAGAGGCGATTTCGCGAGTTTTCTGCAAGGTTCCAGGCCGCACCCTAAACGTGACTTCCCATGGAAACTCGAATTTCCCTACCTCGACCTTAACCTATCCAGGTAAAGGAAACTTCCAACAGGTAGGAATCCCTAATCATCCGATTTACGGCCCTCGAGCCCCCTTAAAGGAGAAGAATCGAGGTTTCCTCAAGTTCTCGCATACCTGCAGGCTTTGAGAAAATTTCCCCGAGCAGCCGACAGTTAAGCCGATTTCGAATGTAATCATCCCCCTATTCACGATTCCGACAAAAAGGCCCCGCAAACGATGTCGCGATAAAATGGAATGTCCACTGAGATTTCCGTAGGCGTTTCAAAGCCTGAGGTTTCTTCAAGAAGGATACAAAGGCTCGCAGTTAGCCTTGTTTCTCCATTATCTCCGCATTTATGAGCGCAATACCGTTTGCATCGGGTCTCATGGGGCGTGTAAAGTAACGGCAACGAGCCGGACGCGTGGGAGTGATATCCAGGCCTGCAGGGATTACACATCGCTCATCGAAGTCTTCGCGGAAACGATTAAGGGTATATTATTCCGGGAAAAGAGAATCGATGAGAGCGGGTGCACTGGGCGTATGCACGCCGGACCCCGGGAAGCCATTCATGGTTCTTTCTCGCATTAACGAATCGTATTAGAAACTAAGAAACTCCATATATACCCTAAAGTCCCACTTAATTAGTCGGAAAAATATCCAAGTAGAGAATTTATCGGGTATTTAATATGTAGGAAATGTTCGTTGAGGCGGCTCTAACGGAAGGTGTCGAAGCGACGCTCGAGTCCATTGATTGGCGCGTCGCGGATCCAGGGGAAAGGCTTTCGTGACGTCACTGAACTCCGTGTGTGACAGCCCGTGAGGGGAGGGGGAAGGCGCAGGAGGGGAACCGTCTCGACGCCGTGCTATTTCGGTCGACGCTACTGCTGGCCCAGATTCTACGCGACCGTCACGCCATGAACCTCGTCCCTTTCTACCGCCATTCCTCGACCTATCTGCCTCCCTCTCGCTCCGACTCGCCCGGGTTTTCCCGGTGGGGTGAAAAATGAGAAGGGACGTAGCGCTGCATGCGCCATGGCCACTCCGATCCTCCACTGCGGCCGTGCTCTTATTCAACGTCGATTGATTATTAACCTTCACGGTGTCCCGGGTTCTTAGGGGTAAATTTACCCCTTCGATACTACCGGTTAATGTGGCCACGTTAAGGTGATATGAAAGTGGCGTCAAAGAGTTCTCGTTAATGAAATTTACCTCCAAACTGGGTGTACCGAGTCGATTCAAACGTTACAATATAAATGTGGAGGGTGTAAGGGCGGTCCTGAATATCATGAAATTTCAACTTTTTTATTAAATTTGTTTATAGATTTTTTTTTTAGCATTCTGGCGGTAGGCGTAGCCGTGTAGAAAGGATTAACGTGAAAGAGTAATGCGTTCGAAATTCGTAATCCCGTCTTTACCAATGAATCGGCTCTTCGTAACCGTTCGCAAGTCGGGGAACTCGTGGAGGGAGAACGGCGTTCTTGGGAAACCGAGAAACGGAGACCAAAGGTCATAGAAACATATGGATAGGCGAAAGTTTGCAAAGCTCGTCCACGTAGTCCGACGACGGTCTCGAGCTTCTCGGTGGGAAACGCGCGAGTGCAATCCGTCCCGCGTCTCGCGAGGATCCCCTGTCGCCTTCTCTCTCCCTCTCGAGCGGCGGCGTATACGCCCGTCTTCGTCTCGCACGCGCTCGGCCACGTGGTCGCCGGATGCACGTCGCAATTTCTCTCTCCCGAGGCATGGCGAATTTTTCGGCCTCCCGTTCACCGCTCTTTTTTTCTCCGTCGGGCCGAAAGTCATTCTTATTTACGGTCAGGTGGCCGCGCTCAAACCGCGGCCTCGAGTTTCGCCGAGAGCGAAACGGGGAGGTAACACGAGCGCGGCCGACCGCCGCGATTCAATCGGTTGCCACCTTTACCACGCGCGGCGCTCCCTCCGCTCGCTCCTAGTCCCCTCTCTCTCGCACCCACTCCGTTGCTCCGACTCACGCATCTCGGCTGACGCACGGCTTCCCCCACTCCTCCGTTTCCCGTTCTCTGCCCTCTCTCTTTAATTAACGGCCCGCGCATCTGTCCATCTTCGTCCGACATACGCCTTACCCCACTCATTTTTCCCGCTTTCTGCGCTCTCTCTCTAGCCTGCCGCCCGCATGCCTCTCCGCCCTCGCCTGACGCACGCCTTCTCCCCCTCCCTCGGTATTCCCGCTACCGGTGACCCCTTGCTCTCTCCCTCTAACGAATGGCTCCCGCATCTATCCGTCCTCGTCCCACGCTCTCCCCACCCCCAGCTGCCCGGCCGCGCGGCCTGGGACTGGCGCGCGGCGCGAGAGGTCGGCAGTGTCGCTTGCGTCGCCTCGAGTGTACGATGTGATCGCTCCGATGGTAGTTGTCTCTCGATAGTCCGCGAGTTGAGGCTTTTTTCCTTCCTTCCTCTGGGATAGAAGCGGTCTCGTTGCTTCTGTGCGTGTGTGTGCCGAAGTGCTCTCGTGCCTCTTGAGAGGACGAAACCTCGACCGGCCCTGCCGTGCCTGCATCTGTCTTCCCTTTGTCCGATGACATTGAGGTACTTCATTTTTTTCTTTATTTTTCTCGTTTTACCTCCTGATACCCGTTAGTAAGAGATGGTATACATTTGCAAAACAAGAGTAGAGCTACCTTTTGGATAAAAACTCGAGATGGATTTGTTATTAATCATTCTAGATATTTAATGTTAATATCCTTCGGTCATGTTTTGCATTACTACGTCTATAGAACATACGCGGTTTTTTATTACATGACTCTGTTGTTCATTCCGGTCAATTTACTATAATTCGTGTTTGAAATTCAGAAATGTTGAAAAAAAGAACACTTAACAATGATCACTCTCTCAGGAAATTCCTGGAGATGACCATCGGGAGAATAATGGACTCGTTGAAAGTTACCTGTTGCTCGAGACTGATTGCAGGGACGGCAATTGATTCGCCGCTAATTACTGTTGTATTTAACCCCGACGACCTGTTAACTACGTACATGTGAAGACTTGCGTCGGTCTGCGTGTATCGACTTAATTGAACCACGTAGAATGCAATTCCTACTATTGACGTTGAAACCGACGAAGGAGACGCTGCGTCGCATTTCCGAAAGCGGTTCTCCTTGTTTTTGTTGTTTCGAGTTTTTTTTAATTTAATTTTAAAGTCCGGTCTCGCGGGAAATTTTCAACGCGAGGGGAAACGGCTCTCCAGGGCGGCGCGAAATTAACGAGAGAAAAATCGCGTTACTTTCAGGGCGATTTAATTACCAGGGGGCAGAAATGTTTAGTAATTACTCGAGAAAGACTCCGAAAAGGGACGAGATTGATGGGGCAGTATTTTGGGGAAGAGGGCCATTCGCGTTTTTAATCTTCCGACGCACTTACCGAGGATAAGAATTCATATAATAAATATATAATTATATCACACGATAAGATGTGAGAGTCGCGGAATTTTAAGATCGGTGGCAGAGCATGACCAGGGTTTAATTAATTGAAAAGGGGAAAAAGAAAATGAGTTATTATCGTTTTGCGAAATAATGAATGGCCACTCGGCACGAATTCGTCGAGGGGAATCATTGGAGAGATACAGGGCGAAGGAAAGAAAAATGTAGCAGTGGGAGTTTCAAAGGAGTAATAAACAATATCATGATTTTCTAGATTGTTACAAGACGCGTTGGGGTTTTTATATTTTTCTCCTCGCCTTGTGTGCAAGGTACGATTGAATTCGTGCCTCATGGTTTGCACAGTGGCGAACTTCTTTGAAATGAACTGGAACGAAATGTCCCGTACTATTTTTTCTTTTTTTTTTTTTAATTTTTTCTACGATGCATGATTCTCTTGGTAATTGCAACGAAATTGACGCGTCGACGCGCCGCGCGGCATGTGACACCCTCCGCGCTCCGTCCCTCGGCGCGCCTGGTTGGCTATTTTTCAATTAATTATTCCAGGCGAATGTAGCATCGTAGAGAAATATCGTACAGGACATTTCTACTTGATTTTAAACCCTGTTTGCGATATGTCTAAGCCGCGGTCGGGAATTCCGTCACACCCTGTACGCGTTACCTATGTGCGTGTATGAATTTTTTTTTTTTCGCTCGGGCATTTGCGGTCGCTAGGGACGCACACACCTTACGCAACGACCTGTCTAAGGTTACTTGGACGCTCGTCGGGGTTTCCTTCGAGGTGGGAAAAATGCCTACCCGTTTCGGTCCGCGGTGCCCGGTCTAATCACGGCGGATTATCTCGACGCGATATCGGTCGCGGCGTCAAGATTGCTCGCGGGTATCTCCATTCCAGGGCTGGACTGATACATTCCTCCAAAGGCGGGATACCCTGCACCGCTAGATAACCTCGGATGTCGATTTAAAGTCGCATTCCTGTATTCCAGTGCCTTGAAAGTGTAACTTTCGAGGCGACGCCGAAATCGCCGATAACGGTCGCGCGTTCGCGGGGCCTCGAAATGCGAATTTCTATTTTTCTTTTTTTTTTTATCCGGCTTATTGATAACGGCGGCTCGCGGCGATGTTTCCAAGCTACTGACCGTTTACGAATTACGAGGCCTCTTTCGATGCATGAATGTTATTCATTATGCGAGAATTTTGCATTCCCCGACGTGAGCCCAAGCGTCACGACGCTATACGTGTAACTTTGACTGACTCATCGGCGCGATATGTTCATACAAGGAAACCGCGAATCGTTCCAGGATTAATGGCCTCAAAGTTCGCGATCTAAGCCTCGTCATTCCTGAATGGTGGAGCGCCGTGTACAGATTTTAGGTATCCGGGGAGGCGAAGAACGGGATTTCCATTTTTTTTTTTTTTTTGTAATGACGTTTGGAAAATTTGTACAAGATATGCGAGACTGGACAATCGGAGTTAATGCAGAAAGTACAATTAAGATGGAGCAAAGTCGCAGAAGCTTACGACACGCGAACACAGCGGTCGATACTGTGAATTCTAAAATTAAAAAAAAAACGATAAGAGATAAAAATTAGTAATGATATGTAATGGATCGATTTAAATGTACTTAAAATTGCTTTTCTTTGTGGTATGGATATCTTACATGTATTTGATATTATTTAAGAGTACTTATTCGCGGGGAAGTTGATTATGATATGTGTTGATAAGGAGCGGCAAATAACCGCTCCTCTAGGCTGGTAATTAAGAATGGGTACGTAAACGTGTGTCGTGCGTAAGTAGAGCTATTGCGTTAATCATCTGACATTATCACCCTCGTGTAGTCACGTGCGACCGCCGGGGAGTCGGAAGAACCATTCTAGAAAGAAATTTATTTATAACGTTCCGCGAAATAACGCGAGTTTTAACGGCATGAACGAGTGTCGCAACTTTCGCTCGATAGAGAGGGCCTAATCCAATTAATCGTGTCGATTCGATTCGGCAGAAAGATAAGGCACTTATCCCGTGTGTCATTATTCGGCACAGATAGCGAATGTAGAAAAGGAAGGCTGAATTCGAGTCAAAATTCTGATCCTACGTAAAAGGCCTTAAGGTGATACGGCAGTGAAATCTGAGGGGTCCATTGTCTATGAGAATTTCCTCCGAACTAGGCGCACCATAAGTTTAATTTTTTATATATACATAAAATTTATAAAGTGTCAAATAAATTGGGAAAAAATGCAATTTCATGGGTATCATAACCTCTATTTACATGCTTAAAGCGGGACTTAATTAGTACAATATTATGTAGGTCGTATAAAATGGAGTCAGATTGAAGTAAGGTGAAAAGGGGGATTACTTAGACTGAGGAAAAGAATTCATTGAGCCGAAGAGATATTTTGTTAATTCAGGGAATTATTTTACTAGGATAAATGAAATTCTGAAGAAATGTTGCATCCAGTTTATTCGAGTTTGTCAAGTAATTCCTTGAATTAACAAAATATTTCTTTGGTTCTATGAAATTCATTTCTCAGTGTAGATTAAGCAGATTCAGTGTAGGATTAAAGTTTTCTCTCGGGAAGCTGCCGGATGTTGTAATTGCACTTGCGGATCATTTTAGCGCATTTCAACCCCTCTTGACCCGTGGGTCATTTATTTCGCAAGATTATTGTTTGCCCGGCGGAACGCGTTAATTGGATTCGATTTTAGTCCCGCTCGGTGCGCATTTCATGCGAATCGTAATTACGAAGGGAAAAGAGGAGGGAAACTGGATTCCGATAAGGAGTGCTGGGCACGACTCTTGGGGACTATCGTACCTGTTGAGTGTCCTCGGTCGCATTAACTGAGTCGAATTGTGCGAATTAAGGCACTCCTCGAGTGGCACAATAGTTAAGCACGGGTTGATTAGGCGAGTTTCGAGCCTTTTTTTCACGGTAATTTACGGGCCCCTTGATAACCCGGTAAATCCCGTAAAGGCCCGCCATAAATTCCCAGTTATAGTGGGCTGTCGAGGGTAATTCCCCGAAATGCCACAAATGCCGACAATTTTTCGATTCGGCCCGCGTGATCGATTTAAAGAAAGGGAGTGTGCAAAATTCTCGAAAAAAAAAAATTATCCATGTCCGGTGTTCGCTGCATGTGCCATGTTAACGATTTCATTCGCAATGCCACCGTGGACGTATGATCGTGTTGAGGTCAACCGATTGCGAGGGAAAAAAAAAGAGCAGAAGAAACGGTTGTAACGAGAGCTCGGAGTGCTAATTGTTGGCGTTCAAAATGGCCGTCCACGGGGGCGCGCGCGCGGTGTAGCGGTACAACAGGTACCTCGTGTGCTCGGAATAGATTTTTTTTTTTCGTCAACGGTCCACGATATCGAAAAACGTCTCGGACAAAAGTTGCGCAGCATGTCGTGACGAGGAATTTTTACTGGGAGAAGTTTTCTATATTATGCACGGGGGAAGCGGTAGGCTGCTTTTTGGTTTGGATCAGCACGCGAAGGCGCGCGTCGCGTTGTCCAGAGCGACCGGAGGTCGAAAGTGATTTTTTTTTCTCTCTCCTGTTGAATTTACTAGGTGACCATCCTGCGGGATTCTTTTGTGAGATTCGTTTGGATGTCGTTCATGGCTTAGACAGCGGTAGTCGGTACTTATTGAGGAATAGTAAACACAATTACGACCGACTGGCGTAACGCGGAAGCGCGCGACCTGCGCAGCTCTCTGTGGCGCCTTTAAAACAGCTGTCGGACCAAAAATACAATATCGGAAATTATCACCAGGTTTACTCGGGGGATCTGGAGTTTTTTATATTTTTTTTGGCATACCTGACATCGCGGCGGAGGTCCGTGCCAAAATCAGCGCCGACGTACGACATGCGACGTACGACGATAGTACCCACCCACTATCGACGTCGTACTCCCCTCCCGACTTTGTTAATAAAATTCGTGCGCAGAAAAGTCAGGTGCATCCGCTTATCGAATCACCGAAATAGATTCTCGTGATACCCTTTGATTACCCACGCGTAAGTGACGTGTTGCGTCTCGAATAGTTGAAACGTTTCCGCGAGTTCGTCCCTGCCAATATCCCGGGTACCTCTGTCGAAAGCGGGATGTCTTTACCGAAAAGAAATGCCACTTCGGCTTTGCTTGTGCCGAGTTGAGATTTTTTATCGTACAATTTTTTATTAGACAATTGAAAGTGGCGGTTATTTCCATTTCCTCCACTTCTAGGCATAAAACTGCGCTTAATTCATATTGAGTAGGACGTACAACGTCGAAAGGAGGGCATAAATCATTGAAGTGGAATTAAAAAAGGTCTTAGGTTATGTAAAGTATTGGAAGTATAGGGCGTAGTTTAAATTTCCCCGCCGTGCGCTCTCCTCGATCACGTGGCCTGGGGTCGACCAATCGGAGCGCGGCTTGGCTGCGCGCGCATCCAGTCCCCTCCTCGACTTTGGGACTCGCTCAGTGGTGGGGGGTACAGCTCCTCCGGATATGGGGTTTCCTTCGGCCACTTTCTCTGGAAGTCGTTACTCGTCGGTGTAAGTCTCCCCTTTTCGAGTCGCAAAGTTTGTCCCGAGTGCTTCTTAGATCCCTCCCGACGTCGGCGACTAGAGGTGGCCTTGAGAGCGAAGGCTAAAAGAATTGAGACGGGCGTTTATTTTAAAATACCCACCGTCTCTCGGATTTTCCCAGCCGTGGCGGCCTCTGAAAATAGACACGCGAGTGCCGCACATCGACATGTTTAAATTATAAGGTATGCAGCCCGATATGTTGCCCTGACGGTCAATTACTGTTTTCCGCCGCCTTGCGGTAGTCACGGTTAACTATTCGCGGGGCAGGGGTTAAAAATAATCCCGCCGAACCTAGAGCCGCCTCTGTAAACGTGTATACACTGCGTGGGAGTCGCTAACACCGTCCACTCTTACGTATACAATGCCGGAATTTTCCAAAGTGTCTTAACACTAGAACTATCAAGAAAGGGTCGAAACGACCTGTTTCAAATGGCTCATCCTATACAAAAAAAAAAATTCTGCCGGTCGTTCTAGTGTTAGGGCGTAAGTACGCACAGGCCCCTTGGTACCTGCGCTCTCTTGGGAAAAAAAAAAATATATATATATATATTCTCAACCGAAATGTATTTTGATAAGTCACGTCTCCACCGAGTGATTACTTTCTCGGTCAGCTGACTACGTCGAGTTATCGTCGACGCGTCCTTGAGGAGGCGCCTCGACGACCGGCGGTGCTCTCTCTACCGCGTTCTCTTCCTGCCAACTATTTCAACTATCCCCTGGCCGCTACGCCGACGCGTCGCTCAAAAGTTCGGCGCGTGCCGTCCATCATACGTGGCGCCTTTGATTTCGCGACTCCCGATCGCTGCGCCGCCACCCGGCGAGTTACGTAATCCCGGCAGTGCGCCGCACGAGATTCGCAATTAAGTCCTGCGTCCTCGGACAGCCCGAAGGTAACTCCCACTTCTCTCTCGGATTCTCTCTCGGGGTATTTTTCTTTTTTTTTTTTTTCCCCGACTTTCCGCGGAATCCCGACCCGTAGAAGCCTGACACGTGCCGCGGGAAACGGAAAGGAATTCTCACCGACGCTGTCATGTAAATATTAATCCTGCCCCGGCTGAGATTCGATTTCTATGTCATCTGTTGTCCATGCATATCATTTAGGTGGGGAACCGCGGATTAATTAACACGGTCCAGTCGACGGAATATAATTGTCCCTTGAGAACCTTAATTTTATGGGGGAAACGAGTTTAATATTTTAATATTAATTGGTTCCCGTCTGCATACGTGCGACGCGGCGAGTATGGTCTGTTGCAAGATGGCGAGTAAAACGAGTCGAATAATAACGACTTGAGTAAATGAATAACGCGCGGTTAGCGTCTCGGTACGAATAGGTTACTCGGTCTCGCTCTCACGATTGGAATACACATTCGTTTCGTGCCGATTAGTCGAGTGACAATGAAAATTACTCGGGCTGATTGATATACACGGTTGACTCGAATCGTGACTCGACGCGTGAACCCGTGGACACGAAATCTGTAGACGAGCGAGGTGGTTTGATCATTTAGTGGAGGCCGAAAAGGTCACTGAAAAAACGCCGTTGCCGTTTCGAACGGCAAGGTACTTTTTTCTTTCGAGTCCGCGACGGACCTCGGTTTTGTTCGCCCGTGACTCGGGGCCGTGTGGGTTTAATCGGTTTTACGGAATTTCCTCGTTTTTTTCCCCCTTTTCTTTCCTCTCCCTCTTACTCGCAAAAGCGTTCGTATTATTGATCTTACATACCACCCTTGTCGGCCGACGTTCGCGGGAAAACATTGACGCGAGATAGCTCTAGAATTATCGTAAAGCAGGAATTCCAATGAAACGCGGCAATGTCGCACAGAGCGCGACGCGTCAACGCGTCGAGGATAAAAAGAACCAATCGGAACTGCAGCTTAAGTGAGGCACGAATTTAAACGCAGTTCTTAATTTGTACATCTTCGAAGTATCGATGTATCGGCGTTCCGTGTAACACTCGATGTGCTCGATAGGACGTAAGGAGTGGTTGCTTAATTTCAAAATATTGAAAATGTAACGGATAAATTTGTACCCTGAGTGATGACTCGAGATGCCCATTGATAGGTTTAAATATCTAACCAATTTTCTCTTCTTTACTTCTTGAAAAGCTCTCTTTCTCTCTTGCTGTTACGACCCCTTCGATGATCTTTTCTCTCTCGCTCTGACAACCTTTTTGATGGCTTTTCTTCTCTCCCTCCGTCTTGTCCTGCAGGCCCGTTCGCGCTTCTGTTTTCCGCCGCGGCGTGGCGCGCGCCGACACCGGCGAACGGAGGGAGACCCGCGTGCCGGCGCGAGTTTTCTCTTCGGCGAGAGGCTTCGGGTTCTCGGCGTGCATCATCGGGTCTGAGGATTGACCGTGTCGACGTCGGAAATTTGTCACGCGATATGTAGAGCGTACCAGGGCGGGGGATCGCGCCCATTCCGCTCCCGCGAATTCGCCGTCCGTGAGAATTGGCGCCGGGTTGGGACAGGTACGTGCACGCTCGCCTCGAAAGCCTGCCATTGTTTTCCTCGTGTAAACACCACCGAAATAACTTCTTCGGGCGCCCGAATTAGCCCTCGGCCGATTGCCGCCGACAAGGTACCCATTATTCACCCGAGCGAGCCCTACGACGATCTTTGGGGAATCTCTTCGCAGGAGCCTTCCGAGACCTTGTAAACATAACCTCTTCCCGTGCCCGAGGGACTTGGGCAAGCGACGCTTAGTACGTTAAAATCGTGCCAATCTCTTAGATTCTGCGTTCCGAGGGCGATATCACTTATGGAGATTGTGTACTCCTTGGAGCGGAATTAATGAGGTGTGTTCTTCGGTTATCACACTTTGGAAGGGAGTTTTGCTTCGAAACGTTCGAGGGACTGCTGTGTCGAGTGAAGTTGAGAGGATATGTGCCTTTGGTCCACTCCATAAAGGTGGCAAAGTATTTGTGGATCGAGTATTTGGTACAAATGTGCGAGGGCAATGGTATTCGGGCCATGTTCCACATACAAGAATAAAGTATGTCGTCCGAAGACTGGTTGCACATTTATGCTTCCGTTAAGAATATTTTGTGACTCGGTTTATTAAGGCGTTGTAAAACGTAGCTTATCTTTAGGAAGATTTATCGAGTTGTGGTTTAACGTAACGTGTTTTGGAAGGCAACGATAATAACGTGCTTTTGTTTCTTGGTTTGCTTGCAGTTTCCTAGTGAGTGCATCCTCACATACATGGAGTTTCAGCTGGACAGCGCAGAGTACTGCCAGGCTCAACACAAATAGAGAGACACACCCGCAGCTCCGAAAGCCAATTAGATACCCGTTAAAGTAAGGAGAGAGAACTGGAGGCAAACGTCTTAATAGAGGAGAAAGGATATTAGGAAATATCTAGATCATCACTGGAGATTCGTGAAATCATCAGCTAGTCATCACGCAAGAACATAGGAGAATTTATTAAAGAAACAATTGTTAATTTACGTTATCGTATGCCTTGTAGTTACTGAGCGCACCTAATAGAGGAGCACCCAGTGCCAAATAGGTGAGTTCACTGCTCACCTCTTTCTTTTACTTACCGCAGTGCCCTTTGTAATGACTATCGGCTCAATTTATTCCATGCCGTAAGATAAAGACTAGTTGCGATTAAATTGATTTCAAAATTAACAAAGCTGATAAGTAATCGAATACCTCGAGTCGGAAGCTTTCTTAAGTAAAGGAAAAGTTACATTTCGTATCGGTTCGTCTTTGTATCTCGCTTGACAGAAATCAGTAGAAATCAAGAGATCATTTCCTAACATTCGAGAATATAATTGACATTATAACGTGTTTATGCTCTTCTGTTTCAGATTATCTTCCGATTAGTCAAAGACCCCACGAGGGAACCAAGCGCATATCACGACCGCCTAATGTAACGTAGTCTTCAAACCCTTCGGCGAAGTCCGCGCCCCAGAAACCCTTCCCGAGGTCTACATGTGAACCCATTGTTCTGTCCTCTGTATAAAAATAACAAGTATTCAATTAGTTAAACGAAAACGACACTATAAGACTGACATCTATGGGCTACGTCGTCGAATCTAGCCTTTGTTGCTTAACGCAGTGCAGTCGTTAAGAGATAAAGAACGGAACGTCGCATAAAAGGATCCGAGGCAAAAGGAAAGAACAAATTAACAAGAGGAGAGAGGCGTACTTTTTAAACCCTTGCTGTCAAAAGGAAATGAGCAACATGAGGGTGAAGGACATCAGACCGGCTCCCGCCGAGATCGAATACAAAAACATGAAGTTCCTCATCACTGATCGGCCCAATGATCAGACTATCCAAACCTTTATACAAGTAAGTCTCCACGATGCACATTCATGCGTATCAATAATTAATCTATTGGCTCTGGTCTTTAACCGATGGTTAATATTTTCAATCTTTCCAGGAACTGAAAAAGCACAACGTGAAGGAAGTGGTTAGAGTCTGCGAACCAACGTACAAAGTTGAGGAACTTAAGGGAGAGGGAATCAATGTTATAGACTTGGTATTTGACGATGGCACTTTCCCGCCAAACGAGGTCAGTATATAAACGGTGGGAACGAATAAGCGCTTGTCAGTTTCGTTGACGGAACGCTTGTTAAGGTTACCTCTCTGAGTATGCTTATTGAGCTTATTAAATATGTGTACCGTGGGCTGGTGAAGCTTGCAAAAGTCGACGTGTACATACATTCGTCAAATCTGCTGACAGAATGTACACTCGGAGCTAGAGCTCGTAACCGAGGTAGCGTGGAAAATAATGCTACATTAAGTTGTGATCAAACATTTGTCTTAGCTTACTGCCTAATCGCAACGGTTTGTCAAACAAACCGCGTGTCCTATCAACCTACAGCGAAATTGTCAAAGGATTATTCGTACTCCAACGAAGCCTATTTAACACATTTAGTGTCATGCGTCTTTTGATAGACTTTCCAAATCGACTGATTTGAAGGGGGCATCACTTCACCTTAAATCTTCCCAGTAGTTAAAGGCCGTTTAGCGTATTCATACGAATGTTAAAAAAATATGTTACAGGTGGTCGACGAGTGGTTCGAGTTGCTGAAGAATCGATTTCGCGAGACGCCCGATGCATGCGTGGCGGTGCACTGCGTGGCCGGACTCGGAAGAGCACCGGTTCTCGTTGCACTCGCCCTCATTGAGCTCGGTCTCAAGTACGAAGACGCAGTGGCACTTATCAGGGAGTACGTGCTAATGTTTCCATATGTTTTACCCCATGCGTGGTTCCTTGGGTTTTAACGACGCGTTCGCGTAGCTCTTTCGAATGATTCGGAGATTTCACGGCGACGCGTCCTTAAGCCGAGGTTAAATGCGGTTCGCTTATCGCGGTTTTTCTGCTCTCTATCCAGGAAGAGACGAGGTGCCATCAACGCCAAGCAGCTGGCCTACCTGGAAAAATACCGCCCCAAGTCTCGGCTGAAGCTCAAGAACGGACAGAAGAACTCCTGTTGCGTCCAGTAGACAAGAGCGACTCTTTTCTCTTGCAACCAACTAACTAATCAATACTGAATTGGTATACGTAATTATATAGGTTTGCACGCCGGACAACAAAAAAAAAAAATGTGACGTGTATCGTACCGATTTGTAAACACTTTTGACTGCGAAGTCGATGGGAGTGCAAGCTGCAGTTCGAGGCCCGCGATTTTCTTTCTTTTTCTTCTCACGAACACGGAAACGGGTATGTCTCTTTTTAGAGGGTCCGTCCGACTCTCCCGGCCGTTTCACCTTTTTGGTCAGTTGGCAGGAACTTAACACGAATTCCCGCGTCGTCTCCATGTTTTTAACGAGCCCGATTACGTGAATATCGGAGGCTCGTCGAGGATTTTCGGGGTGCAGCCTTTCGACTGAACCCCTTTTTTTACCCTCAATCGTCGAGGACCCGTTAACTTACATTGACCTTTTTACCGATAGGGCATTTGTCATGTCGCGCCTCTCCAGGGACGGGATTAGGAAAAATTGTCCGTAGAAGGACACCTCTCGAAGGCTGATTTTACTTGCCGCATCGGTACTTAATTTGCGACGGACCGCGATGTCCAGTCGCGAGTATGATATATATATAAAAAAAATATGAATACGCGCTGCGTCGCTTGGTGACACTTTGAGCCCCACGGTTTTTCGAAACCGATAGGTCATTATCTCGTGTCCCTGATATATACATATTTAGGATGTTTTTAAATTCCGGGGAACTCCGCCCCGTTCGATGTGTATCCATTTTTAATTTTTTTTTTCCCTAAGTTTAATCGAGAGAATTGGGAGGTACGTAGCGAGTAGGTAAACCAAGCAAAAGGAAAAAGAGGTGAAGAGTGTGCAAGCGCGTGAATCGTATATTTTAATAGATATTGATTTTTTATTTGACAACTGCGGTTAAAATGTTAAGTTGTAGTGGAGTGTCCCGTACACGGCAAGGTGTCGAACTGTTCGAACGCGAGTAATCCGTTTGACGTCAGGCCGTATAAAAGGGATAAGATAAAAGCCGCTTGATCTCCAGGTGGGAGAAGCTCCCCGAAGGGGTAGGACTTTTTTCTTTTTATAACATCCTTCCCGGAATACGACGGTCGCCTCGCGGCTTATCTCAAGGGAAAGATCGTTAGAAGATCCAAGTTAAGCGGCTTTTATCCGGGACGGTTCCGTATGCGGCCGGGGTCCAGGAAACGGGGAATTACTCTCGTGCTCGTTAACCTGTCGGACAGCTCGTACCGTCTAGCTCTAGCTGAATATCTACTCCATCGTTGTGATCTTCTATAATCCTAGCTCTCAATTGCGTAGAATCACTTAAGGCATGCAATTTGAAGTAGCCGGCTAAACGGACGGACACGCAATGTACAAAGGGGTCCTTATTTATAATTTAATTTATTACTCGCAGCTTAACGCCAGGATATACGCGTAAGGCTCGACCGGCGATCGAGGTCCAAACGAAGAATCGCCTCGAATGTGTTTATAATATTAATCACCGAACGGGCTCAAAGTGTTAACCATTTAACGAGCAGCGCGTTCAGTTCCTGCAAACTCTTGACTGTAACCTACGGCGTCCAGTATTTTTTCTTTTTTCTTTTTTATCAACGCGCGTTTACATTTAACCGAGTATGTAGCGCGGACGATATGTACCACGTATACCTTAGAGTCTGCTACGTCGACGATCGTTAACGGAGGATGTATCATCGCCGTGCGTGTCTAATCAGGGAATCCTCGACAGCGTTAGGTAAAGGGGACTTTTCTTTTTCTTTTTTTAAAAACCTGCCTCGACGACCGGAGGTTGCATCTCCCGCGGCTTCGCCGTAACGATGGATGTTCTTATATCTCTTATTCGACTTGGACTCTGCGTTAAACTTGAGCGAGGAAAAAACAGTCTAATTGCGAAACGAAGGCGAGATAATTCCGACTCCAGAGCTATATATATATATATCACGTTTATCGCGATTCAACGACAATTTTAAGAAAATACACGCTGGGAGGGGTTTCGCCGCATGCTGTCTTACCTTGGGGGGAGGGGACGGTTTTTTATCAGGGAATTCGGGAGGAACCTTCGTTCGATACATTTTTTCAAAGCCCACGCACTGCGCCTTTTTACATTACGGTGTTGTTAACGATTTTGTACGCCACGTCCAATACACGGTAGCTGGGAGGGGGGGGGGGGATGGATTTTCTTAAAGTTGTCGGTGATGCTGCGCGCCACACTAAACTGTGTTCAAAAAATAGTAAAAATTCACTCCTAATGGTAAAGAATTTAATATCTAGATCGCGGTTCGCCTGTCTGCCGATCGGACGTGAATGTTTTGGCGAGAATGACTTTCTGGTTGGTGTTAATAACAACCCTATCGGTGGACGCACATTACCCTGGTTTTCCTGATCGAGGGTTTTGCTTTATATATTTTTACGTTCTCCTTTACTTGTCAATTTTTATCAGCCGTTGGTTTGGTCGAATTGGTACGTCTCGTTGCAATGTGTGTTGGCCAGTCGCGACTATTTTCTGCCGAGGAGAATTCGGTAAGACGCGTTGTCGAATGTTTTCGTTGTTTTTTTTTTTTTTTTCTTCAGTCCTTTGGTCAACTAGATATCGGGTGTATTCAGAGGAGAAAAGCGGTTACCGATGAGTTGGGAACATGTTGCGATTTCTACTGAAAATGCGATCTGATTGGTCTGATCAGTAAACATGTTGAGGGAACGTACCCATTCAGCAGATGAGCGCTAACCGATCACTCAACGGTTGTCTCCTCTGAATGCGCTCATTGTAAAATACGCCTTGAGAGTATCCCATTGTTAATTTCCTTGCTTGATCAGGAATTCACGGTAGAAACAGCGGTGGGATTGTTGCATGAAAGTGAAATATTTTCTTTCTTTAGGCTAAGGTCGTAGGACATCGCGTTTTAAGTCTCGAGGTCTCCCTTAATTTGGCAGGACATATATCGTCTTCGAACGCGTTTTAACACCTTCTCTTCCCTTTTGTCTCCAGCTTAGACGACGACGTTGTACCATACACACATAGGAAAATTGCCCCGAACGTATTGAGAACGGAGGTTAAAGGAATTATACACAATAAACCATGAATTGTACAAAGGAAAAGTGACGTACACGGGCAGGAGCACGTATAAACGGTAGAGATCTCTCGTAAACAACCTCCGATTCTTCGGTGAATATATCTGTGGCGAGCATATATTTCGTAAAGATTTTAAACTCTGTATATTTTCCAAGGCCAAAGTGTCTTTCTACAAGGACGATATTGATTCCGTGTATTTTCGCAAAAAAGGAGAAAAAAAAAGAATAATAAATTTTGTGAGAATTCGAAGACTTAATCGATAACTGCACGGCACACACTGTACATATATATAAATGTAAAACAATGGACCCGTTGAAACGACATACGACTTGTGTGGGATTTTACGATATATATATATATATTTCCTCGTTTCTTCGATCTCGAGGGAACGACGTGTCCACCGTTCGCCGGAATTCCGTGTGTAAGATTAACGAAGTTATTAAGCCCACCTTTGTTACCATCGATGACTACTTGTAACTTTAGAGATTCGTCTAATGTCTATTCGAGGGAGGGGAGATACTTTACTCGAAATCATGCAGCAAGCATTTTTCAATTGTCACGCAATGTGTACGTTAATTTCTTCGGAGTATGGGGGGGCTCCCCAATTATCGATGCAATGTACTTTCTATCAGTTTTTCGACTGACGGAGAGATAGAGAGAGAATGAGAGAGAGAGTGAAAGCGTGCGATCGGGAAAATGAGATGTAGGAATACCAGTTACGACATTCACCGAGATCGCAGACTCGAAACGCAATCGAAGCCTGAGATACATACACACTCCTTTTTTGTAAGGTCTCCAAAGGATTAAGAGAGAAAGAGAGAGAGAGAGGGAGAAACAAAACGAAAAAGTAACTGCAATATTTTTTACCAGAGGATGGGACGAAGGGACACACGTAAATCGAAAAGATGAATCATTATTGATCCCTAGATATCCGCTACACCGAATAATAACTTTATAGGACAACCATTACCCTTAGTTGAATTATGTTTATAAATAATTACATACGATGGATGTATTTTTTAATTGATCCTCTGTCACTGACGCTCTCAATCGCACCCCCTGTTTTATGCGTATCTTACGTTATCCGTTGTATAATGCGATGTGTCGAAGCTAAGGACATCGGTGGTTCTTTTTCCCTTCTTTTTTTTCTTTTTTGTTGCTTTCCGAAGAACATGGACCGAGCTTCAAAAAAAAAAAACGAAAAACGCCCTCTTTTGAATCTTACGTTCGTCGCGCGTCTCGATTCGCTCGTACGTTATCGACGAATCTTCACGGTAAAAAATTAACGAGCGGAACGTTTGTGATAAGGCTTTCTGTGGTTTATTATATATATATATTTTTTTTTTTCCGTCTCCCGCGAGGGATCGAACCGGTGGAATTATTTCGCGGGCCTTTTCTCTTGGGAAAACGAGATATAAATGTTGAGTTGGATAGGTCATCGGAAGCGCGGTAGTATTGACGGCAATTGTTAGGTGAAATTTTTGTTTATTAGGGAAAAAAAAAAGACACGCTTGAGTGCGGTAGATAGCGAAGAAATGTTTTAGACCGAGGGCGACCAAGTGAAGAAACGCATCCGCGTTGTGAGCGAATCGGTCGAAGCGCGAAGAAGGCGTAAATTCAAACGAGTTAACGCGACGCAAAAGATTGAGGGGCCGTTTTATCGTACACGTTGATTTGTTCACGGATCTTTTTTTTCTTTTTTTCTTTTGATTACTTGTCATTACGATATCGACACGCGACATCGCCGCTGACGGTATTAATTTTAGCGAGAAATCATTTTGTTACATTGTAAACATCAGTGATCAAATAAAGACAGACGGAAGTCGTTTTGTGAAGAAGCCGGGAATTTCATTCGAGCCTCCACGTCGCTTGGTTTTTAATTTAACATTTCTTTTGAGTATCTGATAAACGTAGCGAACAGTAATGGAAAATCGTTATTTAAGTGTATGAAAGTAAAGCCTTTTCTCTTGAGTTTACATAAACATGTCGTCGTAGCCTGGGGGAGGCATATGATCGTTGTCTGGGTTGTACGGATTTGGCGGAGGTTGTCTACGCTCTATGTCTGGGGGACCGAAGGGGTCGAACCTAGCACCTGGTGGTACAGCTCCTCTGAAAGGTAAACGCATAGAAGTGATTAACATGTTAGGTTATGCATTTCATTTTTTATAAATCCAATAAGTATGTAGTGCATGGAGTAATATTAACGTACGGAGGTAATCTGCCAGGAACTCCTAAGCCACCGGGTTCACCAGGTCTGAATCGGTTACGTTGGTTTTGTTGAAATGGATTAAAGATCATTCCACCACCTGGAGCAAGGGGGTCCACTCCGGGTCTACGGATATTGAATGGATCCAGATCGGATCTCCCATAATCAAACGGATCGGCTTCAGGGTTCCTATAAATATAGATTATTAAGTTCGAATGAGAACTCACCGAAATGTCGAACAGATATTCTCATAGAAAGAAAACTAAATGCCAGATGCTCTAGACGGAACATTGTTCTCACTCGTCAAGTATCGAACACCTGAACATCAGGTGGAGGCAATAACACGGATCGTTTATAGGTAGGAATCACTGGATATACTTGGAAAGTAGTCAGGATTCAAAGATTGTTTAGAAGCCAAAAGTCATCTGGATCTATGTCGTCATACTCATGAGATATCTGTAAATATCACATTCCGTTAATAATGTTCTCAACGGAGTCGCATCAAATCCCTTATTGGTTCTTTTTTTATTTTCTTTCATTTAGTTAAGCTAGGTTAAGTTACTTATTCACAAAAATGTACTATTTATATTTTAAATTCCGTCATCATAAGAAGCAACCAAATAGAAAAAGAAAAACCAGGGAATCGATGCATAAATTACCGAGTGGGAATGTTTGGTGCTGGCCGATGCGGTTGCCCTACCCTTAGAGGGTCAAAGTCAGGCCCTGGAACTTGTCTTGGAATCTCTCTTTCTGTATTAACGTTTGGTTGTGGTGTTTGCGTAGATGTTTCTCTTGCAGTATCAGTATATACTGGTTCGACAAGATCTTTACGTATGACATTTAAAACGTTCTGATAATCTGGCATCAGAGTAGTCAAAGGTCCCTTGATTTCGCTCACAGTTGTGCCAATTGGAAATTGAACATTGGACACGCTATGATCCTCTACTCTCTGCGAACATAATATTAAAATATATCATGAAATAGTTCATAAAAAACAGCATCTTAATAATATTGTCCAGTCATTTTTAAGTACCAGGAGATTCAAGAGTAAATCTGCATCAGATTTTGTTCCAAGTAAAATATACAGTTTTCCTTCTTTAACGTAACGGAGAGCATAATTCGGACGTTGATTCCATTCATCTGGTAACGACTCTGAACCCTGTTCACTCGGTTCAAAAGTTTTCTACAACATAAAAGTATATTTCTAATAACACCAACTCAGATCATTAGATTTGAATACACAATCATGAATTCTCTGAGAAATCGAAGAACAATCTAGAGTTTCAAACCATTCGCTCCTTTTTTTACTATTTATAAACAAAGGTTTTAAAGAACAACCACTAAACAGTGTATATGTACAAAGATTTCAGATTTGACAAATGTTCCAGCGTAAACAGTTATGTAATTACTCTCAAAGACTAAACTACTAAGCTAATTTTCAAATGTCAAGTATACATACTGAGTCACCAGTCCCAATACATTTGAAACCATTTTTAACGAAGTACCAATGCACAAAGAGTATAATAATGTCCTCTTTCTTTTGCAGCTGATTTTCAACGAGTTTGTTTAACAATTCGAAACCGAAGACACTGTTTGATTCGTCTGCCATGGTTAAAATTGTTAAAACGTAGATTGAATGTTCGTCGATGGATGACAGTTCACTTTCCGGGTTTTAAGGTTAGAATACCATTTCGAGGAGGGAGGTAAAAATGCCGGTTTGTTTTTTTAGAAATGGCGGTCAATTTAAAATTAAACAGTCTAAATTAGAACTTTGTTAAAAAGGTTTAAATCAATTTTGATGTAGGACCGGCCGCGTATTTCGGCGTGGGATCCCTTTTTTTTCCAAAAGATGATGTGAAGTAAAACCGCGCGTATCATTTGTTCTTTGTTTTAATTTGGATCATGTATAGAGTGTCAAAAAATAGAATGCTCTATTTGTAAAAAAAAAAAATGAATTTATATACATTTGTAGTTATTGCTAACGATCTATGAGGATCAGCTAATTTATAAACCGTATAGTGTCACTTTTTTGTCAACAGACTATTAAAGAGCAATTATAAATAAAAAATGTATTAAACATACAGAACATTTTGTAAGGACCAAGTCATAGAAGAGTATAAGAGATCACAGGAGAAATAAACGATGTACTAAAATTAATTATCAGATTCGTCCGTGTCTTGTTCGTAAGGGTTGGGAGATCTAGCAGGGGATGTTGTAGCTTCAATTTCTTCCTCGCTTTCTCGCCCAGTCTGATCTTCTTTGTTAAGTGCATATCTCCTCCACGGAAAACTAAAAGTTATAATTTGCTATTACTTTTATAAATATTTTTTACACTAGTAATGTTAAAGTAATATTTACCGCTTTTTTTTGTCAAAACAATCTTCAATAAATTTATGAGTAACCATCTTTGCAAAACCCTTTAATTGCTGAGACTTTGGAGTATTTTTGAAAGCACATATCAAGTGAGTACATTTGTTGTTTCTGGTGTCAGGATTTGCAATATATTTGGCACCCATTTTTAAAGCTTTCTTCCTAATTTTATCTCTTTGTGGATTAACGTATCCACTTAAAGCAAAGCTTATTCCTTCGAACAATTTATCAAACGCTTTCTTATGTTTCATAGGCTTTCTTTTAACAACTTTTTTGGGAGAAGACTGTACAGGTTTCTGTGGTGGCAAGCGATTACAATTTTGACATAGACAATCGGGTGAATCCTTTTGGCACAAGGAACATTTAAGTTTCTTCTGGATAGCCTCTGCTTCATTATCTCCATTTTGTGGGCTTAAACGTTTGTTAAGATTCACATTTGAAGCATCATTTCCATTTTTCTGAGTTGAAATTGTTGGCTTGACTTTTGAAGAAGGTAGAATGTCTCCAAATGGAGTCCTTTGTACAGGAGTAGTATTTATAGTATTCTTAGCATCAGAACCTAAAATTGCTTCTGACAAAGACAATTTTTTCTTGGGTTCATCAAATATATTCTTTGGTTTGCCAAACACTTCATCTGCTTTCCCAGCTTCTAATTTTTCAAGCAATGGCCTCTTCGCTGGAGTTCGTCCTTCCTCCTGACGTTTAATAAAGTTCTTCTCTCCAGTTTCTTTAATTTTTGCTAACAATTCATCTTTATAATTACTGTGTTTGGCCTCAAATTGTTTAAAATATTTCTGTTTAAATTCATCCACATTAGAAGAAGTGTTATCATCTTTTACCTTAAACCTTCCGAACACATCTAATCCTAAATCTACTGAAACTTCAGTTCGTAGAATTATAAATAATAGCCCAAAGAGTTCTTTTCGGTTTGCAGATTGCATGCATGTTACTTTAACTCTATCAAATTTCATTTGCAACGTGGTAGGATTTAACTCTTTCTTTGTAAATAGTTGCACTTGGTCTCTGAAATTGCCTCGGGCTGCCTCATCGTGCGTAAGAAATTGGTGATTAACAATTGGAAGCCAGTTATCTGGGTCTGCTGACGTAGATGCATCGACAACAACGATGCACGAACGATAGTTGCCAATGTCTAACCCAGTTATACGTGATGGTTCTGCTAATTGAAAAATAACCGTTGCAAGCAGCTCTCCAGGTTTTGCACATCTCCATGAGCTGTTGGGTCGATACTCCAATAAATTAGATGCTGGATATGACGAGTGCTCTGAAGAGTAGCTAATAACTTTTTCTAATTTGATAATCATTACTCCACCAATAATTGATTACTCAAAAGTCAATACTTAGTTTTGCACCTTGTCAATGTTTTCACTCAAACCAGTCACATATTTTTTCATAAGAACTAATTAATCCATTTTTCGTACCTTGGTATATGGAACAGATACGTGCCCATCTTTTGATAGTAATTATAAAAATAGCTGATCGCACTTAAATAAATTGAAAACTTTCTTTGTTATTCTCACACTTTATAAACACAGAGCAAAAAGTTATCATTTATGGTTAGGTTTTCAAGTCATGTGCTTGTTCTATTGTTACTTTACCGCCAATTTAGGCTAGTAGCAACGGAAATGAGTTGGGACATAGCTCACGAGCAGGGTCGCGCGATCAAATCGTGTGCTGCCCTCTGGTTTCGTACGTTAGCTTTCATCGTTTTTTGCCCCCTGTGGGGGATTTTCCACTTGGGGGCAAAAAACGATGAAAGCTAACGTACAAAATCAGAGGGCAGCACAGGATGCGATCGCGCGACCCTGCCCGTGAGCAATCTCCCAACTCATCTCTGTCTCTAGTCGCCTCTTCTTTGGAAATCGTATAAATAGGACCTACACGATACTGCGAAAGAGTGCGGTCTCTATTAAATTACGCGATCCACGTTTATCTGTCAAATTATTCCACAGTATTTTTTTTCACCATTACCTGATTTCAAGACTGTGAGATTACTTCTTGGTTTTTAAGTTTAACCAACGGTTTTTCAAAAGTGACGAAAAATCAGCATTGTTGGCGGGGGCAACCATCGTTTCACGGTCCATTTTGTCGTCATTCTGAGCCAATTGCGTGCTTAAAGAAACGCTTGGAGAAAATGCCTAGGAGGAGTTTTAATGTGAAACAACGACCTGATACCGTTGAGGAAAATGTGTCCGTTTTGCGTGAATTGGATGGCAGCAGACAGGTTAGGTTTTGCCTCAGTTTTGTATTCAATTTTATAACCAAGTGTGCTAATAATTGATTTGTTAACATAGGTAGATAACAGGAGTTCGGTAGATCTCATCAAACATTTTGCTAAACTCAATGCTAAAACTGGTGAAAAACATAAGGGGAATGTGAAAAATTCTAAATCCATATGCCATAATAAAAGTGTAAGTAAATCCTTAGTTTTCTGAAGTTTAAGCGTGACACTCAATGTGAAACTTAACCTCTACTGGTATTTTGTCCAAAAGAATCACTAATGTGTATGAGAAATAGAAATAGAAACTGTATACTATATATAGTGAATTCAAACATTTGATTTCTGATACTCTTTGAGGTAACACTGCATAAAGAACAATACTGACCATCTTTACCTGTTATGTAGGTCACAGAATGCATGTACGGCCCAATCCCTGGCTTTCCAGTAGGATCGTGGTGGGGGATTCGTATGGACTGCTCAAGGGATAGAGTGCACGATCCATTCATTGCAAATGTACACTATGGTCCACTTGGAGCTGTGTCCATTTGTACACCACATATAAATGAATACAATGATGTAGATTTGGGGAATCGTTTGACATTTACTGGACAAGCTTGTACTCACGAGGAATTAAAGGATGAGTCGTTAATCCTGAATTATCAGAACAAAGTACCAGTACGATTGATTAGATGTTACAGTCTAGCAAATGAATTTGCTCCAAAGACAGGCTATCGATACGATGGTCTATATGGAGTAAGTGCTTATTGGATTGGAATCTCATCTGACTCATCAAAACATTGCAAGTTTGCATTGACCCGACTATCTAATCAGGATCCTCCTCCATGGGAAAATTCTTCAATTCAAGCAAAACATATTAGTTCCTTCAGAGTAAGTGATCCTGTTCCAAAAACTGAATTACATAGACGACGCCAAAGTATGCATAATTACGTAAATCCTGGCAAAGCACAGAAGGCAGTCGCTGCTACGTATGCATACTCTGGAAAACAAAAGCTCAATTCTGATTCAGAGCTTAACATTTCTTCTAGTAGTGACAATGCTAGGACAGTTTTATCAAATGCAAAAATTGTCACAAGTGATCATATAAACATGCATGAAAGTGCTATCGTAACGAGAAGGGTTTTCAAGAAGAAAGATTGCCACTTGGAATGTTCATTAGACTTAGGAAGTTCTACAACTCCTGGAAATAGTTTGTTATCACAATGTGCTCATCGTTCTTATGACCATTCATTTATACGGGGCCCTAAATTACAAAATACCAACATTTCTATTCGAACCGACCTATATGATTCCACGCATAACTTACAGCAAGATTCAAAAAGAATGATATCGGTACCATCGGCTAGAATTTTTAAACCAACCAAAATAAGTACACGTATTTTAACGAACTTTGATTCGGAGAGTTCACCTTTCATTCATAAAAATGATGGCACTGTCAAAATTGATACTTTAAAAATATCCAAAATCATAGGAGCAAATATTATTAGATCTGGTTCAGAAGAAAGTAATAAAAATTATCATGCTAAGGCTGTAACGTCTAAAAGCGAGTCAGTGCGTCCTTCGATGACACAAGACACAGGAATTGAGAAAAGTAAGTCTATGTGTGAACAGAAACAATGTAAAGTGATGTTAACTAACTGTAAGGTTTTGTTAAAAAATTTGAATACTGACGTTCTAAATACCAAGTGTTTGACTAATACGGATCATTCTTATGCAGTACCTTACAGAAGTTTTTTACGAAGTAACAAAAGTGAGACAGCAAATATAAAAGCAAAATCTGTGAGTGTCCCAAAAGGAACGAAGGAAGGAATAAAAAAGAATATTATACAAAACAAGAAAATGAGTGATTCAAGTAGTTCGCATTGTAGTAACTCCGACGAAGAGGCTGATGTCCCAGGTAGCACTACGGAAGATTCCATTACATTTCTCAAATCTCGTGGTTCAATGGATTCTTTGACTCCAGACAAACTGTTGAATATTATAACGACAAAAAAGTATCACCCCATGGCCAAGTTATTAATTAGTAGCATGATTGGTTTAACAACTGGTGAGTCCAGAATGATGAGTGCATACGATGAATTGTCGTCTCAGACAGAAATTAGTCCATCTGTTCAAAAAAATACCACGTCATCAGAAAACCTTAAGGAGTATTTTAAAGATTCTATTGGTACTTTAACAAAGGATGTTAAAGACTCACCAAAAAAGAGGAGCATAGACAGTACAAATACCGATACCAACTCTAAAAAATTGGCACTGAATATTGTATCGACACCAGGTTCGAGCAGGTGTCGGATGCAACGCACAAAATATAAAAATCCTGACCGTTCCTATACTACGACAAGGTCTTCGTTGTTGAAGAAGTCTGAACCAGCAGTTGGGTTAAAGGATACTGACAACTCAACAGAGAATGTGAATACTAATAACCTCAATCGAAATTACTTTGTGAGCATTGAAGAGGAAAACACCAGTGGAAGCAACAGATTAGTTCCCCAATCAAATAATTCTAGTGCAAGTGCAAGTGCCATGAGTACGGCAAGTCAGCCAGCTGATAAAGTTCACCCTACAAAAAAGTCAAATTCTTCCAAAATGGCCCGACGAGGAAGAAATGAAATAGCAAACCTGGCCATAGATGCGATTCTAACCCCCATCGTGCGAGGACCAAGGATAAGGAGGTTAAGACCGATGAGTAGGGTACGTACGAGAAGTCGATATGAAAAGTGTCTTCAAGATGGACCGATGTATCCAACAAAACGACCAAAACTAGATCTCAGTTTGAAGCAGTTCCCTGCAGCGAACCGTTCAAACAGTACGAAGAGAAAAAAATATCCAGACAGTACTGTGGCACGTACACAGCAGTCTGGACTGATCAAGAAGACATCAGTGTCCGATAGTCGACCTAAGGAAGTCCCCCATTCAACAAGAAAGCTACCACAGTCTCGAAGTGTAGGAACTGTTGATGCCACTAAAATATCTTCGACGAACAGACATAAGAGTAAAGAAAATTTGAAACGAGTGAACAAGCCTAAATTAAACCAAACCACGAAAATCGCAGGTAGTGCCGCGGATAAAAAGATCGATGTGAAGGCTGAACCACCGAAGAGTAAGACAACGGATGCTACGATTCAGTGTTCTTTGTTGTTCGATGTCCCTATGGAAAGACGCATCTCGAGAAGCAGAAGTTCTCTGTCTCGAGTACACGAGGATCAAGAGCCTGTCATCAAGATCGAAGTGATTGATTTAGTCGATGTGAAATCTGAAACAGAAGACGACACCGATGATCAGTTGCAGAGTCCAGAGAAGACTGTTACCAAGAAGTCGGACACGGATCGTTTCGTAAATTCAGAGCCGAAAAAAGGGTCAATGCCTCATGTGGAGTCAAGGAAGAAACAGTGTTTTAATAAAAACGAGGCAGAAGAACGATTGTGTATAAATTCAGAGAAAACATCGGCATGGTATGAAAAGTCAATTAAGAAATCGGCGTTCGTGCCCGTTAATTTGAATAGTGGAAGCTTAAGTATAGCGCGATTAAAATCCATTGGGTTTAAGCCTATAAAACCTTGTTCCACATCTAGCCACAAAAGTCAGGATTTTCAAAGCAGTCACCGGTGTTCCAGTGACAGTCCTAAGATTGCATCCTCTAGTGCCGTTGCCAAGAGAACGGTCAATGAAGAATATGACAAATATACAAGTGAAGAAAATAACATCGTGGGATACATGGACCAAGAACTGCGTTTTCAGGACATTGAAGAAGAAGACAAGGGTTCTTCATCGGCGTCGAGTGAAGACCTTCTGGATGATAAGAGTAAAATTAAGTCAGTGAAAGGTGGAGCTAAGACGCTTTGTAAGGAAGGTGCAATGGACTCACCAGAACCTGAGGAATCCACCTTTGAACGATCAGGATCCAGTCGGGATGAAATGGAAGAGGTTCGAGGGAAAGACAGATACGGTGACATCTTATCGATGGACGATGAACAAGAAACTCCTTGGCATGGGTGGAAAAAAGTCATTACAGACGAACAAACCTGTTGGGTAGGGTGGTAACACCCTTCGAGACTCCGGTGGGTAACAACAGCTTGATACCTGGTCGAAACATGAACTAGATTATGTACTCTTAATCGATAGTGTCAAAGGTGTTGCGTTACAATGCCTTCATAATGGACCAATAAAGGAGACGCTAAATTGGTGTGAATCGAAGAAAGTTATTAGGAATCTAGAAACGTTTTAAGGTGGCCTGTCACATATCGTACCAGTTTAAACACTTTATGCAGGAACGAGGTAGTATTTGGACTCTACTGTCGGAGCATAAATTAGGGGAGCCTGGTCCATGTAACGTAATTCTCTTGTATGTCGCGGATTCAACCGATGAAAATGAATTGTCATTATCAAAGCAAACAAAGGGAGTCCATGTGCAGTTTCAGCCCTGCGGTTCCTTCGTAAACCAAAACATTGTTCACCTCAAAATTACATTCGAGGCCTGCGGACACAGTGAAACCTATTTATTTAAGATACATTTATTTACATCTCGCTACATATCCTTTTAAAAAATACGATTTGCTTTTCTTTGCCTTCGACACCCTTAACTAATTACATCCCTGTGACTTATCGTGTGAGTACCTGCCAGAGTAGGTGCGTTCTAAACTCGTGTACAGCGAACAGCCTGTACACGTAGGAAAGCATACAAGAGAATTACCCTACTTAGGAACATTATTCGTACAACAAATCTGTGATCTTAAAGTGGCGGCACGATTAGTTATCGCGAAATCGTCATCAATGTCCCGTATCTTCTAAGAAACATTGATTAGGGATACGCGAATCGTTCGAGTTGTAATACAATTGTTGGACAGTCTCCTTGTATTACAGCGGACAGTCTTATTATTACGACGCTCCGACGGGAAAGGTATATTTTGTGAGGTGATTGCCTTCTCTGTTAGCTATTTGTACGTCGTTGAAAAGCTTTTATGAATTTAACTGCGCATATATATGTATATATATATATATACACACACACACATGTACAAGGTGTCTCTAAATTCGACGACCCACGTATGTAGATTTTCCGCGCGCGATCCGATTTTAAGGTGAACGATCACTCTTAATTTTTCACGACAAAAAAACAAGGGGAGAAAAAAAAATGAAAATCGAACGTACCGTCTCGTCGAATTCAGAGAAACCGTGTATGCAAATATGCTTTACTCGTACTCCGAGGATACACGGATTACTTTGTCGAACAAGTTGTGCACGCACCTTTCTATCGGTGTACGAACTCTGTCGGGTATTCGCAATTGACATTAGTAACAGGTGATGATCGGATTGCGGTACAAAGTGATAAGGACGTTCAAGAATGCGTCTCGATATTTCGTGCACTCGGGACAGGGCTCCGATACAGAAATCTGACGGATCCACGAATGAAGGGCAGCACGTTGACTCGAAATCTCTCGTTTTTTTTTCTCTTTCCAAATTCCTGATAGCCTCTGTACATATACTTGACAAAATCATGTAGCTCTTTAAGGCATCGGTGCCTTTCGATCGGAATTAGATAAAGCGCTATCACGTTCTTCCTGTACATACGGACCAAAGCGAGCGCGCGTGTCGGAGGAAGATATGTTGCCCTATCGGTAATTTTCCTCTCATTTCTAAAGAATCGTATCGTGTACTCGAAATTTGTACCTGGTCCTGAAGGAGTTCCGTCGTGTCCGACTTATAGGTACTTTCGCGAGGATCCTGTTATCAGAGTCGAGGTGCAAAGGAGCCCTTTTCGTTAAATGCTTTGAAACACAGCTGCGGTTAAAGAGACCCGACCCCGAAAATATGTACTTGGCGCGAGACTCGATCGAGTTTCTTCGTATTCTGTCGGAGGCCTTGGATACTTTTATTTTCCCATCGTTCCGTGCAATCGTTTCGCCGTTTATCAACTCGACGTCAAGAAGATATACGAAATTCGATCTCCGGAATGGGGGAGAATATTGAATTAAAAATTTGCGCACCTGTTATTGGTGGGCCTTTAGCTTAAAAGAAAAAAGAAAGAAAGATCCCAACGAAAAGACTCGATCCTTGGAAGATTTCGTTTTTCACACAGTGTACCGTTGCACATATAACTTTTGTAAATACGTGTGAATTGTTTCGTGTATTACGGTATATGTTATATGTATGTGTAAAGCTCCGACTCGCGGCTAGTAGGCGCATTCCAGAAAACGTATTTTCACGGTTTTACCTTATTACGTATGCGCGACAGAATAAATATCGAGCTGTTTGTGGACACTTATATTTGTAAATCTATGTACGGAAATAACCTCCGTAGCCAGATATTCAATAATATATTCTGATTATAAGAAAGCTATTAGGACTAAGTCTCTTCTTTTTTTTTTCTTGTTTTCACGTTATACCAGGTATCGATAGTTTATTTTATTATCCGACATGAGATACGTCGCTGTTCGTTTTAATATATATATATTTTTTTTATACACGTATCTGACGCTGTGCTTCTCTCAGTGGCGCTCGGCGAACGATTCGCGGAAAGAACAAACAAACAAAAAAAATTCGCCACACCGTTCGCCGATCTTGTTTGTCCTTACTCGATACGCTATGTTATAACGAATTATATATATATATATAATATATATATTATATATATACATTTATTAGTTTCCTCTTTAAATCTAGTGCGTGAGGTCGGGGTGGCGACACTCGACGTGAAACCGAAACGCCTGTATCGCGTCTCGCAAGTGGATATCAGCTGATTTCTGTCACCCATGCGACACTCATTCCGATAGTGGAAGGTCTGGCTCGCTTATCGCTAACGAACTGATCATACAAAGTACTGTATAAACTTGAAAACGAAACCTCTTACAGCGGGTCGCCGATGTACGCTAACTGGACGGGATATTTCATTTTTTTCTTTTCCGCAATTTCGCCTTCAGCGTGCGTTTGATTTTCTACTCATAAAAAAAATATCCCCTCGCCCAAATTTCATAGAAGTTAAACCTAAAGACTTTCAACGATAATCTCACAGCCCGCCGAGTCAATTGTTAATAAAAAACACGTCGTAACGATTACAAAAAGGAACGGCGAAACACTTTACGCGCCAGCTTGGCTTAACAATTAATAAGTATATCCCCCGTCCAGTCAGCGGTACACTCCCGATCCGTCGTGGATCCTCTCGTCACTGGACGAAATTAATTACGGGGATTGCCGAACGGAATATTAATTACGGTGGACGTACGAGGGCGAGATTAAAGAACACAGGGTCGGCACGCGGAATACAGTCGTCGACGGTCCACCATTTGTGGGTCCTCGCTTGCGTTAAGTACCGGTACGCGTCCTTCCCTCGGGTGAAATAAATACTTAAATGCAAAAAAAAAATAAAGAACTAACACAGAGAGAGCCCCCCGAGAGTACGGGTACGCGTTTCATACTTAATACTTGTCTCTCCCCCGCGAGAGTCGCGCCTACGAGAGCGATGTAACGTCGCCCCGGACGCCTGAGCATTATTAAAATAAATATCTTCTATAGCTATATTCATGTCATGTAATAAAACCATAAGTATTAACATGAAGATATATATATATATGTATGTATAACGTCGTGTGGAACTATATTACGGTACAGTGTAGCGTCGTCGCGCCGTATACACGATCCGTCGACCCGTCTTCGCGCGACAGCTCGTTTTCCCGTTTTTTTTTCCTTTTTTTTCCCTTCTTCCCTCGAGTTTAGCGAGTCAAGTTCCTACATGGCGACGCCCGGGAGCGGCTCGAATGGAACCCTTTTAGCAAGAAGGTGAAAGCGGTGTTCTTTTTTTTTTTTTTTAATTTTCTCTCGTCGCCTCGAAGAGATCCCTGTGTTTCCGGCCGGCCGGTGCGCAAAAAGGAGGCTCGCCTCCTTTTGCCTCCTTTCTCTCGATCTCGGCCGGTTCTTCCGGGTTAGCCTGGGGAGGTCCCGCGGGAGCGGCTCTCTCTCTCTCTCTCTCTCTCTCCCTCTACTGGAACTCGTCGTCGCTGCTCAGCAACATCGTCTTCTCGTTATAGTTCTGCGAGATGGTCGCCACTCGCTGGTTGGTGGTGCTGCGCCTCTGCGGGGGCGGCACCGGCATGTTCTGCGGGTCGTCCGGGTCGAAGCTGGACACTCGCATCCCCCGCTGACCCTTGGTGCCCCCTGGTCGTCAGAGTCGCCATATATTAGACAGGACTTCTGGGCTCGACTCGCTCGGGACGGAGTTTTTCATTATTTTTTCCCCGCGCTTTTAATTCGCGGAGTCGTCTCGGTCGGGTCCGTCTCGCGGTCACGTGGCCGCTGTCACGTGACGCGCGCCACGTGGCGTCCGTCAGCTGTCACGCCCCACGTGCTCGCCGCGCTCCATGCCAAGTGCAAGCCGCTACGGCCAGACGTGCAAATAATTCCCGAGATCGATTCACGGAATTCATTTCCACGCGTTGGGTGTAAGTAATTGCCAAGTTTCTTTTTTTTTTGTGCGGTTTTTTTTTTCATTGTATAATAATTCTCGAATTCTTCTCGTGGAAGTTATTTGCACACCGAGGATCGGCAAATACGTGTCTCGGAACGCTTTGTAAACCGGCCTCAAACCAATTCCCACCGTCGACGTCAACCTCCAAGTTACTCTCCCTTTAATTACGTTTAATTACACTGACGGCTTTCCAGGGACGTTTCGCGCTTTGCGCGGACCGGTTAGAGTATTAGTAACTTTGGACTAACTTTAGGCCAAGGGGTTAGACGATTAATTCGAGATCCAATTAGCGGTGCCCATCGCAGTTGTATGCGTGACTTCGCCGTATAGACGGCTACAGGAGCCTCGCCTTTACAAAGCGTTACCAAACCGGGTTAATAGAGAGAATGTGTCGCCGTCCGTTAGACGAAATAGAGTTCAAGCCGCCGCGACCTCGGATTCACGGTGCACCATGCAAATTATCGATATACAAGGAGAAACATGAAAGCCGATGGAGTTTCGTGCAGGGGGATAAATCGGGGGTAGATCAGCATTCTCGGGGAGACGTTCGAATCGTTCGGTATCGTCCGCATGCCATTCTTCTCGTAGACTGACAAAGCAAAATGATAGAAAATTAATCGCAAAAGCGCGAGCACCGACTTTACCGTCGGGTCGGATCAGTCGTGAGAAGGGAACATTGTCGGCTGTTATTTGTCGTCACAAGGTTTATTACATGTTAAGCAAGAAAAAACACGTACTCGATACACCGCTCCTTTTCTATGTGTTTTTTTCTTTTCCTTTTTCTTTAAATGCTTCAAACGTTAAGTTCCACTGCTTAAGTCTACTTCTCGTCACGGCGAAGGTCTCTCGTCGGTCGCGAAATCGAATCGACTCGTGGACGCGAAATACGTATTCCCAAGGCACCTCTCAAACGAGGTCTCCTCTTTCTCTCTCAGACAAGGGGCCCCTGTTACGGGTTACGTCGGCACACTTTCCCGAACTCAAAGAAAAGCACTCCCTTTCTTTCCCCCGATTGACTCTTTCTTACTCTCGAGAGAACGAACACAGGGGAACCGATTAATTGTACTTGGCGGATTTTTTTTTTTTTTTTTCAAAGTTCCGGCCGGTCGTGTCAAGCTCGGTGTTTACCATGTCTTGAAATTAAAACGTGAGATGCCCCCGCGTATTTCACTCACAGCTTTTCGTACGGCAAGTTGGTACTGACGTCTGAAAAAACAGCAAACAAAGTGCCTTCAGGATAACCCGGTACTTCTGCGGCAAGACTTGCGACCTCGCTTTTTTTATACGCTTCAAGGTGGAGGACGGAATACGCGTTATTAGTCTGCCATCCTGGTATTATCGACTGATTTGCCGAGCGATCGTTTAATAATTTATATTTCTAAACATCTCGGACACTCGCCGAACTATGACTTTTTTTTTTTTTTAGCAATGATATAATGAACCGGAATACGTCACCTTGACGACTGAACATTAATTCACCGGGATATCGCTGAACATTATCGGTTATCTTATCCAACGATCGCTTGGAAATGCAGTTCTGCGTGTGAGGATTATGCTCGACGGTGCAAAGTCACTTCGGGAGACGCGACTCAAAAAATCATATAAGTGTATAAATATGTACAAAAGCCAAAGCCGAAAGAGGAAGCACTGCGACTTGAACCTGCTTGACGTTCCATATTCTGAATTGCATATGCCTTTCGATAGATAAGATTAAAGAAAAAAAAAAAAGGTTACATGTACACTAATTCTCCAATGTTTGCAGGAAAAATTCAAAAATATATGCTGTCATAACAACTAACAAATCAAGGGCAGGCACCCTAACTAAATGTTTAGTATAAATCAATCTGAATCTATTAATTACTTTGCATGCAACATGGGGAGACGACGATGAAGTACATCCATAAATTATTACATGATCATCGGCAAGACCAACATTATTTTCATAAAACAGGCATTATTTAAAACAGTTAAACGTCAGGCCTTATCAAGAGACTTAAAGTTCTGGTCTAATCGAGTCACTATATTTCAGGAGTACTCACCTGAGCTGTATTGCGTATACTGTTGGTACTGAGGATGAAAATTATGGATGGCATCTGTCATAATATCCTTTGGATTCATTGTCTCCTAAAATGACATTTAAGTTTTGCTGTAATATTATATTTTTTATACTAACAAGATCTGTTATCAGATCAGTTTTGGAAGATATCTACCTTTAAACTGCTACTGATACTTTGCATAGTGACGCTGCGTCCCCTTGAGTCCGTGACACAGCCAGCTGAGTATACTTGATAAGGGAACGCGTAACGTAAGGCAATCGCAGCGAACAGCATCTCGATGCAAATCAAGAAGTTCTGGTAACCCGCAGACACGGTACCTGCACTGGTCGACTGTCCCAAACTGTTTATCACTGGTGAAATTATATTGGCCTTTTCTAATACAGCCAACAGTACACCTAGACAGTTGTAGATAGATATCAGGGTACGTGGAAAAATAATTCCTTTATGCAGCAATAGGTATATAAATATATAATGCATAACTTACCTTGCCAAAACGACAGGAAGATGACGCTTTTGACGGTGCAAAATTTAAGGACGGGCTCGAAAGGAGTGAGAAGATCCCTCGTGGCAAAGTAGAATAGGAAAAGTCCATACAGAGCAAGCGATACGCTGATATTATATATGACAGTGATATATATGTAACCACCATCCGGAGACCAATCTCCGTCTCGATAATGTCCAAAGGATTGCAGAAATATAATGACAAAAGCCATGACTGGCTTAACCAGGCAGAACTGAAGCGTGGCCTGCTTGCAGAATCTTAAGAACCCAATGGTATAGGTCTTCCCGACGAGGCAACAAGTTCCATAAAGACAATTTGACCTTATGGGCTTCCCACGTATCTCGGACATGATATTGCCCTCGCCACCCAGGTACTCGTAGCACAGGGAGAGGAAATTGTATATTACAAACGCCTCGTAGCAATCCCGTACCGTGAAGAAGTATACGTAATAGCTTTCGCTGTTGAAGAATAACAGCGATACCCAAGAGTAAGTTGCATAAATCGGAACGATGAACAAGATCCTGACTATCCACCGTTGTTCCGTCGGGTTGGTGTACCACCTTAAATGCTGATAGATCTATAAATAATGTACACCGTTAAAGAATCAACCCTTTCCAAGAATAACGCGTTAATCCTATATAAGGGGGACTCACTTGTTGGCATGTTAGAAAAAGAGCGACCCATACGAACGCTCCCGCGATACCTTGAGCGGTACGAGTCTGCAGGAAAATAGGCGTCGCTTCCTTGGCATCTACTTTGGAGACTAAGTCGACGATTCCAGTGACCGTCATCGCCGTGGCGTTCTCGGTCACCGAGGTCACCGGTGACGATACCCTGGCTGCTGCGCTACTATCCATAATTTAGCCTGAAAATAAGAAACAAACCATTACCACCATACACCTACCATCGAGTCGAACAAAAATTCCAGACAAAGCGTCCCATTCTCCGAGGCTCTCAGCATCTCCGAACTATCCCAGAGCATCGAGTCGATTGCCAAACAAATAGTTCTCAATTTCCCGAGGCCAGGTCACTCAGCGTTGAAAACCCGCGAAAAGTGCGAAAAGCTGTTACGAAGAACGCGTCGGTGGAAAATCGATATGCACAACAACAAACCCAAGTCAGTCCCGTGCGTGGACCCTGACCACGCACTGAGAGTGCCGTAAGAATCGGTCTGTTTATGCCGAAGGCGCGAGCCCATGCGCGAGCACGAATTTCACAGGTTACGAGCGATGCGACGGTCGATCGATTCCGCGAGAACGGTCCGCCGCAGGTTGGCGGATGATCGATCACTGGCCAATCGGAAGGTAGTTGGGAGTCGCGGAAACCCCCAAGATGTCCTAAAGGGACGCGATTCCGGACCTGCGACTTGGGGCGTCCAGTTTCGCGGATGCGGGGCCGCGATAAGGGCCTCGGGTGCTACAGCGCCAGCTGGCGATGCTGGCAATGTTGGCGATGCCGATGACGCTAATAATGCTGGCGGCGTTCGCGAGGACTGGCCGCGGAGGCGGACGTGTCTCGCTCGACGAGCAGCGGGAGGACCTGCGGCGATGAGTGGCTACGTGTGGCGGAAAGTCCGTGGCTCGCGAATGACCTTTCGAGTCTCTCCGAGATCGGCCTCTCTCCGAGACCACTCGTCGGGCGGCGATGTATCACCGCGACGCGCTTTCGCTCATCTCGCGGCACAAATTGTCCTCGGCGGGACGGCTAACCCGACGCGCGGAATCCCCGAATCCGGAGGAACACGGACGACGCGACGCAGGAGGTTGACAAGTCCAGACAAGTCCCCGACTAGCCGCGCATACTCGTGTACTCGAGAGCACCGAGAGCGCCACAGAGCGCGATTTATTCTGCTTACACCACTCACACAATGAAATCCCACTTCCCTGCGCCGACCGCAAGCGCCACCGAGCGCAACACCAGTCCGTGAGACGCCGTTACTGTGTGCGTTCGCGGCGGCCGCTCTTGATTGCTCCTCTTCCACCTGTCGGCCTCGCGTTCCGCGTCGGCCGTCTCCCCTCTCTCTCGCTCCTGCGTCCAGTCGCGTAGCGCCGTCCTTCTCGCGCGACTCCTTTCCTCTAGACCGCGTCGCCAGCGCCGCCCGTGGACCCCGCCGGAAACTCACTTGTGCGACCGCGCTGCGCTAGAGATCGAAATTATCGAAACCCCAGTCGACTTTGTAATCGGCGGATTCGGCTCGAATTCCTTTGCGGTTTTTATCCCGACTTTAATGACAGTCCGCGTTTATCGCCTCTAAGCTCGGTTGAACGTTTCTCCTAACCTGAATACCGCTCTCGTGATCTTGCATCCCGATATCGAGTACGTGGAAATGGAAGCGTTACGTTATTCCGCATCTTTATCACTCTCCTTTTTCGGTTATTAGGAATAAAATCGGAGTAGTTATGTAAACTGCGCGAGAATCCTCTCGGGTCGTTATTATATTAATTTGGTTTACGAATGCGGCAGGGAATCCGCATTCGTGTATATAGATATTGAGCCTCGAGATCTTGTTAACGTTGCATCTACACGTTACAGGGGAGAGAGGAAACTCGAGAAAACCACGAGTGGCTAGAATTTGCGCCCGTCCTTAATATCGCGACGTGCGGCCAATGTCGACAGGCTAGCCTCGGGTGGGGCAAACCTGTTTTATTTCACGTTTTGTTTTCCTCTGATGTAAATCGAACTCGGATTGCAGTACCGACGCGTCGGCTGTGCGGGAGAAACGTGCGAACTCTTCTCGAATCAATCTCAGCGATTCTCGACTCCACAAAGATTTCTCTAACCCCACGCGAAGCCTATTGATCGCAAGCAAATTGAATTTCCCTTTCTTAGGAGAATTTTTTTGTGAATATCTTCGCTTACTACCTCGTTTAATCGAATTTCGGAGTGCCGTATATAATTACCATTGAAGGAGTACGAAGTGCCGCCATTCCCCGCAAGATGGCGCCACTTCGGCCGCGCGAGTTCCCAGAAGCCCTCGCGCGAGGATTGCGCCGAGGCATCGCGCACATAACCTGCAAGCGCTCGCCTATCTACATTTTTCCACGTTTTACGTCGGAACTTCCGTGGCGCCATCTTCACGACGCAAGAGAAATGCCCAAGGACTCGTATTCATCGTCCATTTACCGTCTCGCATGGTCGCGTGTGACATAACACGTCGTTTGATCCCATCACACGCCGGACGCTGCAAGACCTCGTTGCGTCCTTCTCGCACCCATCACTGAGAAGGAGGAACGGAGAAGGATGCAGAGATGATCTCGCAACGTTCGAGGAGGGTCCGGAGCGCATAGAGAACGCGACGCTGATTGGCTGCTAGAAGCTGGTACGGTTTCGCACGAGCAATCCCCGGGGCTTCGAGGAACCGCGGGCAGTCGGTTCGCGACTCTCGTCGCCGGTGGATCGTTCGGGTGGGGTTATGTGACCGGCGCTAGTTCCACGACAGGAGCTGAGAAACCCAAGGATCTCCACGGTATATACTGCACCGGGCACGTAATTTACGCCAGTATTTGTAAGAAAAAATTAGAAAGTAAGACCTAAATGAACCGTTACGCGGCTGACCGCTATACAAGGGGGTGACGTTCGCGTTACGCAAATCGCGCGTACAAATAGCGCGTACAAATAGCGAGAAGCGGGCCACGAATTAATTCGGCCTGCGGGTCGTCCTATGAAATCGCCGGCTTTACGGCCGATTGTAAATATCTGGTGCCGCCGACCTCGATGAGAAACGCGGGACTATCTACCTATCGAACAAAGAACCCCAAACCGGTAGGAGGAAATCAATTCTTCGTAAATCTGCATTCTATTCATCTACCGACTGAATTTACATGTATCACTGATTACTAGGATGTCAGGGAGGTATACGGAATTGATGCTCATTCATGGAACGTTAATTTCCCCGGTAGTCGAGGCTGAATTTAAGAGTAGCCGAAAGGCGATTGAAGAGCGTTGCCTCGTCATCGTACAAATGGTTATTAAGCTCGACCTCCGCTGTTCTTGTTTCTGCTCGTGTTCTCGTCGAGATTGTGCGCACACGTGCCGAGCACGAGGAGGCGTGACAATCGTAGAGAAAAAAAAGACTGCTTCACTGAAGATAAATAAGAAAGAAAAAGAAAATCACTTAACCGTGTTTGGTTCATCTGAAAACATGCTTGTCTAGGAAAGCGAAGTTTCAGTTGAGTTAACACCGCGACCGGAAAATCCATTTCTTCGATGGACCTGAATTTTAGAGACGATCTTAGTCGATGAAGCGATATTCATTAGACCGATTTATTCGGTCTAATAAATATTTAAACAATGTTCTATGGTCGATAGAAAAATTGTACCGAGTGAGGAAATTATTTTTCTGCGTGGTTGTATGTGCAGAGCCACTTCTGTCATTTACCCTTGACAGGTGTCACGTGACCATGGATTTTCATGTCAAGCCTCTTTTGACGCGACACGTGCTTCGTGATTTCGGTCGTTGACCGGCGAGTTTGTGTTAATAGACCTCGAAGGAGACACGTCCTTTACCCAGCATTTCCCGATACTGTTATCAGGTCTACGTTGTACCCATTACACTCAGGGCTGAGGAAAAGGCTGGTAACTTTGAGTTTCCCATTGCGGAATCGTGCAGCAGTGCCTCTGACATCTGTATCATCCCTGTCATTTGGCGATAAGATAACAAGCGCGCGCTTATTTGCGGTCTGCCACACGCGGGGAGCAACGCCACGAGCGAATATTAATTAATATTCACACCTGGGCCGACGTTGAGCGTGAATATCAATTAATGTTCACCTTCAGAGCGACGCCGAGAGTGGATGTTAATGTTCATCCCAGGAGCGACGCCACGTGGGAATAATTATTAATATTTAAAACATGCCCCACGTGGCTTCCTACCTGAAGGAACTCTGCGTTTTATACGGAGAACTTTACGGTGGGCTCTTAACATATATCTGAAGGTTGGGAGAAGAAATGTAAATGAGCGGGGTATTATTTTCGCTTTTTTAACCGGCGTTGTTGGTCTCGCCCTCGTGACGCCTCTTAACTCTGGCTCGCTCTCGTAAACTAGTAAACTAGTTTCATCGAAGGATTCATTTGCGGAATCGGCCCAAGTCGAGTCACGCGGTGGGATGTCAATTGACATCGCGAGCATACTAGAACGCACACGACCGAGTACATCGGCGACCACTCGATGGGGCTTTGAAATTTTCAATTGCCTTCTGAACGCTTCCGGACCCTGAGATATGCTATTAGCGTTTTTTAATCTTAATTTTAAGACAATCTCGAAACAAGCTGGGGGGTAAAATCGAACCGTGTCGCGGTTTAAGGACACTTGTTGCACCTTAAGGCCGATGACCATTCGAGTTAAAATACTTGACCAAGGATTAATTAATTAATCGGAGATTAAAGTTAACCGCTGTTATATTATATAGTACTGACAACCGCCAACTCTGGTTATCGGTGCTATATAATATAACAGTGGTTACTTAACGACAAATTTTAATCTCCCATTGGGATAATCTTTGAAATTGTTACTAATCCGAGATTATTCCTACACTGGGGAAAGTAATTTTCATTTAACCGAATGGTACCAAAGAGGTATTTCGTTAATTCGAGGAGTCATCATAGTTACCTCGAATAAATTGAATGCTACGTGATTGTGATCACTTAAGTCGAATAATTGGTCTTTGGATTAATGAGATACTTTTGGGGGGGTTTAAATGTTCCTTTGGTTCGAGGGATTTTTTCTTTTTTTTTGTTTCTTCCACCGCGTGGTTTGGGAATTTTATGGTAGTGTCCTTAGGGCCCTTAGGGATCGAAATTCCTGATATTCGGATCGCAAGGGATCGACGGCAAGGAGACGTCGATCGGCGCCGATAACGAGAGAGGGGATCCGTGGAAAAATTGCAAAGCGACGGAGGCGACTGCTCGGTCTGAGGTCGACGAATGGTCGCGGGCGGTTCCCGAAGCCTCGAAAACATGGAAGTACCTCGCTAGAGCTCCCGATATACCCATCGTTATTTGTTAACGGTATTACGGAGGTTTGCCGATCGGCGATAAGACTGTTTGAAAGGAAGGCATCGGGCATTAATCAAGCGAGGCGCAACCGTGACACCGAAGGTCGCTCGTTTTCTCACCGCGAGAACCGAGCACTTGACCGTGTTTCGCTTATTGTTGGCGTTAAAAATAAGAGAAAAAAGAAAATAAAAGTGTAACTTGTTGCCTAAGCTCCTTCCGCGAAGCCTGGAAAAATTGCCAGGCCTCGTGATAAGGGCTGCCCAGCTTGAAGGAAAAAAAAAAAAAAAAAAGAAGAAATTCGTCCCGAAGAAAATGGGTGCATTCAGAGGAGACAACTGTTGAGTGATCGGTTAGCGCTCATCTGCTCAATGGGTACGTTTACTCAACATGTTTACTGATCAGATCATTCTGATCGCCATTTTCAGCAGAAAATCCCAACATGTTCCCAACTCATCGGTAACCGATTTTCTCCTCTGAATGCACCCATTGTCAACTGCGGAAGTAACCTCGAGGTCGGTTTCTCGTCGCGGCGCGAATTTCAACTTTGGTTTTTTTCATCCGGGATCCAGCGTATCATAGTTAGTCATAATTTATCAATGTCTAGAGTAGTTGGCGTTAGATTTAGTTCATGCGGAAGGATGAGTTTCACGTGTCTTTCGATGGATCCGTTGCATAACGAAACGACTAGGACAAAACGCCGAATCATGCGACGTGCTTGTTCCTCGCTCCGTGCATGCCGCGTAATCACGGCGACGTAATCGCCGTTGTAATTGCCTTCGCGAAACGCTTTGTCGAGCTGGAATGCAACGGAAAAGCTGACGAGCTGCGATGTTCAGAGCAGCTGGTAAATGATCTGGCCGAGGTGGGATTATACGAGAAAAATCAAGTGTCATCCCGTTGCGCAATTGTGGTGGACGTGCGTGGAAATTGCGAGTCGGTGTACGGAGGAGGAGAGAGATTGCGTGGAGCAATGATTGTAAACACCGACGAGCGGCACGAAATACCCTTAAATGATTCTATTAATCATTTGGATTAATTGGACTCGATTAGATCGGGTTTCTGCGATACCTCATTGGCTCGTTATCTCCAGCTGCTCTAAATGTCCTTAATTCTATCACATTTTATATGATATTATTATTTAGCGTTATGGAATTTCACTTTGCCGTAGTCCGTTTAATTGGGAAAAATGTACGACTCGATATGGGCGACGATGAAAGGGTGTAAAGATAACGCCGGTATTACCTTGGGACACGTGTCATTGCTGCGACAATATTTGTCTACTGGGACAGACGTACAGAGAGAAAGCATTGTCATGGGATGAGTAGTCGATCGTTCCGTTACCGATCACCGTTTCTCTGACGAGGCGATTTTCATCCCGCCGATAAGAGCACTATCAAGCGGACCATTAGCCTTCTAATTGAGCACCTGTGCGATTACTGATCTCCCGGATATAGTGCATAATAAATTCGATCGACCGTATCATCTGTATCTTGGAATCGCGTACTTGAAGAGGCGTACTCGAGGTAATTGCAATTAGGGCCTCGAGTTGTTCGTTATCAGGGGAGTCTCGTTAACGATCGAGTTGAAAATATTCCACTCGTGCGTCTGTCGATCAATTCACATTGTGGAAGTGTCAATGAACGACGGGTTATCACCGATCGTGGGAAATCGCGATAAGTAGCTGTCGATGACAAGGCGATGTAAATATAGCGCGCTCGGTTTTACCCGAATCCGCGTAAAGAGTTGTTTGCTTGACAGATCGAAGTGACGTAAACGGTCAAGGTTAATCCGGAAAATGTTCTAGTTGAGGTGTTAGTTTTTATTATTTAGAGGTATTATTGGTATTATCATTTTGTAGGATACCTAATTGTAATTTGCGGAAGGTACTGCGTCCTTTAAGGCCAATCCCGATATGTCTTACTGATAGGGAACTGATATGGAGGAGCATCTTAATCTAGATCCATTTTATTTCCATCAGGACATATCGGTATCAGTTTTTATTTTATTAGAGGTATTATTAGTATTATAATTTTGTAGGATAACTAATTGTAATTTGCGGAAGGTACTACGACCATTAAGGCCAATCCCGATATGTCTTACTGATAGGGAACTGATATGGAGGAGCATCTTAATGTAGATCTATGTTATTTCCATCAGGACATGTCGGGATCGGTTTTTATTTTATAACCGTTACGAGCCGTTATTGGTGCCCAACTCAGGCGCAATGACACACCTATGAAACGATACGCCCGAGATAAGTATTTTCCCACCTTGGGAGGAATCGCTCGACGGAGGCACGTCCTTACCGATAAATACAGGCTTCGTTTTCGCTCGCGGGTTACTCGCGTCGGAGATTTCTTCCCGCTCGCGGTCGTAGTTTAAGAGTAAACTCGAGTGACGACACCTTGAGGAGATAGTGGTTGATAGCGGGATTTTAGATACCGTAGAAAAAGGACCAATTCTCGATTTGATGTGCGACACCTGGTCGAATTGAAGTCATCGTACAGGGTCGGTGAACAGAGATTTTCTTTACTCGAGAGCGAGACCGTAGTGACGTGATAATAATTTAATCGGTGCATGGTGCCATTGTGCTTATCAATATTTCTCTCGTCCTTACAGTGGCGAACGATCGGAGCACATGCCTTCGGAGAGCTGACAGAGGATTCGAAGGATGGACACGACAAAGTCAAAAGCTAAACCCAACCCACGGGAGATGGCGAATTCCCTTTCGGTGCTGCTTTGGTGGTAAGTCATTGAAATATTAAATCAACACGGATGACGATCTACTCTCCTTGACATCGCATCGAGGATCTGTAATGCTGGTTTTATATATACTGAACTTATTTCTACGTAACTTCCAAGTACGTCAGCTAATGATAACGAGTTTATGTCTGCCAGGGAGAACCAGAGTAATGACTTTTTATCTCCCTCGGCCATTGAGTGCTAAATATTTATCGAAGCACTTATCTGTCAAGTGATCTTTGCTTGGTGTCCGTCTTGTATTGGTTTATTCTAATTAATTGTACAGGCTTATGATGAAATCCTGGACTTCTCTCTTCGTTACAGGTGGACGATAGATCTATTTAAAAAAGGTTACACGAAGATACTCGGAGTCGACGATTTGTACGATCCTGTGAAAACCGACCGATCTAATGTACTCGGGGACAGATTAGAAACGTAAGTACCCTCTCGTTAGTTGTCATAGTTGCATGGTCTTGCCAAGATCTTGCAAGAGATTGGATCGTTGTGCTTCTAGGCGGTGGAACATAGAGTTGGAGAACGCGAAGAAATACAAGAGGCACCCTAGTCTCTTGAAAACCATCTTTCGTACTTTCTTGTGGGAGTATTTTCTACTTGGACTGATGCAGATACTCAATGAGTTTCTAATAAGGTGGGTATACTCGACACTTTGGAAGTCCCTTTAGTAGTTTCGGTCATGAAATTCGCCGAAAACTTGAAGAAATCGAGCTGAGAGAGGGAACTTCATGTCCGCAGATTGGGAACTCCAATTCTCCTCGGTGGCCTTTTGCGGTATTTCAAGACTTCGCCAGTGGAAACCTACGAATCCGCACTCCTCTACGCTGGTGGAATTTCCTTGGCCACTGCCATTAACGTGATTTCCATAAATCAGGCTATATTCGGAGCTTTCCATATCGGTGGAAGGATCAGAGTTGCCGTTTGCTCGCTCGTATACAGAAAGGTCAGTCATCGAGGCAGCGCCCCCTCGTCGGGGAGATATAATTTTCAATAACTATCATTCTTCCTACGTTTGCTTTTCTCTTTACTTCAGCTTGGTTAGAGATTGCGGTATCTACACGTTGAAGTTTTACCAACGACGAGATAAATCTCGATGTTAGCAAATGCCCGCGACGCGGTGAAATTATTGGCATTAGCTCGGGGCGGATAATTTATGCGTAAATTAATGAGTATTCGTTGAAACAGGCTCTGCGGCTTAGTAAGACAGCCCTGGGAGAGACCGCTCCTGGAAAAGTAGTCAATTTGGTGGCTAACGATGTCAACAGATTTGATCTCGTTTCTATCTTCATACATCATATGTGGTCTGCGCCGTTATCGACGCTAATCATAGCGTATTTTCTTTACACCGAAGCTGGCTACGCAGGGTTGATCGGTATAGCCGCAGTGTTTATCGTGGTACCGATTCAATGTAAGTCTACAAATTACAAATGACAATTAATTCAAGACAAGTCTTTGCTCTTCCTCGCTCTTATTCTATCTCTTCGCTTTATATCCAACCAGTTGGTGGACCCGGCGTTGCCGGGACTAGTTTTGTATTATTCTTTTAAATAATTTCCTAAGCGGTGAATATTACTTTTAATCTTTTTATCCTTCCCCCCCGTTACCGTATTATAATTTGGTCACGCTTCTAGCTTACACCGGAAAGCTCTCTTCGAAGTTCCGGCTGCAGACCGCCATCAAAACGGACGAGAGGGTGCGACTGATGGACGAGATCATCTCCGGGGTCCAAGTAATCAAGATGTACGCATGGGAAAAGCCTTTTTGCGCGATGGTCGAGCTTGCCAGGAGACTCGAGCTGCGTGTCGTCACGAAGAGTTCTTACATACGTGGCATTTACATGACGTTCAACCTTTTCACGACGAGGATGGCTCTGTACTGCACCCTCATCGGGATAATCATGCTGGGCGATCGCAGCCAACTGAGCGCTGAGCGAGTCTTCGTCATCTCCTCCTACTTCAACATCCTGGCTCACACCATGTCCGGCATGTTCGTCCGAGGTTTCGCGGAGATCGCGGAATGCCTGGTGGCTGTAAGGAGGTTGCAGTACTTCCTCATGTACGAGGAATTCCACGGAAGCAACGCGTCGGCCCATCGGAATCTCAGCATCTCGGACGGTACCGTAGAGTCCGACACCGGAAACAACTCGAAGAAACTGTCGAAACCGGACCTACCCTATATCGATGACGTCGACGAGGTCGAGGACAGTAGCACGGAGAGGAGGAAACACAATGGCCTCATCATACTCGCGAGCGACTTGCTGAAGACCGCCAACCTTGTCAATGGTAACGCCAAGTTTTCCTCGCTACGGAATCGTCGCTTCCGTTTGCCACTAAAAACCACCAGATCGGGCCTTGGACATTGACTGTTCACTTGATTACAATGTTTCACCAATTAGAGACGAGCTATGTATGGAATCCGCGGGGTGTTCGCTGAGTCAGAGAACGTTGAATCGTGAGATTGCAGTTTCTTTGAGATGCGCAACTATTACGGGACTGTTCCTTGAACTTGGGTTTATCCGGAGTTCGCACTTTTCGAGTGGCGTCAGTTACAACGCTATTGTTCTCGTACTTGCGAGCGGAGCCAATGTTGATAAGATTTATTTTTCAGAGAGGAAAGGCGATACGACAGCCCCACACCCGTGGGCGGTCAAAATGAATAACGTTACCGCCAAGTGGGAGCCGGGTCAGTCGGAGAACACGCTGGAGAAGCTAAACCTTGAGGTGGAAAAGGGAAAGTTATATGTCGTCGTCGGAATGGTCGGGGCTGGGAAGAGCTCCTTGCTCGCGGCGATCCTTGGGGAAATATCTCTCGTACAAGGCGACGTCAAGGTCAAGGGAAAACTGAGCTACGCCAGTCAGGAGGCCTGGGTCTTCGGTGCGTCCGTCAGGCAAAACATTTTGTTCGGTCAGCCTTACGAACGCCATCGGTATCAGCGTGTCGTCAAGGTCTGCGCCCTTTTGAAAGACTTCAAACAATTTCCCCAGGGCGATCAGACCGTCGTCGGGGATCGAGGTAGCTCCCTGTCCGGAGGCCAGAAGGCTAGAATTAATTTAGCTAGAGCGGTATATAGACAGGCAGACGTCTACCTACTGGACGATCCTCTCAGTGCGGTAATTGATACAATTATCATACACGTATTTCCTCGTGGCCTATTTACGATATCGTCCAACAATCTTTCCAACAGATTCTGATCGCGTTAATGCGATTCTCTTGCGTGTAGAATAATTTATGTACGTGATTACGTTCCACCAGGTAGACGCCCATGTAGGCAAGCACTTGTTCGAGGAATGCATTCAACGGTACTTGTACGGTACCACCAGAATTTTGGCGACTCATCAATTGCAGTACATTAAAGCCGCCGATGCGATCGTCCTGCTGGACCAAGGGAAGTTGAAGATTTATCGGAGTTACCAGGAGTTTACGAGCTCGTGCCCTCAGTACGCCGATTTGATCGTGACGGAGGAAACGGACACGAGCGAGGAGGCTTCCTTCGAGAGGTCCGGAATTCGACGCCAGGTCTCCACTTCCAGCAACAGAGTAAATACCGATGTTAATTAATATTCAGGTAGTTAGCGGAATGTAGCCTAATAAGACTCTCGTTGGAATAGAGCAGGACTCCAGATGTCAGCGGTGGGGACACCGACGTCGAGGACGACGAGGCCGATCAGGAGAATCAGGAGAAATTTCTAGAAGGCACCTCTCGCGGAGTCGTCAAGGGGTCCATCTTCTTGCGGTATTTCTTGTCGGGTTCCAACATCTGCGTCGGGATGATCGTAGCTCTGCTCTTCGTCCTCACTCAATTCTTCGCCAGTCTCAACGATTTCTTCATTCCGATTCTGTGAGTCGATATCACCGACCTCGACGACGTTTATTCTTACAAATAGCTATTTTCCACGTATTTCTATTTTTATCCATTTTTTTTTAAGGGTTGGCTCAGAAGAAAGGCGCAATTACCTTAACACTTTGAATACGACTGAGAATGTCACTAGGGTCACCGAGAACAGTGGCTATGAGGACTTCCTTCCGTTTACAACTTACATATACATATACTCGACAATTGTGATAGCCATATTTATAATTGGTATCGTAAGGTCGCTGACATTTTATACATTGTGTATGCGATGCAGCCAGCGGTTACACGATATGATGTTCGGCGCATTGATAAGAACGGGGATGCGTTTCTTCGACACGAATCCCAGCGGGAGAATTCTGAACAGGTTCTCGAAGGACATGGGAGCAATAGATGAATTACTGCCAAAGGCTATTCTAGATGCCGGCCAGGTGATCTTAATGATGTGCGGCTCCTTGATAGTGTCTTGTACGGTCAATCCGATTTTCCTGGTACCGATATTGATCCTGGGAACGGTCTTCTATTGGATCCGAAAGGTCTATCTAAAGACGAGCAAGAATGTCAAACGCTTGGAGGGAATGAGTGAGTCCTCTTCGATAATTCATTTATTTTACATTCTTCGGCATTAGACGCGACAAGTGAAGCTTAGTAACATTTGTAGATCTAACCTGAATTATTTACACCCATAGCACGGTCCCCAGTGTTCACGCACCTCAATGCCACTCTCAATGGTTTGGCTACCATTAGGGCGTATGGTACTCAAGATATCCTCAAGCAGGAGTTCGACAAGTTCCAAGACGTGCACACCTCTTCCTGGTACATGTTCATCGTGACAAGCACTGCATTTGGTTTTTCTTTAGATGTCTTTTGCTTTATATTTATTACCGTGGTCACCTTCAGTTTCCTCCTGCCTAGCGACTGTGAGTAAACCGCCAGTTAGATTATCCTATATTTTCGACAAGGCGCCGCTTCGTGACGTGGAACGATCAGGGTCGATTTCGATAAGGGACCTTCCGAGTGCGATTTCACAGATGTTCGGTTTATATATGTAGAACGATTGGACGGAAAGCGGGAAATTAGTCCAGCGGCTTTGCGTCGGCAGTTACTATATAATTGCGTGAATTCTTGTTTAGCTTCCACCGGAGGACAAGTGGGGCTGGCAATTACGCAAATAATGTCTATGACCGGAATGATTCAGTGGGGCATGAGGCAGGGTGCAGAGGTTGCGAATCAGATGATGTCCGTCGAGAGAGTCGTCGAATATACCCGGCTGCCTCCTGAATCCAACTTGCGTGACACGGGAATGGCGGAGATGAAGAGCATACAGAGCCTCTCCCCGACACCGTCGCCAGCTCCGAAAGATTGGCCCACCAAGGGACACATTAAATTGAGAAACGTCTATCTGAGATACAGCGAGGACAGCCCGCCAGTTCTGAAAAATCTAAACCTAGAGATTCATCCATCCGAGAAGGTTCGTAGAAGGGTTAAAGGCGAAGAGAACGATGTCTCATCGCGGTCTACTTTATCTAGGTGGGCATCGTTGGAAGGACCGGTGCTGGGAAGTCGTCCTTAATTTCCTGCCTCTTCAGGCTCGCAAAGGTGGAGGGTGTTATCGAAATCGACGGCGTGGACACCGGCTCGATATATTTGGAGGACTTGCGTAGACAGATTTCCATAATACCTCAAGACCCCGTCCTATTTTCTGGAACGCTGCGCCGGAATTTGGATCCCTTCGACGAGTTCCCGGACGATGCCTTGTGGGCGGCCCTTGAGGAGGTCAGTAAAGACCTTGGTTGGCAGGCTGGTGAAGAGGGGACTTTGTTGTGAATCTTTTAGACAGGAATGTTAAACATTTGATTGTGGTATCAGGGAGTAATTGATTTTAACAATTTTAGGTGGAGTTGAAGGAGGCCATCATGGCGACTGGAAATGGGCTGGAAAATCGCGTCCAGGACCGAGGTGGTAATTACAGTGTCGGGCAACGGCAACTGGTTTGTCTTGCTCGAGCTGTACTGAGAAATAACCGAATATTGATGCTCGACGAGGCTACCGCGAATGTCGACCCTCAGACCGATTCTCTTATCCAACGCACGATAAGGACCAAGTTTGCCAGGTGCACAGTACTTACCGTTGCCCATCGATTAAATACCATAATGGACAGTGATAAAGTCCTGGTCATGGATAAGGGTCGCATAGCGGTAAGCGAATGTCATTACTTTTTATTATAATATTATTCTATGTTATTTATATATGATTGTTGCGCGTGTTCCAGGAATTTGATCATCCTTATGCACTATTGCAAGACAGTTACAGTAATTTCAATTCAATGGTGAGAGAAACTGGTAGAGCTATGTACGATCAACTTGTCAGAGTTGCAAAACAAGCCTACTTGGCGAAGAACAAAGATTCGCCAGCTGAGTAATCGAGTACTTGAAAGAAGATCTGATAGTATCACCGTTTTTGTATTTATTGGAGGGATAGATAGAGAGAGAGAGAGGATCTGACGAGTGCTTCGGGCGTTCATTGGAGAATGCACGCCATACTTATAGTATACTTATATTTTTTTAAATAGGAGTCCACTGTGAGATAAAGTGAACGTATTAAGATTTCTGAAACTAAATCCTCTTCATCGCGCGTATATAACCTAAATTAATAATAATTATCATGAAGAGGAGGCGCTTCCCAAGTACACGTAATTCTTTCGGCGTAAGAATTTTTACTTTCTATGAAATTCAGCACATACTAGACGTATGTGCACCTCTACTGATCTTAAAAAGTATTACGTTAAGAAGTTCTTTTTTTTTCTTCTTTCTATCATGCTATTGTCAAATGGTAATTCAGTAGTTCGATAACTCCAGTAATAATTGCTACAATTATCCCAAATCGATGCTGCCAAATACACTTGTTACCTACCTTTTTACAAGTATATTAAATTAATGCAGTACTTATATTTGTACTTCAAATCATATTACGCGTATTTCATAAAGTCTGTGATCGTCAGGATCGTCGTGGTATTTTGACCGTAGACGAGTTACGGACATCTAGGTCACGTTATCAGCCAATTATTGTTAAAGGGAGTCCAATGTTTACAAATGCTATTATTGTATTTTACTACCACTTAAAACAGCTCTATTATAAGTATAACTTACACCTGCATTCATTAATATCGCTTCGACTTCCTGTCATTTGGGAACCTCCTACGTTTCCAATCTTAATCGATTCTTATATCCATTTGAGACAAATCTTTTGAGAGGCGGCATTAATGAATTCGTGCGTTCATGTATAAATACCTTGGGAGATTGCTTTCATCGGAGTTGAATACAATAGACATTAGTTTAATAATAGTGACGGGGAGAAATGATCACATCGGTGCACGAATACAAGAAACTAGGGTACGTGTACAATTTGTTTACGAAATCATTCCAGACTTGATCACCCGAAATATTGACATTTCATTAGGTGTGCATGGCAATATATTTCGATTCATCGTCACTGGATGTTGTATCCTGTTAATGTGTATAGAAGAGATTTAGAACAATTGTACATACGGTATTTTGATTACATAATATTCAGTCCTTAATCACACTTGTAACAAATATGTAAATGCAACTAAATATCAGGTCAACCTTGCAAATATGACCGAGGTGATGTATATTACTTATCGATAGCCTCAGTTTCTTGGTCAATTAATAGGGATAGGTGGTACGATTTTTGAGTTCCACTTACTTAATTGTACAATCACACAACGAACTGAAGTGCGCTTATCACAAAACTGGGAAGATATATACACTGTATGGCTATGTACGTAAAACTGCATTTTATGTTAAATAAACGTTATTAAAATCATTTTATTTCTCTGAGAAACGAGATTAAAGGTGCAGTAGACCTACAAATACTTATCGGTGTTCACTGCATCCGATAAAAGCAAATAACACTTCCTTGCTAACATTGAGAATTATATTTTTCAAATGCTACATTCTTTAATTCCATATTTACAAAAAGGAATAATTCACTTAAGTATAAAATCATTTGGATAATCCATAATTCTTGGGAATTGTTCAACTTCTTCTGTCGGTATATGATCCAATCTCACTGGGACCGGTCTTAACTGGCGAATTTGGCTACTAACATTTTGTAAAATATCCTCCGGAACATCATCATCGGGAAAAATATGCAGCCTTTCCATTGTATATCTTCGTTGAAGATTGCCCTTCATAGCAGTGTATACAGCTTTTTTCACAATCTGTAAAACAAAAAATTGTAAATTCTGAGCGAATAGTTGTAATTAAACGACGTACCATTGTTGGATCCTTTCTATGCAGCTCCCATGCAAGAGTCCACGATGCTCCACCATGGTACGTGTTGTGATGAAAATAAACTCGTTTTCTCCAATCATCTCCCCGCAATGCTATACGTCTGCTGTTTATGACAACTACATGATCTCCGCAATCATCTGAATGGAAAAAAAGAGTATATTTCTAAAACCGCTAAAATTTAAGACGCAAGCGATTAATTTTAAAGAATATCTATTAATTTAATACTAACTCATCGGATGATAAATCGGTTTATGAAGTCCCTGTAGGTAATGCTTTATTTTCTCAGCACTGATGTAGGGATCTTGCCACGTAGCATCGTATATATGCCATGTTCGGGCAAATGTTACCCATTGCTAAAAGTAAAATTTCCTTAATAATTTAACGACTGAACTTAAACGTAATGTAATATAAACAATAAATAATGGTACTGGATTAGCTAACCTGAGCTCTTTGGATTACAGACATTTTGTATGGTTAGAAATTGAACATCACATGTCCGACTTAAAAAACTGATGTACCGTATCGAATTTTAAAAACGTTCCCAGTTTTAGTTGTACATTAACTATTTATGGGAAATCGTTAATTAATCACACGACCCGGTTACTTTCAACTGTTTTCAGCGAGGTTAAGACTGGGAATACAAGGAATAGTATGTACCCTGCCATTCATCGATGGTTTCCTCGCGGACCTACTGCCCTCTCGAGCCGCGCGGCGTACTAGCGGCGGGAGCATACTTGTTAGGGCGTATTTTAAATCTCGTCACCTCTCATCTTCTCTTTGCATTGCATTACCTCATTTGTCGGATCCAGGGGAGTTGACCAATGGCAGAGTTGCTCTCATGCACCTGCTTTGCGTATTTTCGAACAAAATAATCAAAGATAATCTTGTGAATTGGACTTAAAGTGTCGAACAGTTTTAACGATGGCGTCTCTTCAATGAATGACACGGTGCCGCAAATGTCAAATAAAATAAACAAAATCTTTTACTAGCTGTCAAGCTGACAGTAAGCAGATTTGTCATGTATAACGCATAATTCCCATTTCTGGGCCCATTTTAATATTACCTAATGTTTGACTTGTGTTCAAATACTAAGAAATCAATGGTGAACAAATAATCTGAAAGCAATTCCTTCTAAATTAAAGCAAACCTGTTTTTGAATGTAAAGGGAAAAGTATTGTTTAAGAAATATTCTAAATTAGTTAAAATCATATTAACCTGTTCATCTAGGTACTTAGTAAGTTTCCAAAAATGTGGATGAACGCATTGTGTAAAAAAAAATAAGGTCAAGAACCTTGAAAAATATTGGTAAAGATATTTTTATAGTTTACATGAATTTGTAGGTGTTTATACCTATTGGCTTTAAGTTATTATTCTTTAGTGCTTGGTGAACTTTTTGATTATTTGATTACTCTACCAATAAGTTCACTGGCTGTTATTGTTTAAAGATTCTCTTCAAGAAACTGTGTTGAACACCGTGGAAGAAAATGTCTGACGAAGAAGATACAGCGATTTTACTAAACAATGCGACTCGGAACATTGAGCCATCTGTCAGCAAGCCAGTGACCGAGGATTATCAATGTATTCCTGCAAAGAATCTCAGAAAGCCCATTCCAAAACAGACTGACAATTTAACTCCTTTAACGTCTACAAATCAGAATATTCTAGTCTCTATTGTTGCCATTGTCGCAGGAGTAGCGTTTGGATATGATATGGGGATTGCAAAGCCTACAGCTCCATTGATCAAAGATGAATTTATGTTAAGTTGTTTCGAAGAGGATACCGTTATTAATATCTGGTTTGTTGGTGCACTTCTTGGTGGCTTAACCGGTGGTAAGTATAATGTCATCTCTAAATTAAATGTCAGTATTCTGAAAAATGTCACGTCTTATTAAAATTACTGTAATTTAAATATTTTTGAACTAGGTATTTTAATCGACACATTTGGCCGACGATGGGCAATGATCCTGATGTTGGTATTTCTAACATTTGGTTCGCTATTGTCCGCATTAGCCAGCCATTATATCCTTCTTTTAATTGCTCGAGTGATCTGTGGCTATTCAGGCACGGTGTCTTCGATAGCGCACTGTATCTACATGGCAGAGGTCTCTGACACGAATAAACGCGGGCACAACATCATGTTGTATCAGTTTGGAACAGCAACTGGACTTCTACTAGCCGTCATACTGGAAGCCAATAAAACAGCTGATTGTCAATGGCGATTCGCAATGGGAGTAACTTCTGTACCAGCCTTAGCGAGTTGTATTATCACTATAATATTTCTGCAACGATCGCCAGCCTTTTTGCTACTCAAAAGAACCGTGCATGTCTCTAAAGCTACATCAAAGCATCCATGGGGTAACGTTCTGGAAACATTGCTCATAATGGCGATTGTTTTAATTCTGCAACAAGAGACAGGCAGGCAACAGGTTCTGTATTACGCACCCAGACTGTTTGCACTGCTTGGCATCTGTGCGAGTGAGTAAGAGTCTCTTCCATAATATTATTACAATATCACGAATTAATTTATTTATTCTTTCGACTGTCAGATGTTGCTCAGATCACTGCTGTCATCGCTCTTGGCATCGTCAGAGTCTTCAGTACGATACTATCCCTGGTAGTGGTAGAAAGATGTGGCAGGCGAACCGCCCTCATAACTTCTGCGACCATCTGCATGACCGCAATATCTCTGTTATCTCTGCTGGCTACTTTAGACAGAGGTGACGAGACCTTAAGTCAGATCAACACGCAATGCATGAACAGCATCAAAGCCAATTACGCGAGCAATGGTATCAGGATGCCAGGCGATTCAGTCGTACCGACTGGATCGCCACCACCTTTCCCTTTACTACCAACTCCACTGGCCGTGGCTGCTCCAAGTCCAGAAACCTGGACCCAGGTGAAGGCATCCTGCGAAGTAAGTCTAAGCTTAACCTCAAATTTAATTTGCACTACAAATACAAATAAATGAAAATGAATTCCAACTCATTCCCATTACTACAGACCCAGAATGTCATCACTTCGGAAGGTCTCACCGGTGGACTGCGTATCTTGGCAGTGATAACACTACTAGTCTACGAAGCAGCCTTCGCCCTGGGCCTAGGTCCGGTTCCCTTCTTAACACTCAGCGAAGTCTTCCCAGCTACTGTCAGAGGGAAGTGCGTCAGCTTCTCCGTAGTGATCCTCTGGATATCCTACATCGTGGCCATGGAGTCGGTGACCAAAATCACAAGTACGTCATCGACTTTACTACCGACGAATCATTTAAAAATCCGACCAGGGGGTCTAAAATGGCATGATATTCTTCCAGAATCGATGACCTTGGCCGGCTCCTATCTGTTCTACAGCTTCGTGTGTCTGATCGCGATATTCTACGTCTTCCTGCTGATACCCGAGACGAAGGGCAAGTCGCTGCACCAGGTCGCCCAGGAACTGCGCAAGATTTCTCTGGGGACGCGAGTCTGCAACAACTTGCGTAGCCTGCCGCTAGTCTGTCATCTAGAATGGATCAAGAGGTTCGGGGAACGGTCCTCGAATAGCCAGAGCACGCTTATTTGAAAGTACAGACCCAAAAGAGGCCGCGGACGCGGATCAGAAATCGTCACATAAGCGGCGACGCGACTTGGAACCTTATCAGCGAGCGGATCCGCGTTATCACCGTAGATTCGCGCGCCGTTCGTTGTACGCCGAGGCGGCTCCCTGTAAATAATGGCACGATCGAATTCACGGAAACTCAAAGACCCTTTTCGAAGTTGTCGACCCGATTGTATGATCGACTTGTGCAATTCCCACCTCCCGAAATTCCGAGTGACCAAACATAACGGAGCCAGTGAAAATGCCGTAACGTTGTCGGCGTGATACACCAATGCCCTTGTTAAAAAGCTTGAGAAAAGGAAGAGGGCTCGCTTAATTTCTTCCCTAAATTCAGTTAATCGGAAACTCCGCATTCTATCTGCGTTTTAAGGCACCGGTGATTTTTAACGAATTTCGATATTCCACGTCTATGTACCGCATCGATGCTGCACAGAACTGCCGATTTCGAGGGGGTAAAAGATGCTTACGACTCGATTTGAAGTGTTCTTTTCGCTCTAGAGTGTTTGGTAGAACTGACATGGTTCAGGAAAGATTATTCGAGGTCTTAGTGAATATCTTGTCGGCGGTGTTACGAGATCGTGACTGTCGAAGAGTCTCGCCCCTCCGAACCGATGAAAGTTTTGTAGATACAGATTTATACTATCTCCCTAAACTGTTAACGGTAGTCGGTTAAGTTATTTTATATATATATACACTATAGCGACCTGTACTTATTCCCTGTGCGTAAGTAGAAGTAAGCGAAAACTTTCGGTACGACTTACCTCGTCGCAGTGTACCGAGTGAAAAGGGGGAATACGAATACTTCTCGACAATCCCGCGTCTTATTCCCCGAGGGAAAGACGAGGAACGATATTTTTAAGCGTCCAATTACCAGATAAATGTATTCGAGTACTTTGATTTAGTCGCTGAAGGTATTTAACCGTGTACCGTCTAGAGTGAGGCCCAGCATTGCTCTCGTTAGCTCTAGTTGTCCGATCGTCAACGAAGTACGTTTAGAATCGACTTAACTGCTCGAGGTAATTCAATATCTGTACAGTAGTCCTTCCACTTAATTTCATTTACTCGAGTCCGATAATCCTATAGACACGTAGGATCGTTGTTGGCAAAAAGTAGCGAAATTAGGAAATAAGCCTTTCACAATGGCGTTTGTTTTCTCTCCGAAACTTTGCGACCTTTGATCACCTCCTCGCGAGTTATACTCCAAGGAAAACGTTCACCTTATCCGAAGGTCAATTTAATTTCTACTTGTAAAACATCTCCTGGACTCCGATTTTTATTCGCTACAATAAACCGTTTATTCGCCTTTTTTCCCCCCCTTAAACATGGCTAAAAAAAAGAACCACGCTCTTGCAACCCCAAATTGAGCAGGCCCATGAAGATCTGTAAAAATTATTTATTAATAATCACAGAGGCAATGTAATACTTACAACTTACTCGCGTATAAAGGGGATCTCGCGTTAATTATAGAAACTAAGTTCCTACGGCTTTAAGTACTCTTAAATCGCACTTTGTAACTCTATTAGCAACTCTAACGTCTCGCTCGGACGTGGAGATCGTCGTATCACACACTTTGCGGGCAGGAATTGTCTATTGACATTAAGGCAGTCCGGTTGCGGGCAGTTTCCTTCGAGTAGGAATATTAAGAATGAATAATCAAGCTTGAATCGCCCGAGAATTGCTCTCGCTTAAAAATCAATCCACTCGTCCCAACGGGAAGGAAACCGTTCTATTGCACGTTATGAAAAGATCTCCAAGAGTTTCGGAAAACAGTCGGACGAGTCGCGTAGTTACGTTTCAGAAACGTAGAGGCAGCACTATCAGAAATACCCGCGACACTCGTCAGGCCTACATCTTTCCAAAATACATCTCTAGGAAATAATAAACGGGCGTACGAAATCTTCTCTCGACTCTTAAAACCTACGGATTAATAAAGTATATCTACAAGTAGAGCGCGTATAAAAATCGGAACGGTGTATAATCTACATATGTAAAAAGAAAAGTATATATATATAATATGTACACACACGAAACGGTGGACGGATTTTCTCAGATCTTCGAATTCATTTTTAAAGATAATAATAATAATAATAATAATAATAATAATAATAATAATAATAATAATAATAATAATAATAATAATAATAATAATAATAATAATAATAATAAAAACAGATACAGCCATCGTCGAACAAAGTCAACGAGTAATGCGTGCGCAATTTCAATCAGCGGCTCCTGCGCGTTTCTGCCGACATTTAAAAAGGCATTGTCGCTAAGGGCAGAATTTTAACGTACTCCAACGGTCGTCATTTTTTAAAGAACAGCACATCGAGTTCTCTAAATTACCTTAACTATCTATAGCAAGGCGGTGGGACGATTCGTGACAATCAAGGACGTTCATAATGGCGATGCCCACGAGATCACTGTACACGTTGCCCGCCGTTACTTTTTTTTTTCTCCATGTAAAAGAACCTCTTGGAAGACATTACTAATGTACCGACGCTAATCTTGGGAGCCAAAGGCTGTTTCACCAAGGAAATTAAATAACCGCCTGAAAGGTCGTTCGTTAAAGGACGAAGGATCAGGCCTTAGGCACGAGTTTGGCGTTAGGACTGAAAGTCCTCTTTTTCCCCCAGGTCTGGAACTTCGTGGGGGACAAGACCTCCTTCAAGAAAATGCTCCTCCTTTCCTTCAAGCCAGTGGACTCGTCCAAAGCAGGAGTCTCCTTGTCCTTGTCGCCAAGACCATTCCGATCCCTGATGAAGCTGTTCCAGCTGTCGATTCTGCTGACCACAGCCGGGGTCCAGTTCTCCTTGTCGTGGGCCCCAGCGGGTGGATTCGCCTCCGATCTCGGAAGATGGCTCTTCGGGTTCACCGCGTAGACCCTCCTCTCCGACCTGGGCTCGAACCTCTCTCTGAGGAGCGAAAACTTCCTTCTGGGTCGATTACTCGTAGTCGCGGTGCCGATCGTCGTCGCGATGGCTCTTCGTTTTTCGCCAGAAGCGGCGAAGGCCCCTGCCGAGTGAGCCGGTAGTCGAAGTTGAAGAGCCGTCTCGGGAGCGGTGAAGTGAGATTCCCTGAGGTCTTCGGACCCAGGACCTCCCTCTGCTCCAAGAAGCGGAGACCTGGTCCTGTTCCCTTCCACCAGTGCCTCCGTTCTTTCCTCCGGATCCCGGGGGTCGGTTCCGTATCCAGGACTCGGGCTACTGGAGCCCGAAGATTCGCTCCCGAAGGAGCTCCTCCTCGGGGCCATTCGGGCACCCTCCCCAGCGAGCCTCTCTGCCCCCAAGGAGGTCACCTCTGAGTATACGTGCTCGTTAAGACTAGAGGTACGATTCTCGCTAGGACGTTCTGCTCGGTACTTCTGCACCTTCGCTCTAGGCCCAAGGACCGGCGAGTCAGAGAGGATGGCGTTGATCAGCGGAGTCCTCCCAGCAGAGCCGGTGGACCGACATCTGGCCATCTCCCTGACCACGTCGAGTCGGTCCTCGTTCCTTCCCGTAGAACGACCGTCCCTGAGAACGGGTACACCGGGACCTAGAAAGCCACTCCTACGTGCGATCGCCTCCCCGCTGTCCCCAGCGAAGAGCACCTTCGTTAGATGAGCTTTCCTCAGGAGAACTCTCGGATCCAGGTCCTCCCACTGCGACTCCGTTCTATGATAGACGTGCCTCGGAGAGTTCTCCGCTGCGCACCGCCTGATCTCGTCGATGGTGGCCACTAGGGTGCTAATGGGACATCCGCTCGCAAGGGTCGGGTCGAAGCCGTTGGCCTGGTCCGCATTCGCGTTCGCGTTAGAATCCTCCCTCTCCTCCAGGATTGTGTCCAGAGAGAACATGCCGCCCTTCTCGTCGATGACCACGGGCCTTGCCACGAATAGGTTGGCCTCTTGCTCGGTCTCTATCTCGACCTCGACCTCGCCTGGCCTGATCGAGTCCCCGTTAATAGCCGCGCTTGCCTCCCAGTCCACCAGGTCGTACAGCAACGTATCTAGGTAGTCGTCTTGCCTAGACCTCTTCGCTGCTCTTCTCGGAGCCGGAGGACTCGTGCAGGTCGCCTCGGAAAACTCGGAGCTGAACGTGGTACCGGTCGCCGAGCTCGTCAGGGTGTCTCTGCGTCGGTCCCTGACCACGCTGTCGTCATGGATGTAGGTCTCGATGTCCGTATAACCCTTCCAGCTCCTTATGCACCAGGGCGGCCTAGCGATGCCTAGCGGGCACACGTTTTCGTAATCGTGGACGGACGTTACATGGCTCATCGTCTCCTCTTTCTGCGACATCTCCTCCCGTGATGGTTTCTCCTTGTCCGTGGACTTCTCCGAGGTCGCCGGAGTATTCAGTCGCTCCCGGTCCTTGATCGCCTCGGCGATAGGGTCCACCGTACCCTCCGGGAACCTCGCGTCTCCTTTGTTTTCTTCGTCGTCCACGTCGGCCCCAACGCTGCTGCCTCCCTCGTCCTGGAGATCCCTCAGCTTGAGTTCAAGCTCGGAGACCGCGTCCAGGAGGGGTTTCCGCCTCTCGAAGCTCCTGAAGCTCCTCTCCACGTAGTTGTCCTCGTCGGTGACCAGCTCCAGGCCCAGCTGGGCCGAGGAGCAGATACCTCGGCGTTTCTGCGACCGGAGGCTAGAATTCGGATCCCCAGACGCCGAGTCGTACGTCTCCAGGCCCAGCTCGACCGGCAGGCAGATTCCGCGGCGTTTCTGCCGCAGCAGAGTTTCCGGGTTGTCGCAGTCTACGTAGTCGTCCTCTGGAGAAGCCTCCTCGACGGCCGCGTCCACCTTCAGCTGGCAGGCACGTGGGCTGAGTCGCTCCTAGATAAAAGGGAATGGCCAAGGATATTCACAGTATGTCTAAGATAATATTCAATAAATACACTTCGATCGCATCTAGGTACAGAAACACGGATTACCAACCGAGCCCTCGACCAATTCCGCATGCTTCCCCGTCTGGCCGGGAACATCCACTTCGTCGACCAGGTCACAGCTAGAATTGACTATGCCCTCCTCGACAAACTCCGTGTTCTGCACGATATTCGTCAGCAGAGACTTCTTGTCCGCAGTGACCTCCTCGGACAGGGCTATCCCATGAGACCCGGCCACGACGGAGGGTAGATCGACCACTGAGCCGTGCCACTGACCCTTCAGGGATCTCAGGGTCCCGGTTTTCTCTAATGCCCCTCTCGGAGCCAATTCGGGATCCGTCTTCAGGTTCCTACAAGAGCGCGATCTCCCGGTTGCGTGGAATTTTCCATAATATAGCAGCATGCTCCCCAGTCCCAGAAGGGTCCCACCTATTATCAGGGAACCCGCTGCTATCAGAACGTCGGTCCTCGGGGTACCTCTCGAGGGGTGCACCGCGTACGCCGTTAAGAACACCGTGTTCTGTGCCACGGTGATCGAGTAGAACGCCAGGATCCTGTACCGTGAGTGACCCTCTCGCAGGTTGAAGAACTCGAAGCAGTAGATAGCGCCGATCACACCGTTGTAGACCCGCTCCTCCCAAACGGTCGGACAGAAGTTCGTCTTCTGCAGGATCACCCATGCCGTCATGCACATCCAGTTTCCACCTAGAACCAGGGAAAACCCCCATGATTTTTTTTAAATTCCCTATGACTTTCCATTTTTACTATACTCTGATTTACCGATGAACAGGAAGAACCATCTGCCCAGGCAGATCGCAGCGACCACCAGTGCTGCAACCCGGGAAGCCAGCATCCCACTTCGCCAGAGAACTTGAAGAGCGAGGGCAGGCCAAATCACTTTGCACTCGCTCGAATGCACGGAGTACATTGCCTTCGTGTAAGATGCCACAGCCCATGCCAAGGAACACAGCGAGGAAGCTGCAGAGAGACCTGTGAACCACGAGAGGTCATGAAATATCTAATACAGTGCATAGGTTTACATAAATGTACTAATAAAAAATAATTAGGGGCTTAGTAAAAAATAAACAGCCAATATCCAGCAAACATTGTAAGGTTCTTTGTAGATTAAGCTACTCATGTTCTTCGGGTTCTCCGTTGGAATTCGGTGTATTTTTAGTTGTCGCGTCTTCCTCGTTCTTTCCTCGTATTTTTAGATTCGGGTATCACCATAGGAAAATTCTGCATTGAATTTCTGTACTTCTACTTGATGACTCTTCTTCATGGCTTCCACTTCCATGTGGATTAACAATTAGATAGACTCTTTGCCTTCCATGTTACTCTGATAAGTATGAGCAGCATCCCTCGCAAAGAGATACCAAGAGAAGATATCCAGTTGCTCTTCAACTACTGTGCGGACTAAACGTTCGACATTTTCTCTGTTACATTTTAGTGTTACAAGTAATGTTCGAATAACGATTTTAGAGAAAGTGTTAAGAGCACCGTTCGCCACAATGGTGGGATCGTTTTTAAGAAAACTTTAACATTTTCGGCGCCATCTCTAAACATGAGGAAATTGTTAATAAAACTTCATCGCGTGAGTTTGGATGCATGTAACAATTTGTTCATCACTTGATTTGGCTTTTTCTTCTAAATTGACACATCTAGTTTGGAGTATACCGTGTTTAGATAAAGGATGGTATTCCTTTATCTGCCGGAGATAATTCATTTCCTGGAGCGATATCTTCTCTCGTCGTCCTTTCCTTTGTCTTTAATAAACATATTAAATACTATATTCTTTTTCACAGAGTCATTGTGGGCCATTACAATTGACAATAGTAATTCTCAGTTTATTTCTCCTGTTTGCTGTCATCGGGGACCCTCGATGGGCTGCAAATTCTTTTAAAGAGGAACCGAGAGTTATGTCATGGCAAATTGTAAACTATCAAAATACTACCTCAGGGACAAGTGAGCCCAAAATTGTCGGTAATCCTTATTTAATGTTATCTTCCGATGAGGCAAGTAATATAAAAAGACAATTCGAAGTTAGAAGAAGAAGAGTGCAGCATCTCTGTATATACAGCAAAGAGAACCCTTCTATTCTGGAGTCTGCGGTGTCAAAAATAATTATAGACGAGTAAATATTAAAAGTATTTAAAGCTTTTGCTCTAACATGCTTTGCAAAAATATTAATATAGTTTTACTGTTAACAGAAAACATGGAATATCGTGGTGCCCCGTATACAAAGCTGCAAGTTCTGTGTGGATGCAGAATTTTGCATCGCTCCGAGGTCTCCTGTCTGAGCCGATAATGGATCTTATTCGTAAAAATATTATTCAAGTAAACAGCATTGTTAGACAGTCGCTTTCAAAGGACATAAATGCGAATCAATCTCTTGAGGTATTTATTTTAGTTATATTAACGTTTTGTAATTAGTGTTGCGTGAGATGTGACTATTAAACTGAAATACTTTTTCCAGAAAATAGAAGAGACAAAAAAACTCCTCATAGTACGTCATCCCTTTGAACGTCTTTTATCTGCATACAGGGATAAGTTAGAACACAAAGAAGGGCGAGAATACTATTACACTCGATTTGGCCGACACATTACACATCGATATCGCCGAAGGAAAAATCCCTCTGACATGAGACTAGAACCAACGTTTGTAGAATTTCTAGAATTTATTGTGAAAGAAAAATACTTTGATGAACACTGGGTACCTTATTACGACTCTTGTGCCCCTTGTAAAATTCAATACGACTATATTTTAAAGTTTGAAACTCTACTAGAGGAGCAAAGTATATTTTTAAGTGATACCGGCTTGTTCGGTTATCTATACCAAGTGGGAGATGCAAGGAATGCTATTCCACATGAAAGTACAACCAGGACAGTAGCAAAAGATTATTTTGAAAATGTACCAAAATTGCTTTTAAAAGAAGTTCATAAAGTCTACGAGAAGGACTTCAAATTGTTCGCATATAGTCCAGGAGAGTATTTCTATATGTCATTAGATAATAATCCTGTTAATGTAAATAAAAGTGTTATTTAAATGAAATGTATTTTTCTCGCTAATATAATCTTTTCCATGTCTGAAAATGTAACAATGTAACTCACTTGTCCAAAGTGGTATAAATTGGAGGATGCTCATGATGTAGAGCTGCAAAAGCAACTGCGGTGCAGCCTTGACGAAGGACTCAAATAAGTGCAGCATGCAAATGTCGCTGTGTTGCCTCTGCACCCAATTTTTGTCTATCGTCGAGTGTTTGCTTAACAAATATTTTATCGCCGCACATAATAGCATTAGGTACCTAAAAATTTCAAAAAATTTGAATGTAAAACTCACTTTACATTATTTAATTAAAAATGTAACTAGTTTAAGTGCAGATACCTCTGAACCGTTCCCATGATTAAAACATGCGATACCCAATGGCTGATCTTTAATGAGCCATCGGTTTGATGCCATCTCAAGCTAAATAGTTGAATTATAATTGCTGGGACTAGCATAAGATCGAGCGTAAAGTATGCCCAAGACGTGTGGCCACTGGCAAAATAGTAGGCAACCACCAAGCCACCTAAAAGGATCAAAAAAATATATTACTTAAAACATCTTTATTAAATTTTAACACTTAGACAAAGTAAATGTTAATAAATCTCACGTAATAACGAAACAACTTACAAACTCACAAGATTTTCTTACTAAAGCTCGAATAATGGAATGTCAATATTTTCAAACAATTTAAAGGGATAAATTTACCCATGACAAAACAGTGACTGACCGCAACGGAATATGCATAGACAACCAACGTTGACGTTAAAACACACCAAAATTGAAAAAATCGGTTTTGCAAAGCAGACAGCGCGTGTCGTCGTCAGAGAAATTATTGGCGTGCAAAAATATGAAATACGCAGGGGACACCTGTTGATCCTCGAAAGGAATCGGCTGGTGTGCAGTTTTGTTTTCTCACCTGTTACGAGATCTGCGAGGAAAGTGCCAATTGAGAAGATATAGAAAAGGGCGTCCAATAATCTGAACTCATAACAGTCTTTATTGGCGCGCGAGTCGGCCCTCGAATTGTCGCATTTCGCGGCCGTTTCACGCGAGCCGTTCTCCGGCTTCGACTCTGCCGCCGCCATCATGGCCGCCATTTTGTTCGACCGCCGATAGACGCATAGACGCCAAGCGCCACCAAGGTTGTTATACAGCTAGGTTGTCACGAGTTGTCATATTACAAGGCTAGAGAACCTGAAGGATAGTTTACAGAAAATTTCCTGGATATGATCCACCATTTCTTCCAAAGGCGGATTAATTCTTAGCGTACTTTGACATTCGATATCGCTCGATGCCGCATGAACTTAATCTCAATGTTTGCCGTGAACATATGAAAAAATATCTCTGATTTGCGCAACACTCGAAACCATGTATGCGATCTATCGAGACTCGACATTTCTTTGTGCAGAATTCTGTTGTTAATAAGCATGTCATTGACTGCGTCTTCCCCCGGTTAGTCAGTAATGAGAGAACAGCTACATGATCCGGGGCCTTTCAGGACATTCCGTTTTTGATTTCTAAATCATTGTGAAACTACATGATTGTTGTTCTTTATTAACATGTCTCGTTCGGATTTGAAGAACTGGCCGATTTTTAGCTTGCTGACTCCAAAATTCATCGGTGATATACGCTTGGCCGTGGTTTTTGGTAAGAAATTTAATTTTGTTTGACAGCTTTATTTTGACGTTTTAAACGTCAATTCTGACATTTTAGATCAGTGTGTAATTGACTTTTGTACTATTCACGCCATGTATATTATTGAGTGAATTTTCCACCGTGTGCATACACCTTTCGGTTGGGATTATTTTTATTTAGTTAAAGTTAGAGGATTTCTGACATTCCTTTTGAAAATACAGTTTTGTCATTTTTTTAATCCTTTATTGTATTAAAATGTTTAGGAAATCTTGGAAATGAAGCATTAATGGTAACAAAGGATGGGACGGTATATGCCCTGGGTAGCAACACATCAGGATGTTTAGGAACAGGTGACGCTCATAGTACGCTGTTTCCAAAAAAAGTGGAGGCACTTTGCGACAAAGATGTGAAAACATTTGCGTATGGAAGCGGACCCCATGTTCTTGCCTTGACAAATAAAGGAGATGTAAACATACGCATTAAATAATTGTTAAGATGATACCTTTGGTATTTTACTTACAATGTTTTATTTTTATAGATTTACTCGTGGGGTCATAATGGCTACTGCGAACTAGGAAACGGATCATCAAATCAAGGATTAGTACCTACTTTAATTGGGCAAAACTTAGCAGAAAAGGTGGTAATAGATATTGCCTGTGGAAGCCACCATTCTTTGGCGCTGACTAATGAGGGAGAGGTGCCTTCAAGCTTCTATTCTTTTTCTTACCTATCATAAGATAAATAATTACTGGTTAATGTCTACTAGCGAGGATATATTGACATGATAAATTTCATGTGTAGGTCTATGCCTGGGGACAGAATAATTGTGGACAAGTCGGAAATGGAATCGGTGCTAATCATGGTACACCTCGGAAGGTTAATTCTGGTCTAGCTGGCAAAAAAGTCGTGACTGTCACTTGTGGACAAACTTCCAGTATGGCAGTTACCGATAACGGAGAAGTATATGGTTGGGGTTATAATGGCGTTGGTCAGTTAGGAATTGGAAATTATGTAAACCAGTTGAATCCATTCAAAGTTTCCGCACTTGTAGGAGTTGTTATAGGTAATGGTTTCTTGAATATTATGGAATTAAAGGTGGTTATGTTTACCGACTCAATTTTTAGATAAGGTAGTCTGTGGTTACGCACACACACTGGCTCTTAGTGACGAAGGTGTGCTATACACATGGGGAGGAAATAGTTTCGGGCAACTTGGCATTGGGAATAAAGCAAATGCTTGTTCTCCAATAAAGGTTGATGTACGTATCTTCACAAAAGTAGGAAATATTTAATTTTTATACTGTTATTTGTAACAAAACATTTAATTTAAACGCATTTGTTAATTTTCGGATAGACGTTGGGGTCAGGAATGGGTAGGATTTCGGATATTGCAGCTTTGCACTACAATCACATAAGCGTAGCGGTAGGTCAAGGTGGACGAGTCTTTATGTGGGGCCAGTGTCGCGGACAAAGTGTAACTTTACCTACACCGACACTTTTGCTAACTTTGCATGATGTTCTTGCTTGTTACGCATCACCAAGTGTCATGCACAGACCCCTATTGTATGCGGAACAGGAAATGAGTGTTTTAGATTCCTTGAGAGAAGCTTTCAATGATTCGGTGAGTGTGTTGAAATCTTTCTTTTGCACACATTGCATTCAAACGCTGGATAATCAATAAATACCATTGCGATCACTTTTGAAATGGTTTCAGACTACCAGTGACCTGAAAATTCAAGTGCAGGGCAAATCAATATATGTGCATAAAGCCGTACTGAAAATTCGTTGTCAGTACTTCAGGTCAATGTTTCAAGAGCATTGGTCGGAAGACAACCAGAGGTAGCCTCCCTTATCCTTTTTATTTAATGTTTAAATGTTGATCCATATTGTCATTCCGGATGCTCAGTCATAATTCGGATTTTATTGTAGTGTCTTGGAACACGATCAGTTCTCGTATGAAGTTTACAGGTGCTTTTTGAAGTACTTATATACCGATGAGGTCGATTTGTCCACGGAGAATGCTTTGGGTAAGTCAATGAACTTTTGTGCTTAAACTTTTTATCTCTTCATGTATGCTTTCCTCGTCGCAGAGCTTTTGGACCTGGCAAATATTTACTTCGAAACGCAATTGAAGAGACGCTGTGTACAGATGATCAAGCAAGGTATTACCGTACTGAATGCTGCGTTTCTGTATAGTACGGCGATCGAGTACAATGCTCAGGTGAGTAAGGATCGATGGCGCTTCCCCGGATGTAGAACTTAAGAAATGTAAAAGTCAAGATCGTCTATTTTTGCAGGAGTTAGAAGACTTTTGTTTCAAGTTCGTCCTCAACCACATGACGGCAGTGATTCAGACGGCGACGTTTGCCAAACTAGATGCGTCCGTCGTTAAAAACTTTATCATCAAAGCGGCCCAGGCTGGAGCTTTCAAGACGTAGTTTACGAGCGCTCCATTTACTTTAATTAACAACATTATTTGCAGAGCCTCTAGTCATGCTCCGTGAATTTAGAGGAAAATTACCCTACCCAAACGATAAGTCCACATAAGAGCTGTTCGTCGTTGCTCTGCGAACTAGTACTTTACTTCGTGCGATACTTAAAGCTCAAGAAGTTAATGCAAAGCGAGTTAGCACGTATATTTTCCCTTGATTTCGCATACAGGCGAAATTTGATCTCAGTCTTCTGGGTCTGTACTCTGTTAGTTCCTGGTATAACGTTACGATTTTTTAAGACTTGTTTTCTTTATTTCTTTAAAATAATGTACCGAGGTTTAGGGAGAAACTCGCGTATTTTACTAGATAAGCTTTTGCGACAATTTCTCCGTTAAATTGTTACACGGAAGGGGAATATTTCATTCCACGGCGGGAAATACGTTAAAACGTTATATTTTTAGGAAATTTAGCTACCGGTCGTAATGGAGTTGTGCCAAAGGTAGACACTTAATGTGTGGAGATTATCAGAATGCATGTGATGTCCTTTAACAAAGAAAAAGAGAGTTGCTAGATTTTCTACTAAGGCGGAAAAATAGGAACCAGTAACTCCGCACGTGTCGCACAAGTTTCACTGCAATTTACCGATGGGTAGTTATTTAGGATGCGGTATCTCTTCGATTTCCTTAATCGGGTTTGTCGGATTACCGGCAGCCGAGGTTTTCGATTTATTTGTAGGCGATGTTTCGCCGAAACGTGGACCGTGGACGTGGGAGCTCGCTCGTCTATAAATCACGCGTGATTCATGGGACAGCGAGCACGGTAAATTGAAACTCCATGTCATTCCTGCGTGAATACGCGCATTTGAAAATCAATAATATTCCAGGGGATAGAGTAAGCTCGTGTTCCTTTCCCACCGAAATTTTGTACTATCATTTTACATAAATAATGTGTCTCTGTCGCTCTGGTTGCGCCTAGAGAATAATAAAACACCTGAAACGTTCTCTCTCAGTGTTCGATTAATTAAATCATATCCGGTAAATGACGTCAGGAAGCAATTGCCAAAAGAAAATTCCTTATCCTAAAAGAATTGTCTCTACCGCGTGCCAAGAACGATCTGCCAATTAGGCGACGGAGAGAGAACTTCAGGAGGAGGAAATTTAGTACATCATTTTTATTACGATAATCTCATTATATACAAGCAATAAATTTTATTCTTCGTACAATATATATATATATATGTATGTATATTGTGACGTTATTTTAATAATATAACTCCAAAACAAAATCCTGGCGATTAATGTTCCGAACCTCTGGTGAAGTCACAAATAAATAATCTGAAAATGGGGTCTCCGTTTTGTATTCGCTCAACAGGAAGACAAATTTTGGGCACCAGGCAGCGAAACGGATATTCGGATTCCTCTCTTCCTCCCTGTAATAAGACGTGGATGAAATGATACAATTAAAATATAATACCACTGCCTTCGGAAAGGATTTTAATGGTTTGCAGGATTAATGTTTAACATTTGGAGCCCTGGGGCGATCGCCCACCGGGTGCATCGTCACAATATATATGTGTATATACATATACATATACGTATCTACTATTTAATAGTAATAATAAATGGTAATTAAATGTAATAGGTGGTGTCATATAGGTAATGTCGGATAATCGGGTATTCGCCGTTCGGAAACTTATACACGTGTCTTTCGCCATCCACCTCGACGAATTTCGGGACCGAAAATCTCACCGTTAATCCCGGTCCCTTAAACACCCAATTGATCGGAAGGACGAAATGAAAATTCTTTCTACACCTGGTCAAGAATCGAAAAGTGCGTCCCCTCGAGGATCGTCTCGTTTCCGCGTAATGGCCTGAGCGATTTTCTGAATTCGCCTCCTAGGTTATTTTATACTCCTTAGGCCACGATTACCTCCTAGAAACCGGAGTTGTAAATTGTCAATTTGTTAGCATCGAATGCTTGCCTATGTAACATTTGTCACAAGGTGAAAAAAATTACTCGGTTATCAATAAATTCCTTTTAAAGTGTCGCATCGACCGATATACTCTCAAGTGGCCACTGCGTTCAACGCCTTAACCTGCGGCTAACGCGAACAAAAATTACGGTCGGAATCGAATCTGCAAGTATTCGATTTTGATATCCGGTTTATTCACGCGATATCTCAACTCAGCGACCGATACGTCGAAACGAGGCGCCGCGACGTCGTTACCGATTCTTATTTTCTTCCGCATCGAAGTGGACGATACATTCGGCTAGAATAAGATTAGAGCGTATTTAGGCCTGCGGGCTACTTTTCCAGCGACTCGCTGAATCCCATTGACGGAAATTACACGAATCGTAAAACGATCGACGTCTTCGTCCCGCCTTGTCGAGCGACGCGCCTCTCCGAGTCAGCAACGATGCCTGAGAACGAACCAGGAGAGGAAATCACTCACAGAGAAGTACCCCCCACCAGGCGCCACCTGTTACGAGGTGGAGGGGAGATCCGCGCTCCGATTGGGCGACGTCTCCCCACCCTAGAAAACCGACCAATCACGGGAAGCCGGAGCGCGCGTGGTGGGGGAAGAACGCTGGAGAGGGGAGCTCTGCGATGAAAGAACCAACTACTGATCGTGTCTTAACCTTTAATCGCTAATATGCCTTGTAGATGTCTCCCGTAGCGACTCCAACGTCGTTTTGCTTCCGCTCACCTGGTGGAAAACTCAGTTTCTAGGGCCCTTAAGTCCGAAACTAATGTACCGGACGAATGTAGATGGCGAGGTGATAAACGAGTGATAGGGGGCGAAGATCGAAGAGTGAGAGAAAAAATGGCCGCTGATAAAGTTCTTGCATTGTATTCTCTTCTTTACAATGGAAACCTTGATAGAGCGGTTATATTTACGCAAGCCACATACTTTCTCGAAGTGCGACGTTTTTGTTACCCTATTTTGATTTGCTTCACGTTCGTTAGCCTATTGGTCGATACCGTGCCTGCACGTAAGAACGTAAGATGGAGCACGTAAAAAGGGTCGGGAAACGCGCAATTCCTTGCTCTCCTTTATCGGGCGTTCGCTTTTTAACGAAGTGCCGTCGTTTATCATCCGCCGCTCCCATAACGGAGCGGCTCCTGTGATCGATTTTTCTCAACATACGCATGTACATTACAGGCCTTCTTATTCGTGTTACTCTACCATACAAGTGTTAAGGTAATCCGACCCTAACGAATAGAAATTTCCCCCCTCCCCACGTCTCGCGGAATTAATTTTCGAATTCTTACCCGGCGAGGATACCGAGGAAAGCAGTTCCCGAATTTTTTTGCAGATATCTTTGCAAGGAACCCTACAAAAACCCCGGCCCAGCTGCAAGCGCACTGCCATCCGGGAATAAAGTCCGATAAGGAAATAATCCTTATCAAATCGAGAAACTGCGACGTCGGTAATCTCGCCCCGCTCCGAACCCCCTTCGATCGCTTAGCGAATAGATTTCTTAAGAACGTAAATCGAAATACAACCGGAAAGCCGGGCAATTCCTTTCTTTTGTCGCGCCCTTTTGCTCCATCGTTAATGGGTCGGATCGTGATCGATGGAATCGCTTACTTTTCCACGTTTCTCGAAAATCGGTCGTCGGCGGAGAGTCGCGTCGCTCGTCGGCGTTAATTATTTTTACATAAATACAGTAGAGCCACATTTAATCGTAATCGTACCGTAATCGTAGATTATCTCGCTTATCACTATCGCTTAATTAATCGACAGTTAAAGCACACCGATTTTTGAAGATGTCTAGACGCCTGGCGCCGCAGTGTTAATAACGGTATATTTATCGCAAAATCGTTTAGAGTCCATTTGTACAGACTTCTAGGTGGGGGATTTAGGACCGTGCTCGATGTGGCGCCTCGAATTTTGAGATCGGTCGATTTTTGGACCATCGACCGCGACGACCATCTCGAATAACGATGAATTGCCTTCCTGCCCTTTCGTTCTGCGATCTCCGTTTTTTTTCCCGGGGATAATCACCGGCAAGGGGTAAAGAATTAACCGGCACCCGTCCAGAGCCCCTTCCAAATTTTTGCGTGTTTTAAAAATGTCAACCATCACTAGTCCGCTATCAATGGATTTTTCAAAATGTACGAAGAAAAGAAAAGAAATATAATTATTCCACGGAACGTCTCCTGAAAGGACCACCGAAGGGAATAACGATGAATTCCTACCCTTTCATACTGCGATCTCCGTTGTTTCCCGGGGATAATCACCGGCAAGGGGTAAAGAATTAACCGGCACCCGTCCAGAGCCCATTCCAAATTTTTGCGTGTTTTAAAAATGTCAACCATCACTAGTTCGCTATCAATGGATTTTTCAAAATGTACGAAAAAAAAGAAAATATAATTATTCCACGGAACATCTCCTGGAGGAGCGCCGAGGGATTTCCTAGTCGCGACTCCAGTAAAAAAGTGGGGGATTTTCTAAGGGCTCCCGAAAGGACCACCGAAGGGAATAACAATGAATTCCTACCCTTTCGTTCTGCGATCACCGTTTTTTTCCCGGGGATAATCACCGGCAAGGGGTAAAGAATTAACCAGCACCCGTCCAGAGCCCCTTCCAAATTTTTGCGTGTTTTAAAAATGTCAACCATTACTAGTCCGCTATCAATGGATTTTTCAAAATGTACGAAAAAAAAAGAAATATAATTATTCCACGGAACGTCTCCTGAAAGGACCACCGAAGGGAATAACGATGAATTCCTACCCTTTCGTTCTGCGATTTCCGTTTTTTCCCGGGGATAATCACCGTCAAGGGGTAAAGAATTAACCGATACCTGTCCAGAGCCCCTTTCCAATTTTTGCATGTTTTCAAAATGTCAACCATTACTAGTCCGCTATCAATGGATTTTTCAAAATGTACGAAAAAAAAAAAAGAAATATAATTATTCCATGGAACGTCTCCTGGAGGAGCGTCGGGGGATTTCGTAGTCGCGACTCAAGTAAAAAAGTGGAGGATTTTCTAAGGGCTCCTGAAAGGACCACCGAAGGGAGGGACGCTAAAAGCGAAAAGGGAGGTCAATGAAATGGACTCCGAGGGACGAGGACGGACTCCTAATATCCACTCGGTCAGTCGGATGGCTTCAGGATATGAAATGAAAATCAATAGGAACGAATGGTCTCCCCTGGAAGCATTCCAGCCGGAGCCATTCTTCAGATCTCGAGGGCCGAGGCTCCAATTCCGATAAGTGGACGAAGATGATGACGATGGAAACCTCTCGTGCCAAGAAGACCACGAGAAAGAAAAGGGGGCCCTTAAAAATCATGGGAACCCGTCCAATTCCGCCATCATCGATGGATAACAAAAGGCAGAAGAAGTCCAAGATGCGATTAATTCGCCCGCTAGAGAATGAAAATGAAACGCGTCAACTGAAGGAGGAAGGCTTTCGCATCTGAAAGGAAGAAGGACTTCCGAAGAGCCGTGTAATCTGTAACCCCTTGCTCGTAATCACGTCCACCGGTCACTGATAACTCTGTACACACTTCGGCCCAATCCATTCGCGAATCCGGGAATTCGCGAATCGACGACGCTCCCGGTATGCCATAATAGCGTAGATAAAGTATGTACAAACACATATTTACCGTCTATCTCTATACATACTATATATGTATAACGTATATGTATAATATATATATATTATGTAACGTAATATATATATGTATAAGTATCATACATAATGTTATCATTAAATATCCAATGCGCAGTGAGTAACGTGATTTAGATAATATCCTCTTGCTCTTTGCAATAATGACCGATAATAATCCTCGTAAAACGTAATACGTATATTCGCAATCGCGATACAATGGCGTGTGCAGGAATAATAAATTGATCGCGATGAGAGACGATCGCCCGACGTAACCGTGACAATGAGTATCGTTAATACCTAGGTATCGATTTGCACCATATTAAGGATATGTCTGAGAGGGAGAGAGAGAGAGAGAGAGAGCGCTAGCTTTAGTTTAGACCTTTAGAGATTTACAATTAATTGTGATTAATGTCGATTAATTCGAAGTCGTATCGCTCTATCGCTATCGCCCCTCTATGCGGCGGCCTCGCGATCGGTTTCGAGGAGGCATGTCGCCTTATTGTCAAATCGCTCTTTAAGATCGGTCGCCCTTTACGTTTTCTATTTTTTTTCCTTCCATTTTCCGATTTTCTCGTTCGCCAGCGGACGTGTCCCGCGAGTAAGAAGACCGGATATTGTTAAATCGCTCTTGACGTTTTCTATTTTTTTCCTTCCATTTTCCGATTTTCTCGTTCGCCAGCGGACGTGTCTCGCGAATAAGAAGACCGGATATTATTAAATCCCTCTTTAAGATCGGTCGCTCTTGGCGTTTCCTATTTTTTTTCTTTCCATTTTCCGATTTTCTCGTTCGCCAGCGGACGTGTCTCGCGAATAAGAAGACCGGATACGCTCGTCGATCGAAGGCTTCGTCCTGATTTCCCGTTCCTTTTGCAGAATGAGAGGGTCGAGGCGATTTGAGATGCTCGAATGAGAGGAAGGGCGGTGCGTGCCCTCGAATTTCCCATAATTCTCGGCTTAGCCCAAGAAACCGGGGAATTTCGGGCGCACGAAGGCGGAGAGTGAGAGAGAGATAGAGAGAGAGAGGAGAGACTGGATGTACCGTGCGAGTACCATGAGTCATATGAGCCATACAAATCGCATAAGTCGCATGAACCGTACGAGTCATACGATCCGTGCGCCTCGTACGAAACATACGGCCATACATATCGTATGAGAGTGCCGGGGTTCCTACAAATCGTGTAAATCCGGCACGAGGATCGTATAAATTGTACGATTCATCCCAGTCATACGTAGTCACCGACCGAAAGCGATTTCGCTCGCAGACGCGATCGTTAGCTCCTAATGAAGAAGGTTAAGGAGGCTTTTACGAGCAATGGCCGACACCGCACTACCGATAGAGTTATACGCGTGTTATAATATGTAGTTGTATTTAAGGCAGCAAGAAACTTTACGACGAGTTTTCATTTATTCGTTTAACTTCATCATGGTTTTCCTTTTAAGTATATTTACTCGATAAACTTTGTTTAACATTACTCCTTTGTTTGCATAGATCTCTTAATATATCTCCCGGTCTCGTCCCCTTTTAAACTCGGCTGCTAAGCATTCCTTCGCCTCCGTCCACTCTCCTCCTATAATTCTTAAATTAATATATATATTTATATATATATATTTATATTTATTATATATATATTATAGCTTAAGACTGTATTTACCTAGCACTGCTTATCTGTACGCGCAACGCCAATCCTTTGCTCCCAAAGTTCAATCTTAGTTTTTACGTTATTGTGTGCTTCGTTAGAAATCACGGTTTCAGACTCGACCCTCGTCGTGCGACAATCGTGCTGGTCAGTAATTGTTAATAAAAACTAAAGGTTCATGATTATTCCACGAGGAACGCGGAGTTTTTCGGTACCCTCGAAATTATATCGTAATTATTCAGCCTGCTGATTTTGAAGATTTGGACTTTTGTATAGACGATGCGCAATTTCGCACGACAATGGTAGACTTTCGCTTTCGCTAGTTCGCCTTGTTGCCGACCTTTCGTGTCTCTGTACTTAGCGGTACTACGGTAGAAACACTAGAAACAAGGAGTAGATACTCTTAGGCCTAAGGTTCCTTAATGCGTAGCTGCACTTGTTAGTTTTGTATTAACGTTAGACCTATCGCGCTCGTATTTCGTCGCAGCGCACACTCGCCGAGATGAGATTTCCCGTCTATTCGCAAATGTCGGCAAACAATCGCTCAGTAAACTTCCCTCCACTATCCACGTGAACAAAAAGTCGAGAAGTCAGCCAATTGGACCCGTATTTATAAATATTAATTAATGAGAAATTAAAAAACAAGGGAAAAAAAAATACTGTCTCGCGCTTATTCGACGATGCTCAGCACGCGCCTTGGCACCCTTCGAGGACTGAAAAAAAAAAAAAAACAAAAAAAACTGGACGCGTCCGGGGGAAGTGATATGAAACAAATAGCCGCCGTGTCCCGGGGACGTAATGTCCGAAAAGAATAAAGCAAAAAAGAAAATAGAGGGTGAAACGGAGCGAGAGGTCCCCGGGACATGGCCGACGTTCCCTGGGGACGCGCAAGAAAAACAATGGCGATTTGGCCTCGGCTCTGATTTATCGCCGGCCACTTCCCAAATTGGACGTGACGTTCGCGTTTCCCCTCTAACTCCTCGAGTTTCGTGCCCGCCGAGGTGCAATGGCTTGGACGGGCGAAAAGAACTGCACCATCGATTACCATGGACGTTTATACGGTGGTCGACCAACGAAAGCGTATGAAAAAGAACTCAATAAAATTGAAAAGGATCAACGCAATCGCAATTAAATATCTACTCTTTCCGGAATCCTTTAAAAGTGATCTTTATGCCTGGTAAAAATTAAAAACGCGACGTCCGTCGACGCTATTGTGGTCGGCGAGGCCACCGTGGCGCTTCGATTCCCTCCGCGGGATTTGTACGCGATCGTCCTTCGAGTAGAACGATCGATTGGAGGAGAGAAAAAAAGAGACAGAGAGCGAGGGTCGGCTCTCGGGTGAAGTCGGTGGAAGAGCTCGATAAGAAGGTCGACAGGGCCCGCCGATAGGCGTCCACAGTTTGGTTAGGACTGGTTAGGCTGCGCAGGGAACGCCGTCCAGTTTAGGTCTCGCTCCGACCGGCAGATGGCGCGCAAGGGAGTCGGTGGCGCTGCGACGAAGCTCGCGCGCCAAAGAACGCGTAGAAGGCAGCTAAACTTCTTCCCCCTATTCCCGTCCGAGACACGTCGCCATAGAGTTATGCTCTCTTATCGTTATAGGTAGCACTCTTACGGTATCACTCTACGGTCTCTAGTAATTAGTCGACTTTTATATATAAATAGTATAAAGCTTACTAGTAGGCTCTCATTAGTAATGCTTAATTCATTAGGTAATCTCGAGCTCCCCGTCGCGTCGTACACCCTAGTTCGTAGCTTGGTACAGCGTCGGTAGCCGGTAATTAATCGTTATTAATCGCACGTAGGGTGCATCCTCCGCGAGCGGGTCCACGTCGGACTGGAGTTTCGTCTCATCCCGGTCTCTATACGAGGGCCGTAAACGGTCCCTCCTTGGTGGTAACAGCAAACCTCCAACGAAATCAAGACGGAGCCCGACTCTTCGTGCGAACCTACCGCGGTGTACGGTCCCCTCTTAACCGATCGGAAGTAAAAAAGGCGAACTGAAGATACTTCCCCCCGAAAGGTTGCGATCGAAGCGTTACTAGGAATCAGGCTCGCCGAGAACCTGCGCGAGTTGCGACTCCGACGCCTCTGGTGGCCGTTTACGTGAACTCCCTCCGAGTTACGGGGAGACTCCGCGTAAACCCGGCAAATCCGATCGCGTTTACACTTTGAACCCGGAGCGCCGGTTCGAGGAATCGCGAAGTAAGTACTCGGTAAGCAGCCGGGTGCGAAAGCGTCCGCGGTTTTCTAGGTTATGTACAGGCGCGCGGTGGGCCGCTCGCGAGGGTCCCCCGTGGTATGTACAGGCGACGAGTCGCGGCGCTCGAGCGCCGATCTGCCGTACCGACCGGGCCGGCAGGCGCGATATGTCCGGTTGGTCGGCCGACCTCCCCCGGTGTCCTGCGCGTCAGGCCGGCCGGGTCCGTCGAGGCAAGAGGAGACGCCGGCGAAACTAGACCGGACCTCTGGCCTCGAACTCGGCGGGAAGGCTCGTCCCCACCAGCCACCACGCCAGACCCAGACTCAGGCCTACCAACAGCTCCTCCACCCCTGAGGAGCGCCTGCCCGCTCCGCTGCAAGAGTCCTTCTGCGCCATCTCCAGTTTCGCTGCAACCAGATCGTAACGCCATATTTAATAACGGTTAAGTAACTAAGGACGTGACTGCCTTCTCGTCGGACATTGCCGCCACATCCGAAGATACGTAATGTCCGTCAAATTACCCTGTTAAAAATATACATTAAATTTGTATACTTTAATAAAATGATTGGTTCCGTGTGGTAGAATTTCTTACCCTTTCCGATTTTTACGACGTCGTAGATAATACGGCTCTGCGGAACTTTTTGTGGTTATATGTGGAAGTGGTAGTGCCATTGAGGGTTTGATTTTGTGAGTGATTATATTTAGGGGGTTAAGAGGGTAGGTGAGAGAAAGGAGGGAAAAATAGGGACGCTCTTTGTTGTACCTCGACGTGGAAGCTTTGCTCCCGTTATTGCGCCTCGGCAAGGGGATCCCCTGCGCCTCGTATTTCGCGACAAGATCCACGCTAAATTCCCCGCGGAAGAAAGACTCGGATGTATATTAAGGCGCATTCGAGTAAAGAGATATCGAAGGCGCGCTCTCCTTAAATCCACCCGCTCGAAATATCGCCTCGGATGACCGTTATCGCTACGTATCGTATCCGAAGACCGAGGCTAGGGAATCCTTAGAGCAGGAAGAACGAGACCTACTTTTCGAATTTATCGAAGGCGCCTTCGTCGATGGACAACACCGGGGTGCGTTTAATAAACTAAAGCTCGCCTTAGTTTTTCAGACCCTCTGGCTACGATATTCGAGTCTGACTTTGTATCTCCTTGTGTCTTATTGGGATGCTGGGGGTCGAACTTGATCTTCATAGCGTGATTTGGTACATAGTGCCGCTTAACGCGAAAAGGTGCATCGAAACATCCAGTTCCCTCAGAAAACCCACGAGCACGTACGGAGAGAAGGGATAAACCCGAAAATCCGCCTTGAAGGGGTGGACTTGAAAATCCGATGAGAAGAGATGAACTCAAGAAATTCCCATCAAGGGATGAACCTGAAAATCCACCGTAAAGAGATGAACTTTAGAAATTCCCGTGAAGGGATGAATCTAAGAAATTTCCCCGAAGGGATGAAAGGAAAAATTTGCCGAGATGACTCGAGTTCAGGAAATCGGCGCGAAACGACGAGCTGAAGGAATCGTTAGAAAGGGATGAAGGAATCGCTCGAAAGAGGAGCCAGAAAATCGGCGCGAAGTTTCGACGCCATCGATCTCCGCGAAGAGACGAAGTCGAAGAATTCCTGCGGATCGGCACGTTCGCGATTTGGCGCTTAGTGCCGCTTAGTACCGCGATGTGCAGCGACGTGTTGCCGCGGCATCGATCCACCCTGCCGGGCGCGGGCAGAGTCCCACCCCCTTGCCCTGTCTCCTGCGCAGCGCGATCCCCCTGCACCCTGCTCCCAGCCCTGATCCTCCGATCCTCCGATCCTCGCCCCTGACCAGACGGCCCCGAGCTTTATCGGTGTCTCGTTCCTTGTTTCCGCGGGGCGAGCCGCGATAAAACCCTCACCCTGGCGGAAGTACCTGGAACGAGGCCACTCGGGGGAGGGAAATGCAAAACGCGACGCAGAGAGAGAGGGAGGGGTGCAAACAAATTAAAGAACAGGAAGGATCGCGGCCACACTTTGGTCCCGCGATTTTGGTACCGTCATTTTGGTACCAAATGGAGATCCACGAGCGACTCCCCGCGATAAGGGAGGTTTAATTCTCCCCGTCTTTGTCCTTTGGAAAACGAAACCCTCCCCTAAAACAGGGAAGAGGGTGCCTCCTCCAAGGGGAGGTCTGGCCATGGACCGTGGACCGTCGGCGTGCATCTGGGTGCGGGTTTTACGAGGGAAGTCGAGCGGCGAAGTTGCATTTCGGTGCACTCGGTTACCCCCGAAATGCACCCCCCGCGACCGCCCCTGCTCGAGAAAACTGGAAGAAGGTCTTTCGCTCCGACGAATCACCGAAGAAAGTAGGGTCCTCCAGGGTGGCCCTCGAATTCGGAAGCCACCCTTGCGGATGGTCGTTCCCTCCTGGGGAAGGGCCAAGGGGGTGCCCTATATTTCCCGCAATTTCTTACATTTCTTACCAAGACTCCGTTAGGCAACGCTCTTCGACCGGCGGAAGTAGTATCCGGGACGTAAATAAGCAAACCCCGTAATAAACTCGGCAAACTCGGGCAACGGTCTCGGGGGTGGTCTAATAACTTCCCTCGGTGTCGATTCGGGGGTGGGACCCTTTCCTCCGGGATTTCTCGTGTCCGACCCTTCCGGTCGCGCGGCCACCCCTCGGATCCTCCTCCGGAGGGCTCGCGGTCAGATAAACGGAAGTTCCGGCACATCGGAAGTAACTCGATCGCCCCCTCCACTTCGCGGGGGTCCATCGGCGCGAGTAACTTCCGCTTTGTACCCGGCGGGTCTAACGGCAAACACCGAGCTAGCGGGTACCAAGGAGTTTTTAGTGGGCACCAAGTTCCACCCTCCACCCCCTGCGAAGCCTCCGGCCAGGTTTACGCCTGGACTTCAAAGGGCGCCGTTAAACGAGCTCGCGAGCTTTCCCCTCAATTTTCGCCTGGTTTTTCCACCGGGCGGAAATTCCGCGCCGATCGATGATGGGTCGATGATTTAACGGCGGCCGGTTTTAATGGCGGCGGGATTTAACGGCGCCGTTAAACGACGTTCGTTAACCGGAGTTAGGGGCGAGACGCCCGACGAGGCGACGCGTCGTTGCAACGAAGGGGGTGAAATATGGGAGTAGAGACGGGGTTATCGCGAGTCGTGAATCAGGAGGAAGGATCGATTCCACGGTTTTCGATTTTCGAGGGGTGATTACACCTGGAGGCAGGTGAGGGGAGGAAGTCAAAGAGGAGTCGCCGAGTTTCGACGTCTGGCCTCTTTGTTTTTTCGGATCTCTCGACGAGGGCCGGACTTCCCGTGCCGAGGGAGGAGGCAAGGAAAATGGTCCGCAACGTTGGGGGAAAATGGCTCCCCCATTGACTCGGCCCTTTCGAGGGTGTCCAAGGCCCGGCGGAAGTGCGGAGGTCCGGATGTCCCGGGGACAAGATGGAGGCCTCTTTCCAGAGCGGAAAGGGGTCGGGGCCGTTTGGTGGCCATTTGTTTGCCCGCCACGTTTCACAATGGCTCAGATTGCCCGGAAAATGATGCATTCGTACCCACCGGGGTTGCAGCTCGATGCGGCTCGATGCGGTTGTCGTGCCCACCCTACGACTACTAGCCTTCCCCTCGACGGCCTCCTCCAGGAAAGTCCCTATTTCGAGCACCGAAGTCAAGCCCAAAATTCCTCCGCTTTAAGCTCGAGAGATAAAATTCACCCCCTAAGTCTATCACCTGAACATCGACCAAGAGCCTCTTAATAAATGTATCTGGCTCGAAGCTCTACCGAGTATCTTGATAACGCTGCTAACCCCTTTAAGCGCTGGTACTTACATATTTGCCGCTAAGCTCTTTTCTTGATTAATGAAAATTTACTAAATTAATTAAATCCCTGGGGCGGATGAAGTCCTCAGGAATAATTCAGTATCCCGGGGGAAGTTTTTAGTAAACCCGGGTTTCGAGCCGAGAACGCGTCAGGGTTTGGACGCGTCGTTCGCATCGACGTCGACGAGGGACGGCGTTTAATTAATTTGACTAAGCCCCTGCACATCGCGGAGCCCGCGGGCGATGTGCTCATTGTCAGCCACGGCCCGAGTGCGCGGTACCTCTCTATGCGGTACAGGTTAGGTACCCTCCAGGACCCCTCCAGGTCCCCTCCAGGTCCCCTCCAGGTGGAGCAGCGTACTCTGCGTACCCCCCACCCACCCCCTACGCATACACTAGGTAATACCTCGGCGAGGGTGCACCTGTAGGTGCCCTCGAGCCCGCGCCGAGCAGGGCGACAAGGTGCAGGGGCCTCCAGGGCACCCGAGGGTGTTATCCCTCCGGATAGGCTTGCTTTACCGACTGACGTCACGGGATAAAGCCGGATCCAACGACTCGCGACGTCTACGTCGTAACCTAGTTACCCGGACGGCGTGACGCCGTTACGTCGAGCCACGTCCAGGCGTTGACGTCGACGTCGCCCGAGTAACGGCCGACGCCAGGAGGCCCGAGCTATGGGACCGCAAGAAAAAAAAAAAGAAAAAATAATAAAAGTGTTAATAAATATTTTTAGGTACTCGAAAACATCCATCGAGTCTCTTTGATATTTAAAGGGCACGTTCAATGGTTAAATCAGTTTCCTCCCCAATTCCTGCGTCAGCTCGTCCCGGCGCTTTCGCTATCAGTCGATACGTCCACGTTGCGCCGTTTGCTGACGTCACGTCGACGTTCGCCGCATACGGACGACGTTAACCGCATCCGAAGTTCGATCAGGTCGCGGAATCCCCGGTGCATGCCCTCCCGAACTGCCTCCACTCGGCGGGTCCGAGGTGAAATTAAAATCTCGAGATTTACGGGGAAGATGCGTGGAAGATATTTCCACAGGGTTTGCGTAGAGTTATGGGGAGGAGAGAGACATCGACGGGGTGGAGGGGTGTGGGGAAAAATTGAGGGAAACGGGGAATAGTGCAGGAAATTAAGGGAGGCGAACGAGCTGGATGCTTCGGGGCGAGGACGGACACTGGGGAGGTCGAGGGCGAGGCGGGGTGGGGCTTTTATTTTTAACCCTGCAGGAGGCTGCGAGACCGGGTCTCAACCCTTTCGTCTCTGTGCAGCATCCTGTGTCCCTCTCGCGTCTGGTCTCGCGCTTTCCAAACAATTCCGCACCCCTGAACTGGTAAAAATGTCGCAATACTTCTCCGACACCCTCCAGTACGTGTGTTTCTATATTAAAACTAGAAACATCCCCCACCCGGAATGAAAACCGAAGAAAAATGTACCCTGTGATGACGTACCCTTCGATCGCCACTTTCATGGAAAATATCTGCAAAGGTATTGAAAATTCACGTGGAAGTGTGTGTGTGGTAAAAAGATTCACTGATTTCTCCAGAGGCGGTGCACCCTATGTGCATGCTGTCCGTGTCGTGCACCTCGTGCACATCGTGCACATCGCGCCACCAGGTACTCGCAGGTGCGTGTGATCGGCGACTCGTGTCGATTACACGCGGCGGTAAACGTTCCTTAGACATGCTCACTCGCATGGTCTGTCAGGGTCTTCGTCAACCAGCGGCCATGTTACAGGGTCATTACGATGGAAAATGACGGGGAGATCTCCTTGGTGGCGAGAGAATGTAAAAAAAAAAAAATAAAATAAGTTACGAAAAGTGGCAAGATGTCTCGAAGGAAAACTCCAACATGCTCCGAAATATTCCACCGTATTCGAAGAGTTCGACGATATCGCCCGATTTTTGGAATGTAAACCGATGTCTTCTTTAGCACCCGAATAACTCTTTATAATGGGTCCTTCTATGCAGTTACTTATGCATAATGCAGTCGCGGTCTCGCGAGGATCCGGCATGGCGTTGCCGGCTATCCTCGCAAGATAGTCGCAAGAAAAGCAATTTCGCGTCCCATTGACTTTAAGGCGGCCATTAATCGAGAGAGGTTCCTGCATCTGGCTTAGGGGCAGGTGGCACCTCGCCAAAACATCGCGTTTCTTCGTCAGCCATTGATTTCGAGACGGACACCCCCCGCGACTCCTCGTCGACCTCCTTGTCGAGGAGGCACGGCGATTCCGTAGTTTCTCCTCCTTGATCGACTCTCGGGACTTTTTCGCAATTTACGGAATGAGGTATCTCCGTCACTCCAGTTAACAGGTGACAAGGACGAAGGGGTTAACGAGGGCGATACATCCACTGGGACTATCGGGTTTAATATATTAATTCGGGGGTTAATAAATGAACTCGGGTTCCGGTCAGAGCTCATTAAATCTAGATACGAGGAGTCGATGGGTAGGAAAAATTCACCAGCGACGAGGGTAGGTGAAAATGGACGTAAAGGTTGTATGGGGAGGTTCGATCGAGCTCGTCACCCTCTTGGCGAGGGCGAAGGATCCGAAAATCCTGGACATCCGGGGCCTGCGGGGGAGGAAGAGGGTACTACAGTGGGGTCGTTAGAGCTCCTCGAAATATAATTTCGACCCCACCGGGTCCTGGAGAGGCCTGGATAATCCCTGAAAGAGGGAAGTCGCCCCTGCTGTCTCCGCGTTCGCACCCTCGCGGATGTCGTCGCCCACCCTAAACTACACGTGCGGACACCCACGCGAAGACGAGTCGGGAGAATTCATCCCTTCGCTCCGGAAAATCATTTCTTCTCCGATATAAAAAAATAAAGAAACATCGAGGGCTGTCTCGATCTCCCTTCCGAGCTTCCCCCGACTCCTAAGAGGGCAGAGATACGATTTCCGAGGCTTCGAACCTACCCCTGATTTTTTCCCCAGATTCTTTTCAGGAGTTCTATCGCATCCTTGCATCGGAAACGACCACAATTGCCGAAAAAAAAAAAAAAAAATCGCCTGGAAATGTTACCGTGGAAAGCAAGTAGTAGATGGGCGTCGCGCGTCCCTTTTAGAGAAATCAAAGCCGAGAGCGGGATAAAAATGACAATGCCGGGAAAAATCGCTGTGGCGGGCGTCGCTCCTCGAGAAATAATATCCATTGTATATCCCGGCTAGCCGGGAATCGCTCTTTTTCCCCCGAGATCGAGGAGACCTCGTATTTCATCCCCAGCATCCCCGTAACCTTCGTTGCACTCGTCGAACGCGGTTACCCCCGGGAGAGAAACGGCCCTTCTTGGTATCGCTAAAGGAAATCGAGTACGCGGAGGACATTCTTCACCCCCTGGGTGGAGTTTTCCATTTCCAGTCATATTGCACCCCCCAACAGGCCGCGGCCATATTTCATCCCTGTCGTTATTCCATTGATATTTCCTATCGATGGGACCTCACCGAGTGGTCTCGCATTGCCCTCGTTTCCCTACTCCACCCCCTGGAAATCTTGTCAAAAGAATACATTTCAATGCGGAATTAATGAGCAGGTTAGGCGTCTCTTCGGGGAGGAATTCTCTTGACAATTCTCGCGGAACGCTTCGGTCGTTAAATCTCGGAGGGAGGCTTTGAAGGGGCAATTTGGGGGCGAATGTTGCATGCGCGATGCAAAGGGGTGGGACGGGTTAAGGGGAAGAAAAGCGAGGCGCGACGCAGCTCGGAGACAAAGTCTCGGCTCTTATTTCTTTTTCTCCCCCCTGTTTTTTTTTCCACCTCGGAAGCGCGAAGGCGAGGTCCTTTTCGCTACTTCTTTCCCTTCGCTCCTTTTTCTCCTCTCTCGGGCGACACGCGACACGCGAGCCCGCGATGCCCGGGGTATAAAAAACGTCGTTTCCTCTCTTTCCTTAAATTTCCCTAACGAGACAGTCTCCGGCCACCGGCGCATTAAATAACGCCCCGCGTTCCCCGCGGCTCGGAAAGGCTCTCGTTTTCTGCCTCGACTTTGGCTGAAACAAAAATCCACCCCTTTGAAGGGGCGGCCTTAAAAGCCTCCCCGAAAGGTCGGGAATAATCGCGTTGATGATACTTTTTTATCCGGCCCACTTGCGGCTTCATTTGTGCGAGTCAAATAAATGCCTCGAGACCGTCTTCCCTCGATGACGTCTCCCTGCCTCGGGGTGGAATTCCCATTTCCGGGGGGAGATAATAATTTCCCCCGATAAGAGGCGACGTTTCCGTAACCGAAATTCCGGGTGAGGGGATCTATACCCTCGGAAACGAAGATCGCACGAAGAATGATAAGCGTTGGAGCACTTTTTAGAGGGTGGAAAGATATAGGCAAAATCCCAGGGGAGGTCCTGAGAATTTTCTTCGATTTTTCTTTCTTTACCTCCGGTCTTCCAGGACCTTCGCGAAGGGTCTAAGGAGCTAGGGTGGAGGTCGGCGAGGTAGGAACCTGCAGAGCCAAAGCTCTTTCAACGCGGCTTTCCTCTGCTCGAATCGAACCGGCCAGGCGAGTCTCGTTAAAGTTCTCATTACCCAAACGAATAATGACGGAAGGCACGACCCTTTCGACTTTGCGGGATCTCTCGGTGGAAAGGAGTCCCGAGTGCGCAACAAAAGTGCGGACCACCTCCCCCGTACCTTTACGCCCGGATGATCCTCTGGAAACGTACTTCGAGTTCGGCGCCGTCGAGAGACGAATAACTTTTCCGGCCCCTTTCTTCGCCCAGCCACTCGCGTTTGTATACGAGGTCCTTTATACACCCGGAGAGCCTGCCAGGATTCACTCCTTCCCGAGGAAATAATTATAACCGGCCAATACGGACTGAAACTTGTCAAAGTGCAGCCTATCCCAATTTTCGGATAATTCCCTGTCGTCGCGATTAAACAAAACCCATCGTAGTAAAATATACAAGGATATAAATTCGTTCCCCGAACTGGTACCTGGGTAATTAAAAATGACAGGGAGGAGTGTAAGTGAGATATGAAAATCGGGCATGAGTGCACCTGGGGCAATCAACAGTTCTCCTTGAAGTCGGAAATGAATTTCTTTTGTCTCTGTGGAAGGTATGAGTAATTGCTGTTAATTATATGGCATTCAGGTGGGAAAGGGGTTTTCCTATTTATAGGGGAGGCGAAAACCCGACAATGGGCGACGTTCGACCCTGACTTTAACGACGTTAAACGGGAGGCTGAGCCTGGGTGCGGCCAGACGTTCCTTCAACCCTGAGGAGCGGTCAAAGGGATTCACCGGGATTCAACGGGACCCATTCGAGCGAAGGAGCTTCTGGAGGACGTTAATCATCCTGCAGCTTTTTACCTCGGAGATCGGCTCCTCCACTTTTCAGAGCCGCGACCTGCCGAGGCTCCTCGGCAGCTCGCGAAACATTTCGATCGCTCTCGAGAAAGGTTCCACTTCCGCCAATGGACTGCCATTCCGGATCAACAGGTGTCACTCGGCGACGATCCGAGCGAACCTTAGGCTACCACCAAGAGCAGGAATTCACCTCGAAAAATCGATTTTCGGTAATCCTCCGCAGCATCCGCAAGAGGTCCTGGCTAGCCTGCTTCGACACGGATTCGCCTATCAAGAGTCAAGGAGTATTGGCAAGGTGAGGATAATCTAGGATCTTTTTTATAGGATCCTCTTCTCCCAATTTCGGATGTTTTCCCGAGGAAGGGGTCCAAGGGATTTGTATAACGAAACGAGGTTGTACTCACTCGTCGCACTCAGCAGCTGAGGTAGGTACTTCTTCCAGAAGGCGCACTGCCTCACTCGAGGACCATGACCGATCTCCGTCGTGTTCGTGTCCAGGGTCAGGTACTCCTTCTTGGACGCCGAGTGCTCCGGCCAGAAGGTCTTCGTCCAGGAGCCGTCATCCCCCATGTTCGGGTTCCTGCGAAAACGTGGAAAACCTCTCGTTACCCTGGGTTAAAAATCGGCGACTCCGCGAATAATGATGGATGATCATTGGACAGATTTCAGGGAAAGGCTCGACTTCGGGATATTCCTTCTAGGACGGCACTCGGACGTTCCTCCAGGAGCATACCCCGTCTTGGCGAAGTTCGCCCAGTACCGCATCATCCTCTTGGACAGGTGGACCTCCTCGTGCGTGTACCTCTTCGAGGCGTCCAAGGGCTCCCCGAAGATGTAGCTGATCTCATCGGCGTGCATGACTCCCGTCCACCTGGGCCAGGGGTTATTCGCCGACCTGGAAGAGCATCAGGAGTCATCCCTCCTCGCGCCTGAAGATGACTTTTTCGGCTAAAAAACGTCTCTTCAACGTCCATACCTGTGCTTATAGTAGTACATGTAGACCGTGTTCCCGGTATCGGCGTATCGGTCGGCGAACTCATTGACGTTGCAGGTGAACTGATAGTCGCCGACGATCTTGTCGAGGGCGTCCCTGTTGACGTGGGGGTCGTCCGGTCTGAGCCAGTCGGTGTACTCGTAGATGATGGCGTGTCTGGCGATCTGGTTGACGTAAGGGTTGAGCTCGGTGACGGCGGTCAGGAAGTCTTCCCTGGAGACCTTGACGTCCTCGGTGCCGTCTATGCGGAAGAGCTCGGTGAGGTAGTAGATGATGAAGTAAAAGCCCTCCTCGGTGTTGGAGCCCATCAGGATGTTGGCCTTCTTGAAGGAGGCGGTGGCCAAGGATCTCTGCGGCGTCTCGTCCAGGAAGGCGCCGTCTATGACGGGCACGAAGGGGAACTCGCAGATCCCCAGCGTGCCCCACTCCCCGTTCACCAGGTCCACCGGATTCTTTACTAGGAGACAGTCGATCATCTCCCGCAGGTTGTTGATGTCGTGGGGACAGTTCACGGCCTCGGCCAGCCGGATGCCCCTCATGATCGACTCCTCTCGGGAGATGATCGCCCAGGGTGCCGTTGGCGAGCCGGACTGCATGATCGCTTGGTGGAAGAGGTGCCTGAAATCACGGACATCGTGATGACGCCATCGGGTGGATCCAAAATCCCTATTCCACCTCCATGACGCGGGTTCCCTTTAATTATTCTTCCCCGTAGAGAACCACTCACAGCCGGATGAAATTAATTCCCGGGGACGACGGCTCGTCTCGACCTTCTTATCGTCCCAACACTCGGAGTTGGAAGTTCGGACCTCGCGAATGCCTGCGGCTCCCTGCCAACTGGTTCCCGCCGGAGCCGAAGGGGAAGATTCGTAAACAAGTTGCTTAAAGTTTCGCGGAATTGCGTGTAATTGGAAAGAAACTTCTCAAGAGCTCCGAGTTGCCGCAAGTTCCGCGAACTTCCGCGTCGCCCGGTAGGGCCCTGAGCCGGGTTAGTGCTCCAGATGGAAATTGAATCGAGAGAAACCCGCCTTTGTTCGCGATGGATCGAACTCTCGGTGGGTATTCCTAGATCCCCGTTTTCCACATCCCGGGGTGTGGAAAAAATGTTTAACGTTCCTGACATTATTTTTATCAGGGTGGCCAGGAGTTCTTCCATCGAGGACTCGGACCTCCGGTCTCCTGACTTCAGGCCCAGTGTCCGTTCTCACCTGGACAAGGGTGACAGCAGGTGGAGGGAGACCGAGACCGCCCCGGCACTCTCCCCGAAGAGGGTGACGTTGTCAGGGTTCCCCCCGAAGGCGGCGATGTTGTCTCTGACCCACTGAAGAGCCATCATCTGGTCGAAGAGGCCGGCGTTCCCCGGGACGTCCGGGGTCCCGAAATACAGGAAACCGAGACTAGCCACGCGGTATTGCATCGAGACCAGGATCACGTTCTCCTCCGAGACGAGGGTTCTGTGATCGTAGACGTCCAAGGTGGCGGATCCCGAGTAGAACCCACCTGGAATCGTTCCCAGGAGATCTCGTCATCCGGCGTGGTTACGACTCCCACGGGTCTACCTTGGCCTCGCCGAAGTGCGCCCCTCCGACCTTATTCTCTGACTGTCGATGGACAAAGTCGCGGAAATTTAATAAACGTATTCCTGGGACCGATTTTAGTCATCCGATTCACCGATCTTCCAATAGCATCGATCCTGATTTACCTGCCCAATTCTTACTGACTTTACTTCCAGGTCGCAGGGGCCACCTCGTCGACCTCCGGGAGGTGTTTAACGTCTTTGATAGGTAATCCCCAGTGATAACTCACCACCGAATATCCATACCATGACAGCGGCGTTGGTCGGCCTGGGTTTCGGGGCGACGACGTTCACGTAGAGGCAGTCCTCGTTCAAGGGGGTGTTCGGGTTCCACATGGTGGCCCCGGAGAAGTCCCCGAAGACCGTGTCCAGGATTTGCACGCAACTGTTGGGCAAGGTCGTCGCGTTCAGGATTCCGGTCCAGTGCTCTGCCGGTCGTGGATGTCGGAACCTGAGGGAACCTGGAAGGACCGGGAAAAAAATTAAAACCGTATCAAGAGTCGATTCTAACCTCTGCGGTACACCTCGACGGGGCCCACCTTAATTTCTATGTATTTTCAAGAATTCTCCAGGAAGAAAAAATTTTTTTTTTAATATTTATAATATATACATTGTGCGTTAAAAATATGGAAACATTACGAGAAGGTTAGGGACCTTACCCAGGGGCTTCTGGGCGTAGGGGATGCTGAACCACGCGTCGACCTCCTTCCCCGTGGTGGCCGTCAGAGTCATCCCCATGACCTTACCCTTCCTCGTCTGCACCACCAGGGGGTCCTCCCCAGGACTCGCGCCCAAGGGCTCGGGCCTGGGAAGGTCCTCGTATGGACTGTGCAAATTTTTCGAGTCCTTCGCCTCCTCGTGGGGTAACTCGGCGTGGTGTCTACCTCTATGAGAGGGGGTGCACCTCCCCAGCTCGCAGCACAGGACGAGCACCGAGCTCAGGACCAGCGCCGTTTCTACCTTCGAGGCGAGCCTGACACCTCGACTCCTTGACATGATGTCCTCTCCTGGGACAGCAGAAAATATATCAACTCCACAAAAAGATTAATTTCCACCCAGGAGACAAAAATCTAGAATTTAAATGCCACCTCCCCTTCGACCCTTAAGATTCCTCCTCCCTGGAAACTCCTCTTTTCCAAATTTTTCAATCTTTCCAACGGGAATTCTCCTTTGGGACCATTTCCTTTTTTCTACGTGAACACTTGAAAGTATTTCCAACCACCTGAGTTTTTTTCGCCGGGAAGAATTTTATAAGAGTTATTAGAAGAGAAGATGATTTTTGGGAATAATGTTCTTCGGCTCTGGAGCGAGAATGGTACTTAAAAGAATTCCGGGGAAGTCAGGAAGGACTCTCAATTTTGTCGGGAAAACCTGAGTTCCGGCAAAGAGTTAAGAGGCAGGGAAAGCCTCGAAAATGCCGGCGCACTTCGCATAGACTCCGAAACTGTTTAAACGTAATAAAGCCGGGAGGCCCGCTCGGCTTTTCATCAGGCGCAATGCCTGCGGATTATTACGCATACGTTGCCGTGCGACGTGCACACGTCCTTACGCGTCATGAAGTACGGGAATTCCGGGGCTGCGGGCACGCGGAATTTTCATAACCTCGCAATCCCCTCGGAAAATATTCCCTTATTACGGGCCAGGGTGAGGAGGGGCAGAGCTCGGGGAGTTCTCGTCGCGGAAACGCCGCCGTTGATCGTATACGCGTCGCGGAATTCCGCCCTCCGCGGGGCAAAAGGAATTCTCATAACCCCGACATTTCCGCGGAAAACATTTTCCCCCGGGCGAACGGGCCGCGAGCTCGATTCTGCCAAATCGGGACAAAAGCCATCCGCGAGCTGCGTTGAAACGGCGCGGAACTGACGTCCCTCGAAACTGATTAGTTTCCCAAGGAGGCGAAAAGAGCGACGAAAGCTCCCCGCCGAGTTCCCGAGGATACTTATTTTATTTCCCTTTAATAACCCAAATTAGGGATCCGGGAGTACCCTTCATCGGGAACTGAACTTCGCGAGGAGACCAAGGAAACGCGGAAAAAAGTCCCTCCGCGACGAGTCTCGAGTTGGTATTATTATTACTTCTATTATTATTTTCATTTCCCATCTCTTCCAAGGGGTGAGAACATTTATTTATTAATTCCCTGGGCCCGAAGCGTCCCTCGGAATTTCCCGGGTGTCGGGGCTGAACTAGGGTGCCTGCAATTGGGCAATTATTTACAAGGTCGCCAGGGCTGCGGAAGCACCGCGACGAGACCGCGTCGTCATTGCGGTGGCGGGAACTCCCGGGGAAATTCCGCCGGCGGTTACAAGCCTGGGGTGCACTGCGGATGATCCGACGTAGGTAATTCGGCGGTGCCGCGATAACGATAATTCACGGATTCTAAACCCTCGCCAGAGCTGCGTCGTTTACAGGGGGCGATGCGACCCGCGATACCGCAACGCCCTGCAGGAATGCAGCACAGTGCCCGTGGATGCACGAGAACGACGGAAGATGCGCAAAGAGAGTCCCCTCCCCAATAAATCCGCAAGAGCGACATAAAAAAAAAGAAAAACCCGATCCAGAGACAAAGGGTGCTCTGTATAGCCCCCGAAATCAATTTTCCCGGCCGGCGCGTATTCCGAATTAAGCCGCGTGCACTTAATCCGATTACAGGACCGTTACTGCACGTGCAATTAAATTGTCCCGGTAACGCTCCAGGTAACGATAAATCCCCTTGAAGCGGCAGTACAGCCGGAAGCGCTTCCTGGACACCGATTAGAAGCGCACCGGTTAGGGAGCAGGGTCATCTATCTACAAAAAAAAAGAGAGAGGGGGGGAGAAAATCGAGAAAACAACCCCTTTATTTTTCCTTTGTTAATTCCTTACGATCCACATCATGTACTTAAAAAAAATAAAAATGATAGGGAAATGCAAGAAAGCGGTTGCTTTATTTTTTCATCAGGGTCCAGCATCCTTTGAGCACACTTGCTCCTCTGGACCAATCAGGAGGCAGGATCAGGTGGGACCCGATTCCCCTGGATCCTGAACAGATGCAGCGTCTTTGTTGCTTTGTTTTCTGTTTTTTAATTTCTCTGCCATAGTCGGATCATCAGGGTCCAGCATCCTCCGAGTATGCTCGCTCCTCTGGACCAATCAAGAGGCAGGATCAGGTGGGACCCGATTCCCCTGGATCCTGAACAGATGCAGCGTCTTTGTTGCTTTGTTTTCTGTTTTTTAATTTCTCTGCCATAGTCGGATCATCAGGGTCCAGCATCCTCTGAGCATGCTCGCTCCTCTGGACCAATCAGGAGGCAGGATCAGGTGGGACCCGATTCCCCTGGATCCTGATCAGATGCAGCGTCCTTGTTGCTTTGTTTTCTGTTTTTTAATTTCTCTGCCATAGTCGGATCATCAGGGTCCAGCATCCTCCGAGCATGCTCGCTCCTCTGGATCAATCAGGAGGCAGGATCAGGTGGGACCCGATTCCCCAAGACCCCGATCGGATGCAGCGTTCTCTTGCAGGTCCAATGGTGCAGGACTGCGGCGGTGGCCGCATCGGCCACTAAATATTTGAATGGTCGAGCTTAACCGGGCCATTCGGTCCGGCTGCGCCAATGGCGAAGCTCCCTCTTCGGTATCGAACGAGCGTCCGTCGCAACGAGAGAGACGGGATCGCCGAGGCCCGGCACCTGCATCGGCCGACCTGCCCTCGCGGTCGCAGTTGCAGTTGCAGTCTCGTCCGAGAGGACCGCCCTCTGACGTCAGCGCGTTTATAGGCGGCCTCTTTGGCAGCTTTTTTACTCCCTTGTACATATTTTACCCCGCGATCGCCGAATGCGTCGATTCGACGATCCGCCTCCCCCTGCGCCAAGTTACGTCACCGGGACGTCGTAAGACCAAGAAAGTCTGACAAGAAAATGTCCCAGGTGTACAATACCGATTTTCACGGTTCCGACTCGTGTCGACGAAATTTTTTATACGCACTAATTTGACGCGTACAGAAATACTGCGATTTTTCAGACGTACTGCTCTACGAAGAGAAGGTCTCATTGAACCGAAGAAGTAGATCGACATTTCGATGAATAATTATTTTACTCCAACTGGAATGAACTGGACGCAACGTTTCTTTGGTATTGCGACAATGAAATGATTTCAATTAAAATGATTTCTTTGGTTCGATGAATTTTTATCATCCTCGGGGTGCCTGCCTGGTGAAACTCGAGGGGTAATTTTTGTTTACCGTTTACAGGATTATCGAAATTACGAGAGCCCGTAACGAGGATTTTAATGCCGCACTTTTTACGCTGTAATCGCGCTGTCCGGGCTCGACGTTAATGACGGTGCACAAGGCGGTGAAAAATCGACGTTATTTCGCGTTTCGGCGCGGAATTGGCACGCTCCCCGATTATGCAGGAGTGCAGCGGAGGCTTTGACTCGATGCACGACACCCGGGTGGGGCTTGGGGGTGGGTCGAACGATTACCGATAAGCCTCGTTAACGACTGTGCATTATAATTAGAGCCTGGAAATTCGGGCTGCTCTTCCAGCGGGACCGACGGAAAATGGTGGAGGGAAAATCCTCCCAAGCCCGGCGGCCCACCTGCTGACTCGCGTTAGTACGAAATGGAAAAAAAAAAAAAGAGATGTGTATTAAAAAAGGTGAATGAAAAATGGAAAAAAAAAAAATCGCCCGACCCTCGGAGACTCTCGCCCCGGCCGAAAGTGTGTCGTTTAAAGGAAAACGCGTGCATCCGGCGGAAACTTGGTCGATAAACGTGGAGTTCGGAGTTCTCGGCCGGGTCAAACTGGCGGAAGTATCGAAAAACGGGGAAAAAGTATCGAAAAGCGGGGAAAAGTATCGAAAGCGTCGGAAAAGCGCGCAAAGTTGGCCGGGAGGATTGAATCGAATCGGCCGGGTGGTCCTCCCTCTCTCTCTCTCTCTCTCTTGTTATTCCGGGGGAGGTTGTAGGTTGTAGGTGGACGGGCCAAGTGGACCCGGGCTGCCCAGGCGAGGTGACGAGGGGGAGTGAAAAGAGGAGAGACAAAAGGGAGTAGCTAGGCAGCCCAGAAACCGAGGGTTATCCCCGACGGCCTGCTCTGATCGATACAGCCATACCACTCGCTTATTTATATTTCCTACAGGACACCGGGCCGAACCTCCTTCGACCGATCTTTTCCTCCCCGGAGAGGGTGGCCCCACCTCCTCGCCCAGGACCGGATGACTGCTCCCCTTCTCCGCGAGCTGACGTCCCTCTCTCCGCCCCACCTTATACATGACATTCCTTCCTGGTATATCGTTATCTTCTGTAGTTTCTTTCCTAATCTTCGAAACGATCGAGACATCGGGATGCGATATGAAATTGATAATTTTCCCTAGAGGTGACTTTTCGATGTTTTCCACCTCCGCCGAGGACCTGTCCAGCTCGCAGGGCGACGTTTTACCTCCCCTCGTAAATCTCGCAGGATCGGTCGAGAGTCGCTGCACCGAGCAATGAACAAATCCACGCCGGATAACCCCGGGGGTCGGTGCAATCTGCAAATGCGCCCGACCTCGATTCCGGAATCGCAATTCGGCCGGATGCGTGCGGGACCATCGTCTGGTCCTCCCCTCTCGCGCACCCCGTGTAACCCCGTGTAAAATGCGAGCCGTCGCGTTTGCGCCCCGCAACCCGGGGTGTATTAATAAACGCCGCGGTCGCGCCGCGCCCCCTGCGACCCGGAGGCGCGGTTGCGGAATTTGGCACCGGTCGCGGGGAAATTGCTGCGGCTGTTCCCCGTGCACCGAATCGAGATGCGGAGGGCAGATTGCATTGTGCATCACCGAGGACGAGGTAACGCACCCCGCGTCTATGGCTCACCTGTCGGGGGACAGGGGTACCCCGCCGCCTCGGGATAGCATCCATTGTCGAAGGATAACGACGGAGGATCCTTCGATAATTATGGGCGCACGGCGACGAGGATAACGATCGTTAGGGGTGCCTCGGGAAATTAGGCGTGCCGCACGCGGTTCTCGCTTTAATGAGGTATCGGATGCATCGGGTGCATCGCTTTTGATCCTGGAGATGCGCCCGGAGATCCGAGGGTGGAGAGGCAAGGAGATGAGCAAGGGGCCCAGGAAATCCGGAAGACTGCGTCGAGGAATCTACAAGTTGTCGCCAGGACTCGAAGCCAACAGGCTGCCGGACGAGGATCTCTGGTCAGGACTCGAAAGGATGCGGAAATCTTGAGATCTTGCCGAATTACGTTTCATAAGTGTGTAGAATTAAGGAAGTCCATGGTTTGAGGAGGAAGATCGGAGGAAAGCGTTTGAGCCCTGAAGAAGACCCCGAAGGAAACCTTGAAGAGGCTTTATATAAGGAGAAAAACCGGGATGAATCTAGCATCTGGAGCAATATATACTAGTTTCGCGTCCCCTCCCTCGGGGAACGGTGTGGCATGGAAATCTAAGCGAAACGTCCCGAGGAGCGGAAGGGATTTCAAAGGAACGAGACCAATTGACCGTCTCGTCTCGTCTGGTTCCCTGTCGGCCGGCTTTTCGGGAAGTCTTTGCTGAGCTTGCGCGGCCAAGAGCGAGAAAGAGGGCGAGAGGAGAGGCAAAGGACTCGAGTCGAGAGGAGCCATCAGGAGTCGAGCACGTCGAGCGAACCGCTCGTGCTCGACGAATCGTGAAAAATGGCGGCACGACGCCACCAGGCAAGGACAAGAGCGAAGGGACCGGCGAACCCCATTACACGGGTCAAAAGACACGCGGGACAATTTACGGAACGCCACGCGGAAACGCGATCCTTCGCGAGGATCCCGACTTTGGCGAATTGGTCGCGAGATGTGAACGCCGGAGTACCGAAAAACCGAGTCAAAAGTCCCTAGGAAAAGAACCAGGCAAGAGGCGTCACGCTACAGGTGCCTTAAAATGCACCTGTCGGGTCAAGGATGTCAAATGAAAAGTCCAGCGGACAGGTGCCATCCTAAAGGCGACAGGACGCAGCGATTCCGCGCGCTGCGAGGCGTCGGAACGTCTGCTGCAGCTTCGCAGGTACGCGTCGGCAAAGAGGAGCAAAAACGCGCATAAAAATGAAATCCAAGAGACTTCGCGCTGGATATAATCGCAGGTAGGGTGGACGTTTGTCCCCGGTGAGCTTTGATCTTCTCCCCTTTGGCTACTCTGGTTTGCTCGCCCTAGGAATGTTGTCCCAGAGGACGAGCAGTCGCTTGAATCCGCATTGGCGGGAAGGAAGGGTAAGAAAAGAGGTCTCCGATGGAGTCCTCTTCGGAAAATTCCCTTAACCCATTTGCATCATAAGGAAGTATGAAAAAAAGGGTCCTTATCACCAAAATTCAAGCTGAATGGTAGTGACCAGGAAAATTGAGCGTACATGTACGCTATTGATGCAAATGGGTTAATGGCCAGGGGAGGGCTTTGTCGACCGTACAAAATGTCATGGTTTTCGATTCCTTTCGCAACTCGATCGAGTCCTCTTCGGGAAACTCCCTTAACCCATTTCCATCATAAGGAAGTATGAAAAACAGGGTTCTTATCACCAAATTTCAGGCTGAATGGTAGTGACCAGGAAAACTGAGCGTACATGTACGCTATTGTTGCAAATGGGTTAATGGCCAGGGGAGGGCTTTGTCGGCCGTACAAAATGTCATGGTTTTCGATTTCTTTCGCAACTCGATCCCCCTTAAGGTCCCCGTGAAATGCGATCGCGCGTACGCCGGTCCAATTATCTCTGTTTTTGCGCGGAGCTTTGTGTTTCGAGGACGGGGAGAAACAACGGTAACGAGCTCGCATCGAGAGCGCTCCTCGAATCTCGAACGCAGAGGTTTTCATGCTCGACGCGATCGAAATCCGAAGCCCACTTGGGGCGAGTTACACGCGCCGATTAACGATTCCTCTCGTTAATGTCGGCCCGGTAGAGCCTTTTGAGGGAAGCGAGGATTTGCGAGCGTTCCCGGCTAATTCAACGATTCGACCCTGCGAGTCCGAAATTCGGACCACGTTTTCGTCTCGTCTTCCAGAAAAATTCCGCCCGGCTTTAAGGTGAAGTGAAACACGTCGAGGAACTTGATCGACGTCGATGAAGAAGATTTTTCTAAATGCCTACGTTGCCGACGTTCGTTTTTATATTATCAGCTGTGTCGAATCATATTGGATATTGTACCAAATGGTATACTCCACCTGTCGTTTTCGTACAATAATTATAAAGAAATCGAAGTAAAACTCCAGAAATCCTCTGGATTCGTGATTTCTGGGGCCCTAATTGACTGCAGAGGGACCCCCTGCGCCATCTGTGATTTCCAGGTCAATTAAATTTTATTCTGGTCTGGACTGAGTTGAAAAATTTTGTTAAAAAATCCAAATTTTCAATGCGGCAGGACAATTAGATGATCAGGAGTGATCTGTCAAAGTTTCGAACAGTTTGGTCTAATACCCTTAAAAAAAAGGGCTGTATTCGAATCGACTGATATAAAGGGGATTGCACTTCACCTTAAACAGAGTCAACTTCATATCCTCGGCATGTCCGAATCTGAAAATCTCGGTTGGACCTTAAATCCCCCTCGATTTCACTAATCTATCAATTTTATACCCTGTATAAAAACATGGATGGTGGATAAACGCGCGACATCGAGTGCCGATCAGCTGGTATCGTTATCAGTGATAAAAGCGAGCATTTCCTCCCCCGATGAGGCATTTCATGTGGATGTCAGGAAAAGGTTGCAAAGAGGAGCAAATGTAAATTCTCGTTTCTAAGGAGGAGTCGAGCCGAGGACGACAACACGTTTCGGGTTGTCGTTCCCGGGCTGGAAATTATCCCGTAATTCAGTGCCTCTGTCGGCAGGTGATCCAATTAGCAACGGGCACGAGGGCCGACTTCTCCCAGGGCATTCGACAATAATTAGGTAGAAATCTGTCCCCACCTAATTCACAAAGCGGCTTTAAGCGCCCGTGGAAAAGCGACCGCCGACCGCGACGCCTTTTGTGCCGCACCAGGTGAGCGCATGCGCGCTACACGCCTCCTAAATCCGGCAGCGATTTTCCGCAATTTGGGAAAATGGCCCTCCATGTCCGAGACCAATCTTGGCACCATCCCCGGACTCATCGGGACGAATCGAGAATAATAGGGCACTCACGGTTTCCAAGTCGATGTGGAGATTGGCCGAGGTCGTGGTCGAGGCGTTTTCTGCGGCGAAGGTGGAGGTCCTGGTCGGGGTGGAGATTACGACCGAAGGAAGAATGGCTTCCTTCGATCCTGCGAAGGGCTTTCGATCGCCGATCTTCCCTTCTACGTCCCCAGCTCAGGCATCGCCGATCTGAAAATCAAAGTCTGAAGTCTTCGATCTAGCGGCCATTTAAGAAATAAATTTTCATTCATACATAGGTCCAAGAAAATCCATAATAATTGGAAATGGAGACTGGAAAGATTTTCTGGAAAAAGGTTCATCAAATCTCTCGTGCGGTTGCCAATTTGCGAGAGAATATAGTTAGTTGAAAGATGAATAAAATCCCGAGAGTTTTGTCAATTCCGCAATTTTCTGATCTCGCGGGTGGAAAATTCCAATGCGAGAGCCTCCTCTCGAGGAAGGGCCGCGGCTTGCGGAAAATCGACGCGTTCCCGGGCTAACGGAGGGAACTCGGTCCATCCGGAAGCTGCTGAATGATTGATCAGCCGATGAGTCGAGATTGGATCCCCGCGGTCTCGCGTGCATCTTTCAGGATCCGAGGAATCGACACCGGGTACCCCGCGAAACGTCCATTAACCCGCTGCGGAATCCCCGGAATGCGTTGAATCTCCTGGCTGATTAATCCAACGCCGGGAAAAATGAAGAGATCGAAACTGGAACTAATCGACCGCCTCGAATGTTGGCCCCCCTCCAGATATCGCTCGATAATTACCGCCGAGCACACGGCGGATGGTATTACGAGGTGTTACGAGCAATCGGGTGCTCAATGACGTTTCATGAACCCGACGCAATGGCCCTTCCTCGACGTAACGACGGCTCTGGAAAACGCGTTACGCGCTCGCGGTGGCTCGTTAATTTTTGATCGCTCATTCGCACGCACCACCCGATAGGGAATTAACATCCGAGCGTATTCCCGACCCGCGGGTAAATACGCGCAATGCAGTAAAAGGATCGGCGGTAATTACTGCCGATTATGGCAAGACACCTGGACAGGTGCGCCAGATAAGGCGCGATCAGCGTCCGATCAGTCTGGCCATTTCGACACTTCTGAAGCGATATCTCCAAGCCTCTTGATAAATGTGTAGAGTTAAGGTCTCGATGTGGAAACGATTCCAGAGCTGATAAATGTTACTTCGATGGACGGGGAAAAGATATTGGAAATGGGAGAAATGCGGAAAAAATGCCGAGGCAGAAGGCGCGCGAATTATCGGCCGGGAGATATACGCGGTTTCATTAAAACTCTCGAGCGGCACTTCCGCGACCGCCATCCACATCCGGCCGGTGATATACGACCATCTTGCCCTTTCCCTCCGCATGTTTGCTATCTCGCCCATCCTGCGTAAGTAATGGGGCAGCTCGGCCGACCCGGCTCGAAAAGGGCACAGGGCCGATAAAGAAGAGGACACTCGTCCTCGTTTCGACTAGTTCGACACGCGATCGTGGAGGAAAAAATTCCAAATGAACGTAACTGACATTTTATACAACTGCAAAAATATTTCAATAATGATTAAAGCCCGATTCAATTTATTGGAGCCCATAGCGCGGAAGTTTATCAGAACCTCGAGGCAAGGCGTCGGTGATTTCTGGAGGAGAGCGCATTTTCGATTCCCTTGAAAAAACGTGGGAGTATTAAGATTAATAAAATTCGAAATGAACGTAACCGACATTTTATACAATTGCAAAAATATTTCAATAATGGTTAAAGCCCGATTCAATTTATGGGAGTCCATAGCGCGGAAGTTTATCAGAACTTCGAGGCAAGGCGTCGGTAATTTCTGGAGAAGAGCGTATTTTCGATTCCCTTGAAAAAACGTGGGAGTATTAAGATTAATAAAATTCGAAATGAACGTAACCGACATTTTATAGAATTGTAAAAATATTTTAATAATGATTAAAGTCCGATTCAATTTATGGGAGCCCATAGCGCGGAAGTTTATCAGAACCTCGAGGCAAGGCGTTGGTAATTTCTGGAGAAGAGCGAATTTTCGATTCCCTTGAAAAAACGTGGGAGTATTAAGATTAATAAAATTCCAAATGAACGTAACTGACATTTTATACAATTGCAAAAATATTTCAATAATGATTAAAGCCCGATTCAATTTATGGGAGTCCATAGCGCGGAAGTTTGTCAGAACCACGAGGCAAGGCGTTGGTAATTTCTGGAGAAGAGCGTATTTTCGATTCCCTTGAAAAAACGTGGGAGTATTAAAATTAATAAAATTCCAAATGAACGTAACTGACATTTTATACAATTGCAAAAATATTTCAATAATGATTAAAACCCAATTCTATTTATGGGAGCCCATAGCGCGGAAGTTTGTCAGAACCTCGAGGCAAGGCGTCGGTAATTTCTGGAGAAGAGCGAATTTTGTATTCCCTTGAAAGAAGTGGGAGTATTAAGATTAATGAAATTTTATTTTATTCCGCCGATATATTTAGATATTTAGAATATTGTCTCAAAGTCAATGGCGAAAGCCAAATGGAGTCGCGAATTGCGAGTCGGTCGAAGTTCAGGGGGAGCTCGACGAGGGGAGACGAGAGAGGGTGGGAAATAGAAGCAGGAAGAGGGAGAGGAACGACTCGCACGCGTGCACTCGTTCCTATCGTGCATCCTCATTAAGTCATCGATATCACGGACAATTTGTCCCCACATGGAGACCGGACCCCATGGCTCGTCTGCGCACAACGACCTTTCCGAGGAGACATCACCAGTTCTCGAGTGAGATATTTAAATACATATTTAAGGCGATCCTAAATCCCCGAGACCTCGATCTTAAAAATCTCTTTAAACAATTTCTCCCCGATCTCAATTTTACCGAACCGCTTGAAATTCCACATCAACGTATAGACCCCGAGGAAGGTTCCATCCCCATGAAATTTCGTTCTTAAAAATGTTGGCATAAACGATTTACATCTCTTCCTGAGCGAAATGAAAATTCACGAGTGTAGGGACCTCCCTTATGGAGGTGAAATTCTCTGGGAAAAATTTCGGACAATTCGGTACCCTAGATCCGGATAAGAGCTGCATAAATATTTTTTATTGACCCCTGAAATGCCACTTTCGCGTCGTCTTAAACCATCGTCGGGTAAATTGGAGTCGTGGGGCGTAACTCTTCCCGGATGAGAGGGAGAGAGAGCTTTCGAGATGGATAGAGAGAAGGCGAGGTTCGCGAGGTCTCGCGATATCGGGCCGAAGTCCCTGATACCGGCTCGGAAGGGGTGGAGGAGTCTCGACTTCGAAGTTAGGGCTGGGGTCGAGGTTGACCTAGAGGTGTCACTGGGTTAGCGTGCCCATGGGCCATCCATAACCCCGGAGTTGGTCCCACACACGGAGCGCACACCCACCCTGAGAATTCCTCCGCTCCCCCACGTGGGCGCCTACACGTGTACTTCTTTCCCGACCGGGAAGGCGTCGCTCGTCTTCTGCTTTAATCCCCTATTAAATTTGCTTTCCATTTCCATTGCAAATCCAACCGGCCAAGTGAGCTCCTCGAGGTTCCCATCTCCCGGCGAGAGATGACACCGTCCATACATTTCCATTATCAAACTCGGCGAAAATCGCAGACGAAGTATCAAACCTCCGACATCAAAGAAGAAAATTCACTAATCCACGTATATTTTTTTTCCCCGGGAAAATTCCCATACCTCGAGGGTGCAAGGACGAGTGAAACGAAAACTGAAACGCCCTTTTAATTCCCCCCTTTCGATTTCGCGCGGATCATTATTATTCACACTCGGCATTGAGAGACTTTGCTTTAGTTTTCCTTCGTTCCTCACGAAGTCGAGGATTTCGCCGGTTTCCTTTCGGCGTTTCTTCGTCGATAAATCCGGGAATAATGATCGGGCATCCACTCGGGGAATGTTCCCGGGCGAGTGGCTCTTGAATTCGCGGGAGTTTTAAAATGATTAACGGGGCTCGAGAGAGAGATAGACCCCTTTCCGAATATCTTATTTTTCTCGGACCTCGGCGTTATTATCATCCTCGCCGATCTCGTTCCCTCGTTATGCCCTTCCGTTCGTCGCGTTGCAACGAGAGTATCGGCCGGGCTCTTCTTCAGGACTCGTGCTCCATTTCCAATAACGAGAGCCCAGTCAAGAGGACGAGGATCGTAAATTCCCCCTCGCTTCCGTCCCCGTCGGAGTCTTTTTCTCGCCTTTCCTCCATTCCCGTCGAATTTCATCCGCCAGGGTTTTCTTCGAATCCGGGCGACGAAATCGCGCTCTCTTTCTCCCCCCGTTTTTTCGCCTCTTCCCCCGTTTTTTGCCTCTTCTCCATACGTGCTCCTTCGAGCCAGAATCTTATTATTCGAAGGTTCGAATCCGCGACTTCTCCCTCCCTCTCAAAGGGATTCCTCCTTTTTACGGCCGCAACTCGATTAATCCGGCTTTCAGAAAGGAAGGAAACCATTGCTAATCGGCGAGATTACAGAGACCCGAGATGCAAAATTCCGCGCCTTAATTAGGAGGAATTATTACTTAGGAGGCGCCTTAATCCTTCCGTTACTTCCGTCCCCGATAAAAAAAAAAAAAGAAAAAAAGTGCAATCGAACCAAAGCGATATTCATTTAATTCTAACAATATTCATTTGACTCGAGTAAATAGGCTGCAATGTTTCCGCGGAATCGGGACAATTTATTCCAGCAAAATTCGAGTTAAATCGTTCGGTTGAAGTACTAAAATATTTCCTTCGACGGGATTCTCTTCTCGGGGTACTTTTCATATTTTTCAAGATTTTCGGTGCTGGCCGATTTTTATCCAACGACGTGGTTCACGATGTAGGTCCGAATCGGCCTTTGAAGGCGTTTTCGGGGAGATCAGCCCCGAATAATTCGTCCTCGGCGCGTCCTCGCCGAGGTCGCTTTTCCAGCAAGTACATCCCGACTTCCGAGTCGCCGATTGAAACCTAATCCCTATGTTTGTCGCCGGATTTGCCCCCGGCATTGTTCCGGCGAATTGCCGAGAGATTCTCGCTGACGATTCGGGCCACCTTCGCCCGGGGGAGAGGGCTCTAAAATCTCGAGCGTCATCGGCTGACGAGGCAGCCCTGTTTTGCGGTCTTCAATATCAGAACCCCGAGACGTGAAAAGTCGTCGGAAAAAAATGACAAAATACCTTCTGCGTTCGAAAAT